ATAATTTTTTAAGCCAGGCATAGGAACTTCAGTTACTTCAGAAGGGTGACTTTTCGGAGACCCAATGTTTATCATAACAGCAACGCGATCATGAGAGTAGACTACTAGCAGCCCACTCTAGCCCACCATTCTGGCCCACTTCGACTTAACCGCAGGGTAAAGTCCAAGTGGACCACAACGTTGGGTCAGAGAAGGCTACTTTGAAAGAGGAGAAAGAGGAAAATGAAATCGAGGATAACCTGGAACGTAAAAGGTTACCTAAACAAAGTGTATTCCGGGATCTTGACGAACGTGTTTATGCCTACTTCCAACTTCTTACTGATTGTAATTTACCGATTAATAAGGAGATAATTATTCGAAAGGTGCAATCAATAGCAATGGAATTGGGAATCAATGGATTCAAAGGAAGTGAAAAATGGTTCAAAAATTTTAAAAAGAGACACAATATAGCAAATAGACAAAAACATGGTGAAGCTAAAAGTGTCGATATTGATGTGGTTATTTCTTGGAAAAATGAGTTGCCAGATGTAGTTGGTAACTATTTACCATGTGAAATCTACAATGCCGATGAGTCTGGACTTCAATGGAAATCGTTGTTCAAATTTACCTATTCGGTAAAAGTCTTCTGCAACAGCTTGTATACGGTGGTAAAGCTCGTGCCGAGCAACTGGACAACACTTGTAGCAACATTTTTATCAAGATGTAGCATTCATTCGACTCAATTAAAACAAAAGCTGAAGAAACACTTGCATTTGTTTGTTGCTGAACTTGATGAGGTCATACAAATGACGGTTATGAAGCTGTCAATAATTGATTCAAAGATTGAGGTCTGTTGTTTGTTGCTGGTGATGGTGGCGATGGCCGAACAAGAAAAGGATTTAGTAACGGTATTAGTTGTATAGTAGCTCTTGGTGTTGAAGAAATGCTTGCAAAGAGTGTTGATGGACGGGTCACAAATGGTGTCTTGTGAGGTATAAGTACAGGTGGAGGAGGATTTGAAGTGACTTCAAACTCATGTTTGATTTCCATATTAAACTCGAAAATTGAAAAGTATTGTACTGGTCAAAGAAAAGTAATGCTAGTGAAAGTGGACAAAAAACTGAGGCAAATGTTACTGCGATTACTGCAATTACAAATGATGGATGATGAATCACATGATAATCACAGTTGTTATAAACAAACATAATAATTATGCCTACTCTTAATCAGTGTTATTCAGCTTTCATGCTATTATTGAGCTGCATCGAATAGCTTCATGAAAATCAATGACTTGTTTGAGAGGCCATTTGCTGGTCATTACAACGCTATATTAATCATTAGGATTGCATGAGCAAAACGAGAAAATCCAGGATAAGCAATTGCAACGCTTTATTGATGACTAAAATTGGTACACTTGTTACACGTTCTGGCACACTTGGACATTACCCTAGGGTAAAGTCCAAGTGGGTCAGAACGGTGGGCCAGAGTGGGCTGGTTATAGTCTACTCATGAGCTCGAGAATATACCGAGAATATTTCGCGAAGGTTTGGAGTGTCGGCCTGGAGTGTAATACATGAAGTCAAAACTCAAAGTACCCAAAGTTCTTGGATTCTTGATGATGAATTAGATCAAGTATGAGTAACTCATCCTGTTTGATCGAATGAGTCCTCATTCGATCATCATTACCTGGTATTTACTTCCCTTGTAAGTGTTTCTAAAATACTGTCTTTACTTTAACTCGACATTGTTCCAGCTCAACTTCCAATAAATCCCGAGAATCGACTCAAGTCGACTCAAGTCGACTCAGAGTAAGACTCAACACTAGTAAAAAAATGAAGTTTGAGTGACAAAGGTTGTTGAAATTACAATACAGTAGGGTCTCTCTTAGTCTAACGCTTTCAACTAAAAAAGTAAGAGACTAAGAGACTAAAGAAAGCGTTAGACTAAGAGAGACCTCACTGTGTATAATTTAAGTAAAATAAAAACAGCATGGAGAGCATGTGCTGTTTATTTGTTGAAAATGCGACAAAAAAAGCGACTGAGTTGACCCCAGCTAGAGTCGACTCAGCCGACTCAGCTGAAAAAATTCCAACTTCGACTCACAGGAGCCCGAGTCGACTGCTTGGCTGACTCGATCGGCTGACTTCGGAGTCTACTATCAGTACATTGGGACCTTTCAAAGACCAATATAATGGAATTAGCTGCCCTCTTTTCGATTTCAGCATTTCATTTCTAGAAAGTTTGCGAGCTTTTATGGATATTATAAGTTCCTTATGTCCTTTGTATCATGTTGAGACCGGAACATGTACTTTTTAAGGGGCGACAAGAGCATGTACTAGATGCAGTCATAACAAAAGCAATTGACTGCCGAGACTTTCTCGTCGCTCTACCCTTACATATTTGAAAGGTTGGCAGCTAGGAATGTTATTGGCATTTTTAGCTCAATTATAGTTAAGTCTTCATTTATTATCCATTTATCAATTCATGGGGTTCCTTTTATGTTTAAAGTGCTTGTTAACCTTGAAATATTTTGCAGACCATTTTAGGTGCTCTACTGTGTTATCAATACATCACGGAACTAATATGAACACTACGCTTTGATGATCATCTTTGAGGGTGATACTGATCGACCAAACACAATCCAGAAATTTAGAAATTTATAAATCATTCCATTTTATTTCAGAATAGTTTAGAGTGAACAATAATAGAAATAAGTTAAACATTTAATAAAGATGTGAGACGAAGAGTTTGCTAGTTTGGTTTTTGAGATTAATTTCTTGAATAACTTTAGGGTCAAATTGTTCGGAATCAATTGAATGATCAATTGTCTCATGCCTAATTATAAAGCTGAGGCCAATTATATTCATACTTCCCGCAATTCTGATCATCGATCCTGCATTGCTATCCCTCAAATTGATCGATTTATGAAAATCGGAGCAACATTACTGCTGAGATTGCGTTGAAAATATCTGTTGAACATGAAATGATAACTGTTAATTTAGCCTTTACATATTTCATAATCTATTATAATAAATAAAGATTTACAATTGAATATTAATCCGGACTTGATCAAATGGCAAGTAAGGTAAGCAATACAAATTACAATGATACATTAATTTTGATAAATATAGAGGTTGATATGTTTCTCTTTCTTTTTGTCCCTTGAAAACAGGAAACTCGTTCTTGGTTAGGCGTATTGGGTTCGTCTCCAAGTTTTAATGAAAAATGCGATTAAAACTGCGATTAGGGTAATAATGGAATTAGAAGCCAAGCCAATTAGACTGTAATTGAATTTAACAAATCTTAATGAAACGAAGACGGCGATCATAAATAGTAATCCAAGAGCAATTGTCACATAACGCTTTTTAAGTCCTATTGAAACTATAATGGCAAATCCAAGGAAAAATGATATAATGGTTGATGTAATGAGAAATATTTTACCAAATGATATCTCGGAATCTGAAAGCTCGGCCTCATTTCTGTTGATTATGGTGACACCATGAACCATTGAGCCAATATCAATAATGAGGCAAACCAATGTGTACCCAGCAAGTATGCGAACCACAATTGATAGGATACCCTGAGATCGTACGAGCCCAGAGGCCTCTGGATTCACTTGTTGCATCAGCTCGTTCTTCTAGGTTTACAATTAATCACAATTCACGGTTGAAGATTTTGGTAGTTAAAGGCTGAACTAGGGTCAAAGAAGTTATCATCCAAAATTCATTAACAAAATGGTTTTGATTGGAAATCGGTTAATGTTGATGGGTCAGAAAGAAGCTTTCGATTGGGCTTGTAAAGTGAAGAGAACACAATTTTCATTTATTTTGTACACCATTACTGGAAAATAGGTAATCGATGGAAAATTAATTTTGAAGATTCAACTAATGACCACTGGTTGAGTCCGTTACAAGGTGAAGCATTAGTTAACTGTAAGGCTTGATGTTGGTGATTGTCTAGGATGATACATATTAATGGTAATGACAATTTTAATGGCAACAGATACATTGTTTGGACATGCAAATAATTTAATAATGATGGCAAAGTCGTTTAGTGATATCAAAGTTGCTGTGTTTTAATCAAAAATGGTGATAAGTAGAGAGAAAGGTATAAAACAAAAAGAGCCAGTTTGATGTTGAATGGAGCAGATAAAGGTATTGCAGCAAAAAAAGGTGTAAAAAATACTTGCTTTGTGTTCAGAGAATGTCATTATTGTCATTTTTACGCTGTAAGTTTCAATCAAGTAACAATCATTATTGTCACCTCTGTTAACAGCTCCTTTCTACATGTTAACCAAAAGTTTGTAAGTGTGAAAATGCAAATTGATTGATGATTTGGTTCTTTTTGTTGTTGGTGAAAATTAAGATCCAGGAGGGAGAATGAGGTCATCAAGGAATTTTTTTTCTTATCCATCAATACTTTCATGATATTAACAACAATCACAGAACGACTGACCAACATATTGATATAATGATTAAAGTGTATCGATTTTTGTTAATAATAACTTTTTTTATACGATTTCTTAACATATCAACTATTTCGTCAGTTTTGCACCCATTTTTTATCTTCTTAACCATTCTTATCTTCATTAGTAAATGATTTCTGACATTAAAAAACAAATGAAGATAAAAAGCTAATTATTTATTAATAATTTCGACAATTTAACCTGTTGGTCTCGATTTGATCAATATTTGCAGGGATTCTGTGAGCCTTTTGCTTAGATTATAAAATTAATTAGACTAGACATCAAAGCATCTGAGTAAATGACAGCTGATATCATTGATTTAATATCTATTCACATATATGTACGCTATGGTTCAGCGTATTATATGCTGAAGAAAAATGTAGGATTGGAATGAAAAAATCTCATGTTTAAAGCAAATCAGATTTGAACAAATAATTCGTTACTGTTGGATTATTAGAAGAAGGTCGAAAATAAAAATAAAAGATTGTTTTTTAGAAAAAATTTAATTATGATTATTCTGGAAGAGACAAGTTGGATGGACAGTATTTATGAATAATTTCATTCAATTAAAAACAAGTCATAATTTGCAACTTCAAAATTTACAGTTTCGTTGTTAGATCAGGCTCATAATAGTTCGCCTTAATAAATAGTGACAAATCCATCAGGTTTAGTCGATATTAACAATACTATGTACATTTCCTATCAAGATACAATGCGATATAAGCTTCAGAATTGCTGAAAAAGTCAATCATATCCAAAATTAGTCTTCAATCTCAATGTCCATTTGATTTTGAGAAGTAATATCGATATCAATGTTGAGAACATCTTTCAACATGTTAAGTTTAAGCCAGCAAACTAATGGGGAAACCTCAGGAATATAGTGGGCCTTTTTATGGAAAAAGAGTAGTCCATCAATCTGCAAAGAAAAATTAAAATTTAATTATTTCACGAAGCAAAATAAAACAAGTTTTAGTTTTACTGAAATTTTTTCTTACCTTTGCTTTGTAAGAATAAGACTGAATTCCAGCTATAATTGAACGATCATCGCATCCATGATGATCTAATAGAATGAATTTGTGAGGATTCAGAGGAGCAGTTGTTGATAAATTATTATATTCTTCTCTGATCTTACAGTTTAACCAATAGAACCTTAATTCAGTTTCACTATCATAGAACTGACTCTGGTTCCAAAGCATAACATCTAAAATGAAATAAGTCTTATCCCTTTCAGAGTAAATGCAATCAAGTATAGCACTTTTACGGTATGCACAATTATCACGTCGATTACCACCAGGTAAGAAAGATGGAAATGATGAGATATAATGACCAGTTCGTGAGTAAGCTTTAGTTTGTCCAGATGAAGCAACAACCAAACATCTCTTTCCAACTGGACAGATAACAAGGAACCAATTTTCAACAAAATCAGACGGTTTTCGAGTAAGCCACTCCGACAGCATCAATTGATCTTTAAATCTATTAAACTTTTCCTCTTTATCGTCATCATCGACCGAGCCTTGCGAAATGGAAGCTTCTGTTTCCATGTTTTCATCTTTCAATTTCTCCTCTTCATCACTTAAGTCGATACTTATACTAGTTAATCGTCGTATCTTCATCAAACTATCTCGACGTTTGCTGCAGAAAAAAAGTAGAAGAATGTCAGTTAGAAGATGTCGATGTGATAGTAGCCATTTGAGTCATAGCATTTCGAAAATAATGTGATAAGTTAGAAAAATTTTACTTACATTTTTTGGTTCTGCAAAAAAATTTGCCTTCTTTTCTCAGGATCAGTACCATTAGCCTTATTTTTATACAACATATGATGCGGGTTGAATATTTTTGTCGATTGAGACACTTCCAGTCCAACATCCAGCTTTTCAATTAAATTACCCAAATCTGGTTGAGTATCGTTACAAGTCATGATGTTAAATCACAAAATATTGCAGAATAAAACAAAATAGATCTTAGAACAGAGTGTAAATAAGCGAAATAAAGAAATGAACGAGAAAACGTTCAACCGGTGAAGATATTTGCGCGTTGCTAATGTGACTGCTTGTTTTGGCAACTGTTGCTAAGAGCCTCTAGTCTTCTTTACAAAAAATTTAACCAGGAAATTCAAATAACAAATTTAAAGAGATTTACATTGAAACAAGAAGATTAAGATTAGAATAAAATATATTAAGAAGATTAATCTCCTTGTAAATCCATGATGACGAGAATGAGTTAATCCAGCTAAAATATCGTATAAATACGAACAAAACGGCTTAAATTTAACCTTAAACTCATTCCAAGTTAAAAAGTTGTGCTCAAAACAAGTGCAAAAAATATCACAATACAGAAAAATCAAAATGAGATGAAATTAACATTCATCTTTTTTATATTTCAGTCATTTTTACTCGCAAATTAAATAAATTTAATGCAATCTAATTTCAGCTATTCCACTCGATTCCAATTTATTTACATGTAAAGCAACAAAAAATTAGCAAAAATCAATTCACATAAACTGAAATACGGAAAATTCAATGTAATTGATCCGGTAAGTAAAATTTACAAGATTATTGTTTTACATGAAATGATTTACAATTTTATTGCCAACAAAAACATTTTTTATACAACTTATAATAAATTTGAACATTAACAATACTATTTAGGTGATTGAGATGATTAATAAGCCATTTGAATCGATCATGTTTTGTTTCAAACCCAGATTATTCAAGGTGAACAAGAGATGATAATAAAAACAGCGATAAGTGATCAGATTATTGTTTGAAAAAATGGAGAAATTCATTTAGTACAATTGTGAAAACCCATCTACAATTTATTAATCTAAATTGTATATTCAATAATTTAGCTTTGATTTTTCATTTTGGCAATAGATGACATAGTATAATAACACAGTGATTAGTTGTTCAATTCAATAGAAAAACATTTTTTTTCACAAGAATCATCAACCAGGAAAATGGCAGAAAAAGTTGAAGGAAGAAAATTTGTATTTTTTGTCTTCTCATCAGCACAAAAGTTCATCTTTAAAATGAATTAGGCACCATGGGAAGAGAAACGTCAATCATAACAATATTTTCAAGAAATCAGTTTTTACTTTTCTTATTGTTTAATGATTCTACGTAATTGCAAAGTGTAAGTCAATGAGTACTTTTCAAAGTACAGTTTTGGTAAAATTATGAAGATGATTTTATCACAATTAACAAGAAATCAGAGATTCTTATTATGGTTATCAATTTAAGTTAATTTTACTCTCTTCAACCATTACAGAAGACATCCATAATCCTCAATTGCATTCTGAAGGTAAATACTAACAGCGATATCACCAAATGTAGGATCCAATTTTGGAAGTTGATGTTTTGTACTAAAGACTTATAGATAGCTTTAAATTGAATCTGATCATCATCATGTTTGATTATTCCAAATGATTTTCCAATAATATTTGTATTCACAATGCACATGAGGTAAAACCTTGGTTCCAATAGCTTTTCAACCAATTCAATTTCATGAAGCATGTCGCATCTCTTGTTAACATTATATTGACACACGTAATGAGAAATAAAAACAAAAACAATATGTTACAAAACAAATTTTAGACTCTCGATAGAGACTAAGCTGAAGTCACTCAAAAACATTTCTTGGTGTAAGATTGAAGGGTAAATAGGTGCTGTTGCCTCCAACTGAATTGCAGTCACTAAACAGTCAGCGGCACTTTTATGTTCACCCAGTTCATTAAGGACACAGCCCATGTGAGACCATGTTTCGTGAAGAGTAGCATCAACATTAAGTGAATCTCTTAAATACTTATCGGCTGATAACTGGTTACCAAGCAGATAGTAGGAATGTCCGAGTTGTTGTAAGGCTCTGGCATGTCGAGGATTAATGGAAATGGCATTTTGAAAGTAAGCTTTGGCTTCGGCGTAACGTTGTCGTGCTTTGGCTAAAATCCCTTTAACAAACATTAATTGATGAGATAATGGACCAAAAACTACATTTGCAACTTCAGCCACACAAGCTTCGGCTTCAGATATCTAAATGAAAAAAGCAAAATTAAAATCGAAACCCAATATTATGTTTTTGAATACCAATTTTTAAGGAGTACTTACCAATCCCAGCTTTATATAAAGTTCAGCAATTAAAATCCACAAATGTAACTGTAAATTCCAAAGTTGCTTTTGTCCTAATGAGCCATCTTCTAATCCAGGTCCAGATGTAATTGCACCATCACCAAGAACTGGACAGCTATCCAGCGAAACAATTTCACTTAAGGTTTGCTCCATTTTCAGGGAAAGAGTATCATAATTGGTTCCAGTCAAAGTAACATTATTGCCACAATAAAGCACCTTGTCTTTATCTTCATTTGGCAGATTTTTACAACATCTTAACATATGTTTGGCAGTTTGTAAGGCTATTTCATAACCGTTTTCAGAAACAACTTGCTCCAAATTAGCCTGAAGAGAGAAAATTCAATAAAAAATTAGTTATCTTGTGTGCGTTAACACAAAGTACATTTGAGCGAGATCGACAAGTCTAATAAGTTAAAAAAAACTAACCTTTACATAAAGTAGCACCAATTGATCAGGATATTCCTCTAATGATGCTTCACACAATGAGAGAGCTTCATGGTATTTCTTGCAAGCTGATAAACAGAGTATCATTAATTGTATACTTGGAAGATGGTATGGATTGAGTACTAAAGCTAACTGAGCATGATGCATCGAATCATTAATGACTCGTTGATGGGCCATGTGAAGACCAATATGGTAGTAAGCCAGATGATCTTCAACTGGACCTTTGATAAGATTTTTAAAATATCTAATGGATTCATGTAAGTGTACTTTCTTCAACTTTTTAACAGTCTCGGTCTCCTCTTCATAAAGTATTGCATTCACAATTCCAAGGGTTAAGTTGATCCTGGATGACATTGCTCCTTCCGTGTCTCGTGATAAGGCTTCCAAGGCAAATTCCAATGCCTTTTCGGCATTATTTAATTCTAAAATATAAACTTTGGCCGCTAATATACATGGAACTGGGTCGCTATCATCTATACGTGCCACTTCTTTGAAGATCAATATTGCTCTGAGAGGAAATTTTTTCGTTTCCATAACACTTAAACCAAACTGAAGCCATATGTGTTTAATCTCAAAACTGAACTTCATAGCTCTCTCAAACATATCTAAGATACAATATTTGAAAGGGGTTAAGGCGATAACTAGAAGGTCATGAATGGCGATTACGTTTTCCAACGATTGTCTTCGAGTATCGTTGAACTCTGTTCCTCGGTCCAGAACAACATTACGAGAAGCAAGAAGTTCACTTATTAACAATAAAAGCACAATTTCTTCTTCACGTTCCCTTGGATTAAATAGAGACTGACCAAAATATCTGTGAGGTTTCCAATGACCACTAATGGTTGTTATGCTTGTATCAAATGGAGTCCAACAGGAGCGAGAAACATTTCGAAGAATCAGCTCAGCTAATTTACGCGAAACAACTTGTCGAGTATTTAACGTTGATTGAGTTTCACAAGCATTCATAATATTTCGATATTGGTTAAATGCTTTGGCTATTTGATCATTTTGCATAAACAGAATAGGAGCTCGTTGAATTCCTGTTTCGAGAATTGGTCCAACAGATACATTGGCATAAGGTCCTAGATGTTTCTCCATGTTTTGTAAATATCTCAAAGTCAAATCAGATGCCTTGGTTAAACAAATAATGGCCTTTTCTAAGCCTTTGTCGACATTTTTCTCTTTTTCTATGGATAGGAAAAAGTAAAACAAAATAAAGAGCAAAATTAAATAACTTATTAAATGTTAAAGAGTTATTCGGTGGTTTGAATTACACAAAAATAAAATTAAAATGCGAATAAAATATTAAAATTATAAAAATAGAGAAATATAGATCAGGTGAGATAAAAAGGAAAAAGGAAGAGGATAGAGGGTGCAGGATGCATTAATAATAATTCTTTGTATATCTAGTTTATCTTTCATCCTGCATTCAATGATGATAGTTCCTAGGTTGATTAGATGAACCAAGAGAAGTAAAAGGTAGAGAGAAGAGAGAATCAAAGAAAGAGAGAAAGGTAGGAAAAAAGAGAGAAACAAAAGTCAAACAGACGCAAACCTTGCCTTACCTAAACACATTCCTTTGATAGCAAAAGATTCAGCAACCAATTTCATAATACGAAAAGGTAAAGGTTTTTCACCACCAATTATTGAACTGATTCCGGATGCTTCGATTACTTTTGCAGCTAAAGATTGTTCACCGGACATAAAATGTAATTTAGCAAGCAAAAGGTTGGCATCAACTTGGAGAGCTGAACAATTGGAGGCATTAAGGCATGATTTTAGGTGAGCCCGAGATTCTTTGAGTAAATTTTGACCTCGAATAAGATCACCTCCTTCAAGGTAAAGCTCTAATTTAGCTTCACCTAAGAGAAATTCAATTAGACCATTTTTTCCTCCATCTGATCCAATCGATTGAGCCAATTCAAGTATCTTTCGCCATTCTCCTTCTTCCCGGTACTTTTCGATATCACTTTCAGTACGCGTTTTACCTTTGGTTGTTGATGCCATTGAAGCAATAATTTACAAGCAACAAAAATATAAGATCAAAATAAAGAAAAATAATTAGAAGCAAAAAATATAACCAAAACATCAACAACTGAATTGAAGGGACCAAAATCAGGTAAACAGAGTTTAACAGAGACATAACACTGCCATCTATCCAGTATTATTGTCAAAGAGGTAGAAAATCTTGATCTTCAAATAAATTCTAGTTGAGTTTATTTTCAATTTTGTAATTAAATGCATACAATTTATGAGAATAAATCTCTCAGTCATCATATCACCATTAGTAAATTAAATCAAAACTTTAATTTTGTGTTAATTTTCAAGCTAAAAACAAGAAATCGTTCATTTTTTTGAGTCGAGTGGATCAGCTGATGCAAATCCTGGTAATGGTTGTACTCAAATATGTTTTCAATTTTTTATCCAGAGGCGATTTTATTTATAATTGGATTCTAGGAATTCTATCAACTATGGCAATTAGTATGTGCAATGTAAAATCAACATTTACGAGGTGAAATGAAATTTAGTGTTAAAATGTTACCAATGCTCTTATTGAGCTCACTATGTTACAAACCTAAAGATCTATGGGTTACTACAAGTCAAGTAATAATTGTTGGTCTAGACTATAATTTACATGGTTAAGCTTTGAGTTTATTTTCGAACCTTAGTTTAACAAGTTAAGTTAATTAATGAATAAGATGGATTGGTTAAAACTGAAAAAACAAATCAATAGAGATTTAAGTTGCTTTGATCGTTACTGAGCAACATAATAATATAAAACTGTCATGCGATTTTTTATGGTTTACCAACGAGAAGTAAATCAATTAAAGTAGTCATACATTATTTACTTCTAAGCATTCAAAATTAGCCAATCTGGATTCTCTATAATGTTTACTCAATGGCAAGTTTGTTTTATCAGATTGATCCAATTTTACCCTCAGCATAATTACAGTTTTATGAGTTACTTATAAGTAAACTTGTATCACTTTCGGACTTGTGTAAGGAAATTTTCACTTTATCAATTCTATGGACTGTATTACTAACGACACTTTATCAGTATTCATATCACAATTGAAATTGGTTCAGATCAAAAAGAGTAGAAAGAGTTGGCTTAACTCGAAAGGTTTATAGGAATCAAAGTTTCCTAACACTCAAAGTGTGATATTTTGAAATTTTCCGGTTAAAATGGGAATTAGGCTTAAACTGTCAAATGTCAAACTCACCAGATTTACCCATAATTTGTTAGCGCAATCAAATTGACTAGTAAAGGTTAACAAGGCAATCAGCAATAAAAAAACAAACCAAGGTATTGAAGTAGAGAGTTAAACATTATAAAACATATTATATATCAATGAATGAACCAAGTTGACTTTCAGAAAATTGATTTAACCAAATAAAGTAACAATTTTTTAAAAATTTATCAACATTTAAAAGTAGTAGACTCGATGCTCAGAAGAGTTTAAAATGAAGTGAAAGTCAGAAGGAAAAAAACAGTTAACTCACAATCTGGTTGTATGAATAGTGAAGAACAAATGATTCCCTAGCAATTAATCTGGTCGTTCAAGATCTACCAGATATTTCAAAGACTGGATAAGGAATTAGATAAGAATGAAAGCAAGGAACATGATAAAGGGAGGAAAAAATGAGGGGAAATAAAGCAAAACATCAACATATTATAAACGATGAACAAATAGACAATTTGATATGAAGAGACATTTTTACTAACCTTAGCACAATCAGACTTGAAGTGTATATATCCTTTTTGGTTGATAAAATTTAGATGGTAATAACAAGAGCACAATTTAAATCAATTTGCGTTAATAGCTTTTCAGTTGATTAAAAACGAAGGAAACAAGTTAATGCACAATTAACGGGAAAACAAATGGTAAAGATGTTTCTATTTTGTCCGCAATGGTTAAGATGTTTACTCACAGTTCAAGACTAACAAAGACAAATGGCGGACAATTATTTAAGTTAAATTAACTCTAAAACTGCAAATAGATGGCACCGTTTTCAATAGCTGTTTAATTATGAATTGTTGGGTTAAAAATGTTATTAAGTTATGGTTTCTATTGATTGCTATTTCACCGGTTTGGGTGAATGATCAATATCACTATGATGAAGCAAGTTTATCTCTTCAATTTGAAAGCAAATAATTCAATTGAAAAGTCAATTGAATTGTTGAATTGTGATCAATCTTAATAACATTACAAATTAACAATTCAAGAAGCAGCGATATTCTTGGTTGATTAAAAATATGTTGGATGTACATTGGTGATCATGATCATCATGATAATAGTTGTATTTCTGGGTTGATCTTTTTTGCTGCTTCCTTAAGCACTTGATAACTGACAATAGTTATTAAGGTTGATCATTAATTATTTGGTTAAACAAAGGTTAGATGTCAATAATGGTTATTATACAAATAATGTTGAGACAATTGACAGTCTTAAAACAGAGAAACCTTATTTATATTTGAAGAAGAAGCTAAGAAAATGATGATTAACTCACTGGATGATGATGATTATTAGTATGCGTGTATATATATTGGTATTATAATTATAAAGTAACTGAGCACAATCAATAACGTTAATAATCATTGATTAACAGTAAACAGCTAAGATAAATAATGGCTTACCTTTGAAAGATCGCAAGGTGAATGATGTCCTATCCCAATTTTTGGGTCTTTGGGTTGTTGTAAAGAAGCGTCCATTGGATAAACTTTGTATAATCATTGACATTGGAAGAAAGGAGAAGAAAAATGTTATTTAACTTTCTTATAAAATCTTATAATCAATGATTTAATGAAGTTTAGATAATTTGATAAGCAGGGAAACTTGAATAACCAAAATATCGCTAATTGATCGTTAGGTAAACAGGCAAGGATCAGATGTTTGGTTTGGTAAAAAGAGGTAATGTGTGTTGACTGGTTAGAGATGGCTATGGTGATGGCGCTCAAATAAAAGGTGAGGTTAAATTAAAATGAAAGTCATCATCAGTCTAATGTTAACAATTGATGGTTGATTAATTTTGATGGAAGATCAGGAAGAAAGGAGGACAATCAATGAATAGGGAAAAAACTGACTCACAATGTCCTCCAAAACATGATTAGGAAATCAGAATGTTGATAATAACGTGAAAGTGAAAAAACGGGTAAAATGAAGCTACAAAGTTACACAGTAAATTTTAAACTATTAATAAGGCAATGTTAATGGTAATGAGTGTTTACTTACAATTATTTAATGGTTACCAATCGATCCTCTGATAGCTGTTCACATTAATAACTATTCATTGGAAAATATTGATGAAAAAAAAGAGCCTTCACCAACAATTAGAAAACATATTTGCTATTGGTGTTGGCATGAAGAAAGGGCAACTGATATTCCTAAGATTCGCCTGGATTCAATCAATTTAATCATTTCTATCAATAATTCAGTAATTGAATAGCTAAATTTGTTGATTTAAATTCAACATTAAAGTGATTGTGTGTTTAATTTAACCAACAATCACTTTTATTTATTTACTTGTTTCTATCAACTTCTGGTTGTATCAACCAGTTTAGTCCCAATCTTATTGATCCGATAATTGGACCCATTGGACTCAAAGTATCTTTTTACGCTATCAAAAGGGTAAACAATTACAATTGATTCAACGAAACATTATTTCATTGATTGATTGTTTTATTTTAATTTATGGAGTTTTGTGTTGAAATGTTTAACAAAATAATTGGATTTAATATTTAATCTAATTTTGTATGTGATTTAATTTGAAAATTGAAATCACCGATTATCAACAGTTACGGTTGACAATGCAAACACACAGTAGTGTTGATGGTTTTATTCATCTTTCAAATGTATACACAATTCATGTTTATTTTTCTCACTCAATTAACACCAATTTAAGGTTAAACTGACAATTCTATTGTAATTTAATAATTAAGGTTAGATACTCAATGAAAATATTAACATGAATGCATCAAATCAATTAGTAACTTTTCCCCAAGTTATGACCTCATGTTTCGGTCTCTGTTGGCGCTATAATTTTTATAAAGGATAACATCGCCACTTGAATTTTTCCTTTAAAAATTTCTGCTATCTAATTGTGATTTATGAATTATCTCAACTTGTATTTATATTGTTATCCAACTCTTAATGAGCTTCTTATTCATCTCTACTTTTGTCATATCTTTGTTTGCATTGTTATCCAATAAGTGACTAAACAATTGGCTTATGCTAATTTTAAATTTTCTAGCTTCAACTTTACTTCTGACCATCACTACCTTTGATTTTGTATGCTATAACTTACCTGGAACAATAGGAGATGCTAATTAATGATGTTAAAGCGTTGTTACTCACCAAAATGAATGTAAACAATAACAAGCTGTTAATACTTTACCTGATGACTTACAAAAGCTATAAGAGATTGTGAATAAGCTTACCTTTGCTTACCTAATGATATCTAATGATTTTCGATTGTTTTCATGAAATTTGAGGATCAAAGCAAGAGTTATGATTAATAAGTAACTTGATTTGATTCTAATTTAGTGTAGACAATTTAGGTCGACACTCAAAGTAAAGTTGAATGAGAAAAGTGAGAAAGAAGAAGAGAAAAAAAGAGTGAGCGAGAAACAAGAATCTCTTTCTGGACCAGATACTGTAGTTGGTTATGTGTAAAGACAAAACATGTTTTACCACAATTTGTGTATCCTGTTGGATAAAAACTCTCAGTTTAAGATGTGATTGGTTTTAAGGAAGCAACCTGTAACATCACCTTCATTCGTTTGATCATCATCATCATCACCATCTTCATCATCAATATCGTTAATATTTTTATTCATCAACATTATGCAAATTATTCTGTTGAATTGGTCTTGAAAGCAAATTTGGATTACCAGCTGTTTGAACCAACTTCCAATATTTGAATTTCTAGGAGAGTTTATTATAAATTGCTTTTTTGTCTATTCAGTAGTTCATTAGCTATTCTTGATTTAACTGTTCTTATCACCATTTACTTCACCAGCTGTTTTACTCTGGTTGTTTAAAGCTTTATTAACCTCAATGGTGTGATGTTTGGTTCCTACTCTATAATACGCTCTTCCAATGTAGACAAGCAACCTCAACCTGGATAAAGTACACCTCATCACAGCTCAACACTTGGGGATTCTTAACCTTTTTATTTGATCATATTGTTAAATTATCTATTGGATTCAATCAATCTGTCTCGATCAACTCGTCAACTCATGTTAATCATGATTGAAATAGCTTTACTCGTATGTGAAAATCAGCAATTATAACCAAAAAGGAGCAATGGTGACATTAAAATTGCGGCGAAGGTGTCGTAGTGATTTAATCAGATTATCTTTTCTTCTCATATCAGCAGTTTTTGTAATTTTCTTGCTTTCCAAGAGTAAAACAAATGATCAAGATTATATGAGTGATGATATATTCGGCTCATCAAATGGTCTTGATAGGAATAATGAAGGTAAAGTAGAATGGCTTTATTGAGCCAAAATTTCTTCAATCTTTTTCTTCCAATCCAAACCCGGGCCTTTCAAATTTTCATTAACTTACCATAAATTCATTTCAAATTGATAACCATTTAAGCATAAACTCAATGGTTACCTTAACCTCTACTCTTAAGGCCATTAAAAACCTGTAATCAATAAGATAGATATCAATTTATCTCAAAATGCATTTCTTGATGAGCAATTAATCTCTAACCTTTAGGTTACATATCAAATAACATCTTTTAGTAATTCCTTTTGTCTGTTCAGATTAGCATTGACCTGGAATCATAATTGAAACTAGATCACCACCAATCCTTTCAATCCTTATTTCTTTCACCGTTGATATCTTACCGTCCTTTTTTGTTTGTAAATTCATTTTATTCTCATTTCTTTATTTTTTCCAGCTTTAATCAAAAGCAATCCAACTGTGATAAAACAACTGAGTGCCAAAGAAGCTGAATTATATCATAAACTAAATCCAGTAATCAAAGGATGGGGAGAGGATGGAAAACCCGTATACATCACTGATCCTGAAGAGAAAACCTTGGCCAAGAAACAATTTGACAAAGGAGCTTTCGATGTGTATATTAGTGACCGAATCTCACCAAACCGTTCATTACCCGATCCACGTCCAAACGAGTGTGCAGAAGTCTCTTATGATTACTCAAAATTAGGAACTAGTTCAATTGTTATCATATTCACCGATGAAATCTGGTCAGCTTTAATTCGTACCATTTGGTCAGTCTGGAATCGCACACCTCATCGTTTATTAAAAGAGATAATTCTTGTTGACGATGCATCCAAACAAAGTGAACTCCAAGATACCCTCAGAAATTATTGTTCCTATTATTTTGGTGATAAAGTTAAATTATTTCGCTCAGATAAACGTATTGGCCTGATTCGTGCCCGATTGATGGGGGCTAAAGCAGCGTCTGGCGATGTTATTGTCTTCCTAGATTCACATTGTGAGGTTGGTATTGTTTTAATTGTCGTTTATGATTTGGCTCTTGGAAATGTCAGTTTATCTCAATCTTATTCTCAAATTCAGCAAAAACAATGTTATCAGTCAGCAAGAAGCTCGTTCTTCTGAATAGTAACTGAATATTAAAATTGAATTGATTTCCATCTTCTCTCCTTTAGAAACAAACAATCCATTGTTTTACTGATTGTTGGTTGCAAATTGAAGATTGTAGATTAGTTTGAATTGTCCAACCCAATGAATCAACATTATTGCCGATTATCTTGAAACAAATCTAAAGCAACTAATGATGAGAATCTCGCACTCTTTCATCTACCTGAAATTCCCAAAAAATTCAGATCTATTCTCCTACAGCAATCATTTTTGGAGAAATCAATTTTCTCGGTTAAATTCTGACAAATTGAATTGTTTTCCTTCTTACAGTTAGTGGATGAGATTCGGAACAATAACCAAGCCGCTGAAAAAAGCGAATCCAACTCAATTAGAAGCAATTTATTAACATTTCATCTGAAATGTTCCCTCAATTTCAATCAAATTGCTTCTCTGTTTTCACTTTCAGCTTCATATTTTTATATTGATATATATTTATTGATACTATCATTATCATCATTACGGTCACTTTTTTCATCATTAATAACAATTAGGATAGTTGGTTAAAATTTAGTTTCAACTATTTCCATCATTCTTTTCACTCTTCCTCTACATTCATTCATGACTGAAATTTTATGTTTTTCATTATTTCAAGTCGGACTATTGCCTTACGTTAAAAACCATAACAATTAGACATGGACATGATTTTAAATTTTCCTATTATCATCGTTTATAATTACTATTATTATTGGGTCAACTAAATAACAATCAACATTGAATATACATTTGTAAATCTTTCAATCGTTCAAAATGATATAATAAACAGTAATACAAGAAAAGGATGAAAAGTATTATAGTCAATGAACCTCTTTACTGGAGTAATAAGGCTTAACATTATTGATAATCTATCTAATTGTATTCAATTTGAAGTGATTTAATTTTATTTTTCTCATTCAGTTATTATTGATTAGCTTTTTGTATTTACTATTTTCAATCCATTTCTGGTAAACTAAATGAAAAATTTGCTAAGACTCAATTCAGTGTTAACCTATTTCCAAACAACTAGTTTAGTCAATTTGAATCACACCTCAATTTTATCCGATCAGCTTGCTTATTCAAACAAATACAATTTATCATGTCTAGTTGATTGTTGAAACATTCAAGAAGCTGTCATTTCTCAAATTGAATCCTCAAAAGGAGATTAAACACATTTCATTGTACGAGTTTTCATATAAAACCATACAATTTATTTAATCACCATCAACGAAATCTTCTAAATTGTTAGCTTTCATTTGATTTACCAACATTTCTCTCCTTTAAGTGTGTTAATTTATTTCTTACTATGATAATTTATGATCAGGATTGATGTTAATTTTTATTGATTACATTCAAAGTCTAATAGAATAGAATTGATTTGATATTTAGCTTCAATTCTTGATTTACTTTTTCAGGTTATCTCAGTGTGTTGGTTAAATCTGATTTTTAGCTTAATTTAGGTTTAACCATTTACTCAATCATTTTATTACTTTTTCCAATTCGCATGTCTTGATAGATCATTGTTTGAACAATCTAAATCTTAGCCCAATTCCAAGTTAACCAGCAAAAGCTACAACCAAGTTGTTGATTGCTGCTTTTATCGTGTTCTGGTCATCATCTAAATCTTTCACTATTAATTATCTTGACGATCGCCATGATTGTTAACTTTGTTGCTATTGTTACATTTAACTTGGACCTGAGTCAACTTTAAATGTTACTCGTGTCACGATCAGATAATTGCAATTAATCAATAGATTAACATTGTTCTATTGACTTTATTTTCGTGATTTAAGCCACAATTGTTTCATTTTTTAATCAGCCAACAAGCTATTTTAAGCTTAATTATACTTGTCCAAAATTTTAATTTTACCATCACTAATCATGAAAAAAAGTGTATTCAACTCTGACTCTGATTAATTTAGATAAATTATCTTTTTTCTTTCTTCTACAGGCAACTAATGGCTGGTTGGAACCATTAATGTATACTATAGCTCAGAATCCGAAACACGTCGTTTGTCCAGTTATTGATGTGATTAGTGATAAAACATTGGCATATAATTTTGGAACTCCATATTACTTCCAGATTGGTAGCTTTACCTGGTCTGGTCATTTTACATGGATGGACTTGGATGAGGAAAAATTGCTTGCTAATCCAACTAAGCCAGTTGCCTCACCAACAATGGCCGGTGGTTTGTTGGCTGTTAATCGTAATTACTTTTTCTCAATTGGTTCCTATGATGAAGCCATGGAAATCTGGGGTGGAGAAAATTTAGAAATGTCTTTCCGTATCTGGCAATGTGGTGGCAATTTGTCGATTCATCCTTGTTCCCATGTTGGTCACATTTTCCGTGATTATCATCCTTATTCATTCCAAGGCAAAGATACTCATGGTATTAACACACTAAGAACCATGCTTGTTTGGATGGATCCAGCATATCAACGTTACTTTTTCATGCATCGACCTGACATGTTAAAGAAAAATGCTGGCGATTTAACGGCTCGTTTGGAGCTTAAAGAACAATTACAGTGTAAATCTTTTAAATGGTATTTGGACAATGTCTTTGAGGGACGTAAATTTATTTATGATCAAAATGCTGATGGTTGGGGAACTGTTCGCAATCGTAAAAGTGGCCTTTGTCTTGATACTCTTAATGAAAGTGAAGAGAAAACTTATAAACTTGGCCTTTTCCCGTGCGAAGCAAGACCTGATGATCAATATACTAATCAATTCTTAACTCTTACCAATGATGGTGAATTGCGAAGGGAAGAAGTGTGTGCAACTGCAAGTGAAAAAGATGGTTACATTAAAATGGAGAAATGTATGATTGTTGATTTTGCGACCAAAAAATCTCGAGCTGCAATGGTCCAAGAGAAGAAGAAGCAAAGATGGAAACACTCGAAAAATGGTTTAATTGTTAATGGTGCTTTTGGTCAGTGTTTATCAGCAAAGCGACTTAAATCAATGTCTAAAATCAAATTGGTCGACTGCAATCCTTACGATCCATACCAAAAATGGAAATTTCAAACTTATGCTTCTGTTTATTTAACTTAGGATCTGTTCAATTTCGTTTTTTTTAATTCTATTATTTATTGATATTTCTATTATTAATTCAAGTTATTATTCGAGATTCCACTTTTTACAATCTCTATTTTAAACCCAAGTGCATTATTTATATGAAGGTTTCCATATTTTATTAATAAAATAATTAATGCAATGTTTGCCAATGATCAAACTAATCGATGAAACTTATTCAAGCTATCCTGTTCCATTTAAATTTTGGATTACCGTGGAAAAATGTTTCTATTAGCTTTAGATATTCACGTTAATTATTGATTGTAATCAATTGGAGAAATGCATTGTTAATATTTTCATTTTTTATTTGCGTTTTTTTTCTCGTTTATTTAAAACGGCAAGTTTTTAGGTCTCGATCAAATTTTATCACTTGTTTTTATTTTTGGCTTTTCAAACCTAATCTTCGTCAAAACAATAGACTCAATCTAGTCAAGTATGAATTTGTATATCTACAATTAAAATGGATTATTCTTGCCAAGGTATGTTCAAATTTGTTCAATATTACAAAAAAAGAAGAAAAAATGGCTCATGTTGATGAAATCATCAACTTTGGTTCCTTTTAGGTTTTAAAACATTTCTCATTTCGGTACATTACCAATGTCTTTCAATCAACAGCATAATAGAATTAATAATTTAGTAACAACAGGACCAAATTGTCCATCCTAAAGTTTTAATCCAGTTATCATCGTCATCACCATTCCAATTTGATTTGTTAATCCAATTCTCTGATATGAGAATCAAACTTTACCGGATCGGTGTTATGGCTCGATTATCTTGATAGGTTTACTATGAATCAATGAAACTTTTTAAGCCCATATCTGCAAGAAAACAAAAAATTAAACCATTAATTATCAATTGTCAGTAAATATTTTGCACCAATTAGCAAATTGAAATACACTTACTCTGAGTGAGAAATCCCAGCTTCCAGTAGATAAAGCTGTACCGTCAGGAGAAACTTTGATACAAGTAACACGATTTTCATGTCCATATAAAATACAGAGTCGTTGGCATTTTAAAGCATCCCAAATATGTACTGTATAATCATTATAACCGGCAAACAAAATACGACCTAAAAGAAATGAAAATAATTCGATTAGTTGTCTTTGTTTTAGATTTATCAATTGTTAATCGCAACTTACCACTAACGGAAAAATCAACAGAATTGACTCCAAAGAGTATACTTTCTTTTGAATAAACAGCAACTTCTCGATCTGCACGTAAATCAAAAAGACGACACTGTGAAGTAAAAAAATATGCAATCAGTTTAACTGTATCTAATTAGAGGCTGATATGTTGATATTTACAGAGGCATCATCTGAACCGGTAACAATAGCATCTCCACTTGGATGATATTTCACAGAATTGATATCAGATTCGTGTCCTTCAAATGATTGCACTGAATGTCCCGTCCTAAGATCCCAAATTAATGCTTGTCTATCACATCCCTGTTATAAAAGAGTAGAAACAAAATTAGTTGTGAGAGATACTTAAGAATTGAAATTAAAAGTGAACTCACGGCAGAAACAAAAGTATTGCCAGTTTCTGAAGGAGAAAGATCAATGGACATAACATCACCCAGGTGTCCATGAAAATTTTGAATTAAAGTTGAACACTCAACATCCCACAAAGAGCATGTACTATCTCCACTTCCAGTAAGAATCTGAAATTATTTAAAATGAAAATGTTAGATCTTATATGAAAATTATATCGAAAAAGCATTTAATCTTACTTGTTGATCGGTACCAGGAAAAAGACAACAAGACATGTAACTAGTGTGGGTTCCTACGTGCTTCTTTTTGGCTTGAGCATCGTCTTCTATACTCAATGGGAAAACAGTTATCTTATTGTCCAACCCTCTGTGAAAAACAGATTCAAAAGAAGTAAAAATTAATATAATTTCAGCAATAATTTTAACGAGAAATCAAAAGAAATTTAGATAAGTTTGATCGACTGATTTTATTTGGAAGACAAGCTTACCCACAGGCTACCATAGTTCCGGAAGGTGCATAAGCACAGGACATTACCCAAGTTGTTGGCATACTTATGGCGTGTTCCTAATGATTCAGAAAAATGAAATAGTTGATCAGTTTGTAATTCATTTTGTGATCAGTTGATGATTGAAAGATAATTACTTTATTTGTGGTGAATGCATCCCAAATAATCATTTTACCATCTTGAGATGAACTAACAATATGCCTCTTATCCAGAGACCAATCTGAGCATAAGACTTTTCCTTGGTGTCCTTTCAATACTCTCCTTTGTTTTATATTAAGACTTCCTAAAATTTCTAACCTTTGAGCCACTTGTGCAACTGTAAAAGAAGACAAAAATTAAACATCAATTGAAATAATTAAACAGTTAATGAAATAATCGCATAACATGGTTATGACAAAAGATAAAGGCTGATTTCAAATGCACTGATAGAAGCAAACATGTGAAAAAAGCAGGTTCATGTGAAAATATGGTCAAGTGACAAAATTATTCATAGTCTAACGAAACAATGAAATGAATGTGAAAATTGAGTTATAATAATAACAATTAAATAGTAAACATCGAGAGAGGTCGATATGTCAAATGGCTGTCTCGAGTGGTTTTTAAGCCTGGTTGGACGGTGGGTTATGAGAAATGAAAGGTTCGAGGGCATCAAATGGTGAATCTAATAGACTATTAAGTATAATTATAGGGAATACCTAGCTATCTAACTGTTAATTTAGTGTTGTAAATGATATTCATCTGAGTGGATTCATTGTTTTGGTACACATAAATGATTTTGATAGGATATGAACAAATGTTTAACTTACATGAAACATCATTTAATTTTTTCCTTTCTTCTTCTAATCTTGATTTTAACCTTTCTATTTCTTTTCTCAAATCGTCGATCGAATCATTTGGTTTATCGGTTTCCCCACAACCTACACCAGAACCATTACCAGGTTGTTGAATTGTTGTTGAGGTTCCACTAGTAGTAGCTTGTGACTGGTGATCACCATCACTGGCCATAACTAGGATTTAAATATCACTAGGTTAAAATATAAATATCTAGTACTATAATGAACACAATAATGAATGTAAAAATTTGATTAAAAGGGTAAAATGAAAAAGAAAACAAAAAGGTGATTCACAATTTAGATGAATTACAATTAAAAGTCAGTAAATGATTATAAAATATAAAGAAATGGGAGCCAAAAGAGAGAGAGAGAAATGAGAAAGTAAAGAAAGAGTAAAATCAATGATTCAGATGATTTATAAAAAGAAGCAGATCTCGAAAAGAACCAGTGAAGCTGCTTATATTCCTGCGCTATTCCATGTTTTTCCTTTTTCATCTCCTTCTTCCTATCGTCTATCGTTTTCTTATTTCTCTCCCTTTTCATTATCATGATGATCAACAACAGTAACATCATCGTTAATATTTTTCGCTTCACTTCTAGTCTCGATTCCCACCACTTTTGCCTTCCTCGGTCATCGTCTTGAAAACCTTGTTTCCATTGTAAACTCGGTCATTCTAATGACAAAAATGAATGAATCCCTTAAAACATTATCATGAAAATTTCATTTACAAATTTCGTTCTTATTATGTTTACATTTATTGTTTAAAAGTAGATTCATATTAAAGCCGTTGCCTGATCCATGAATAGGGCAAAGCTGTGACAAAGTTGATCCAATAAATGAAAGGCAATTGTTTCATTCATCCATTAGTGATGGATCAATCTGTTGGACGAAATTAACAAATTACAATTACAATTGTTTTAGGTAGGAAAGTGTATACTTTATTTTATTAATCAAACTTAATAATAGGTATAATAGTAAATTCAAGTGCCTCAGAATACATTATTTTGAAATGTACATGAATGTTTACTACTTTTTTGGCGATTCCTTGTGTGTCCATTGCTAATCATAGTTGAGGGCAGTTGCTGAGGATTAGTATAAGAAAGTCAATGATTTGAAGTGGAATATTGCTGATGAGGAAGAGAGCGTTTCATCAAATTTGAGTTAGCTTTTGAGTTAATGGGAAAGTTACTTTACCATGAACAGCATTACTTTTCAATCTTTGACTGAAAATTTTTGCTACCAAACGATTTGTTTTACCATTTTGTTGTTTCATTTTCTCTTCTTTAAGCTTCTTGATCTCAGGCAGATGTGAGTATAAACGTTCAGTTTGTTTTCTCATTTCTTTTTCAGTAAACATTTTTCTTGGTTTAATTACTTTCACTTTATCAGGTCCGTTATTGCCAATAATATCGTGGTCTCTTTTGTACATTAAATCCAATTGTTCAAATCTACAATCGGTGTTTGCCTTTCTCATTTCAGATTTAATATTGATTCGATTGACTCTAGATTCAGAATTTTTCAAAATATGACTACATCTTTCACGGAAGGCTTGCTGTAATGATAAATTTGAGCTTCCTGGATACAAAACTTCAGTTTGATGATAATTTGATAGGAAATTGGTGAATTTAGTTGACGATTTATCTAATTTATGTTCATTGGCAGGAATAGTCCAGTAAACAGCTTGTTTCTGTGATTTATCCACAGTTGAAGAAGAGGCGAAATTACAGGCACTTTTATTCATTTTTCTGTTTAACTTTTGACTTGGAGCTATTAGGTTTGAAGTTTGAACTCCAATAGAATGGCAAGGTTCATCAGGATCATCCATTGTTGTTGCTTCGTATAACTTGTGAATTATCTGGTCTACTTTATCATGAATTTGATGGATTCTTTCCTTTTTTGTAGGAAAATTTACAATATTGTTTTCTCTGGTGTATTCTGATGGCTTTGTTTGAGTTGTTGCATCTGATTTTACTTTAACAGATGAATTGTAATTAACACACTGTTCTTTTTCATTTTCATTAGATGATTCACAATCTGTTAAAGGATAATTATTCCGATGAAGATTCTCTGGTTTACTGACAACATCTGGAGCTTTCTTTGAATTGGATGGCAGTTGGCAGGCAGAGTTACAGATTCCTTCACAGTTATCACAGATTTCGATTTTATTGAGCATTTCTTTTTGCATCTTGGATTTTTTATGCAATTTTGACAAAATTTGTTCCATTTTTTGTAGTCGAAACAGTTCTCTCTGCAAATTATCAAGATAAACCTTCTGCTTTTTAATCAGGTCCTTGAATTCTCTGGCTGGATCATCATCAGCGACGGAAATTGATGAGTTGTCAGATTCTTCCGCTGACAGATTTGACTTTGTTGAAGATTCACTGTCACTTCCTTCAAGGTGCTCGAAATTATTCAAATGATTCGCAATCTCGGCTTCGCCTAAATTGTCGTGAGTTTTATGGACTATTGAATGTTCATAAAGTTCTTTCACTATTCCACTTTGCGAAGAATTGTCCTCATCACTTGGATCACTCATATCAGATAAATTACCACTAAGAGTATCTAATGCTGAAAATAAGAAATTACGGGTTATATTAGGGAATATAAAATTCATAAACAACACAAAAATAAAAAGTAAAGGTCTTACTGTCACTTTTAGAGTCAGATTCATCCAAATCTGAGGAGAGCATCGTTAGCCTTTGCCGTAATTCACGATTGATGAGAAAAGATGGAGAAGCCAAGGTTTCTGAATCACTACTCATATAATTACATTTATCCTCGTCAAGGAGAGATTTATTGCAACTCGAAATGGTCGATTGATTACTAGAAATAGGTTCAAGAGATGTTAGTTCAGATGAAATTGAAGACAGGCTTGTTAAGTCATCCAAAGACGATGAATATGTTCCAGAGGTTGATTGGTTGCTTGAGATAGAGTCTTTCATTGTTCACCTGGTTATATTTGAGATCGTATTTACCAGTAACTAAACCACAACAATCACAGAGTTACAAGAAAATGGAGTCAACTCAAAGCATAAACAAAGGGTTAATACATAAATACAATACTCTGAATAACAAATGATTGTTTACATTAATTTAAAGGTGAAAATATTAAATTGATTTCTTCCACTTAAAAGGTTAGGAAAATAAAATTAATTGAGATTCATCAATTTTGCTCGAGCACAATTTGAAGCAATACATGAGTGTAGATTTTCACGACACAAGAAAATAAGTCAAAAAGACATTTGATGATGTTGTTTATATGATGAACAGAATGGTCGAAGAAAAGAATGGATTCAACAAACCATTGATAGTATTAAAACATATTCATAATGATTGAGTAAAATTAATCAAACAATTGAAGGAAATAAACATAAGCACATCAATACAAGAAGTTAACGCTTTTTTTAAATGAAGAGCCATTTAAGAGCAAATAGGGAATTGGATCCAATGTAAAGTATCGGATCCAACACATGTTTTTTGTTTTCGTTTTCTTTACCGATTTGTTTTTAATGTTTTTGAGTTCGAACCGTCCGATAGCTTAAAAATGTTGAAGTTGACAGTTCGTAGTTTTAGTTCGTGTAAAAATAGTTCACCTATTTATTTAAGTAGATATTTACAGTCATCAAATAGTAACCGTTTGGTTATTGAGAAAACTCGTGCATGTTCAACTTCATCGAATAAACCTAGTCAACAACAGTCTAATCAAATTCCGAAGGAATTTATGCCTGAAGAGGTTATTGAAAAAGTTCAATCTGTTCGCTCTTTGGATGTTACCAGTAAAGTTCCTCTACGCCCGGTTCAAGACTTAGGAATCAAATCCGAAGTATTGCGAGTTCAGAAAAACGGTTCGTTTATTAAAAGATTGTTTATTGGAAAATTTGACTCTGATTTTTTAGCATATCCTGAAATATTGAAGACTCGCAAGGAATATGATGAAATTCAAAAACAATGTGCTATGATCGAAACACATTGGCAAAGTTTCTCTAATGACACTGCCTCTCTTCATAAATTACAATTTGATAAACTATGGAAAATGACGGCTACTGAAATGATGACTGTTTTTGAATCGATTGGACATGCTTCTACTATTCGATTTAGAGACTGTTTTACCTCCAATGTAGTTAACCACGAAACTGAAGGTCCTAAACCTGATGCCAAAGGTTACATGTGCGTTAAAAAGGATCATCCTGTTTTGGACATGAAGAGTGTTCATAATCTATTTAATCTTCTTAATCATAATTGCCTTGGTTTGGGTGCAGTTGAATGGGGAGACAGCGATGAAATTAGGGATCAAGTTTTGCAAGACCTTCGTTCAAACCCATCTCTGAAAATAGGTTTTGCTTGGACAGAGCGAGAATTACCTTTTGGAGCAGGCAGTTTTGCTGATTGGGATACAGTTGCGTCGCGATCTACTGACAAGTCATTTTGGACTGTTTCTGGTTCAAAAAATCGCATTTTGAAAGACAATTATGATTATTATCTTATTTTTGCCAAAACTCAGGATTACACTGAAGAAGAAAAACCTCAATGGATGTTAGCTGGACATTCTGTTGCTCCTCCAGGTATTGTAGGATTTTTGGTACCTGCTAAGATGATCGGCAGAATAGAAGACGAAGAACTCATCAATGGTTTAGTTTATCAAAAAATCACTTTCGACAATTTAGTTTTACAAACTCAGCATCATCTTCTTGTTGAACCATCACCTTTGGGGATAAGATCTCTTAATATCCGTGGACTTGGTCTACTTGGGACTTCCGCAACAATTTTAGGATTGATGAAATCATTATTAAACGATTGTTATCGTTATCTTCTCAAACAGCGAACTCCTTTGTTGGATTGTCAAACAGTCGAGAGACTCCTTTGTAACATAACTAACAAAATCTATTCCTTAGAATCTTGTTTATACATGACATCTCAAGCTTACGACGCATTCGACAATATCAATGCTGATCCAGAACAAAATTTGGAAGCTTCAGTTTGTAAAATTTTGGCAATTGAGATGGCACACGAAATAATTGAATCAATTCAATCAATTTATGGTTCTCAAATGTTGATTACATCGCCTTTGCATGATTTTATCAACCTTTTAGACTCTTACTTGGATAATTCAGTTGCACACAGAGTCAACGTTGGAATGAGTGGTATGTGGTTTGCTGGCTACTACAAAAATGACCGAATTCGTAAAAGGAGGCTGGCACCATTCTTCCCTATGTACCGAGTTTATGAATTAATGAATGAGTATAAACTTGGCAAAGAAAAACCCAAATTAATTTATGATCTAAGGGGCCATGTTCATCCTTCACTTGGAGAGGAAGCTGACAAATTGGAGACATTATCACTAAAATTCGGACTTGGCGTTGAATGGGTCCTTAAACGTTGGGCTAAAGTAAGTATTCTTTTAACCAATGTCTGTTAACCATTCAACTTATTTTATTAATACGAAATTTTCAATTTTTATGATAAACAGGAAACAGTACGACGACAAAATGATTTGGAAAGAATCGCTGAAATGGTTGTCGATATTTACACCATGACGGGCACACTTTCCAGGGCTTCAAAGGCTTATTGTGATGCTTGTAAAAATTGTGATATGGATCGTTTTATTGCTATTAGTATCATCAATCGATTGTATGAAAAAGGAATGCTCTGTTTTGAAGAGCTAAACCACTCTCAGCTTGATACTGATGAATATAGAAATCACCATATCCACAGGAAAAATATTGAATACGGTGGATATTTTGCACAATCTTCACTACACAGGATACATTATTAGTACATTTATAATTTTCTGAATCACTGTATTGAGTACATTTTTTGTCATATAGCGTTTAATAAACTGAGAAACCGCCATTTGTTGGTTTAGTTGATTAAAAGATAAAGATCAGTAGATGATTTCAAAGTCATTGAGATAAGAAAGTCAAAGAAAATGAGTTTATCTAAACTTATCTTTTCACATATTGACTCAATTCATTCGGGAATAAGACAAAAGTTGTAAACAAACTGGAAGATTACATTACATGATCTAGAAACTCCTTAATAGTTCGCGAACAGAGGCCACTCAGTCGATCCAGGCTTAAACATTAACCCAGAAGAAAAGGATAAATTTTGCTAGCATCTTGTGCTTGATAAAATTTATGCCCGTAACACGTTTATTAAATTAAATTTCTAGTAGCAAAAATAGTTCTTAACCCAGTTTCGTTTCTTTAATCAATCCTTGATGAAGCAGACATTGATAATTGTTTTTAAATGAAAATTATTGCGTATCAAAAACATAAAGAGGCAAATGTTTATCATCCGGTCAAACTAGAGACTCTTAAGTTTGCAAACGTTAAGACTTGGGTTGACTGGGCAACAAAACAAACCCTTTCCATTGACATGCGTAAACATTTGCTTGTTTTGGTTTTGGTTTTGGTTGCTCGTCTTATAAATTTCATCATTTTAGTGTTTGCCGCCATTTTACTTGCTTGTGTTTGATTGTTTGTCTAATTTATGTGAAAATGTCTTTCAACGAAAGTTCAACCGATGAAAATTCAATCATGATGGAAACTTCATTGTGGGATGATGTTCCTTCCATCGTTTCTGATATGACCCCACCAAGGCATGAATCAACACCAACTATTTCTCGTCGATCAAGATGCATCAAAAAGAAGCCAAAAAAAGTTACCAATAGGAAACCCCTTAAACCGGTCAACCTTTGGGATAAAGCTTTGAAGAAAAATAAGGATCTGGCAAAGTTTATTGAGTTTCACAACGAACAAATGGAAAAGATCTGCAATTTTGAATTGTCCATCCGATCTGAGCCCGATATCACCAGAGAGTACTCGTTTCAGTGATTTTCAACTGTCAACATTTCATCAGATTCTCCTTTCCCCATTATTTTTCTTTCCAGTCTTTATTGTTAAAAACATGTTACCAATTCAAAAAAATTTTTCCAACTATTTTTGCAATTTTTCTATATAAATATCAATAAATATTCTGAGATTTCAATAAAATAAATTATTTTTTAAAATGTCGTCATCTATTTCGCGCTTTCAATTTGGCGCTCCTTTTGCCAGTCACATGGTGATAATAATTTTGAAAAACAGAAAAACATGTGTCTTGTGAAAACATTGTGATCTTTAAGTTAATATAGTTAAACATTGTTCAGCTCTAATTTTTGAATACATCTTTTAACATCTTTAATTTCTCCTGCTCTTAACCGAGCATTGATATTTCATGATAGTGGTGCACTTTTCTAGAAGTTTCTAGAGATCTCTTTTTATTATTATCATAGTTTCTCTGTACATCGTTTTACAAGTTGACTGACCAATTTTCATTTCTTTATTTAGCCGATCATAATGGGAAAACAAGTAGATGATGGTATGTCTCTAACAACTGCTGTTGAGGATAATGAGAGTACCTGGGAATCATTAGGTGTGGATGAAAATATAATTCAAGCGCTCAAAGAACATGGTCTCGATGAACCGACAGATATTCAAAAAGGGATCCTCAAGTCAGCTTTAACAGGTACTTTTGATGTGCTTGGCGCTGCTCCTACTGGTAGTGGAAAAACTCTTGCCTTTGGTATTCCTTTAATACAAAAGATTCAAGAAAGAAAAGAGCGTTTTGGTAATAGCAAATTAAGAGGTCTGGTTATTACACCAACTAGAGAGCTGGCTCAACAGATCAAAACTCATCTTGATAGAGCTGCTAAATATACCACAGTGAAGATTGCTGTTGTATTTGGTGGTTTATCGACGCAAAGACAGGAAAGAATTCTTTCTAAAGGCCAGCCTGATATACTTGTTGCAACACCTGGAAGACTTTGGGAGATAATTGATGAAATGGACATTCCTCATGTTTCTCATAAATCGATTGCTCATATTCGTTTTTTAGTTATTGATGAAGCTGATCGTATGACTGAAAAAGGATACTTTTCAGAGTTGACCAACGTTCTTAACCTGATCAAGGAACGAGGAGCTAAAATCAGTCGACAGGTGTTTCTTCTCTCTGCCACATTAACATTTATTCATAAAGGACCTAAACTGATCAAAAATATGAAACAACCTAACCTTCGTCAAAAGTTACGGCATCTTAATCGAATAATAGGAATGAAGAATGAGAAGATCATCGTCGATTTAACTGCAGGTGGTGTGGGAACTCCTAGTCGTGAGCAATTGTCAATTTTCAAAATCGAATGTTTAAAAGATGAAAAAGATCTTTATTTATATTACTTTCTATTGGCGAATCCTGGTAGATCGATTATTTTTTGTAATAGTAAAGATTGTTTACGTCGACTTCAGAACCTATTAACTCTCCTTCAGATTAAACCCATTCCTTTGCATGCAGCTATGGAGCAAAAACGACGACTTTCTAATTTAGAAAGATTCAGTACTAATCCACAAAGTGTTTTACTCGCTAGTGATGTTGCTGCTCGTGGATTAGATATATCATACGTTGACCATGTTATCCATTATCAAGTACCGAGAACTGCAGAATTGTATATTCATCGTAGTGGTCGTACTGCCCGAATGTCCAATAAAGGAATATCTCTTCTTCTTTGTGAACCCAAAGAAAGTTATATGTATAACAAATTATGTGTCGCCATCAATGACTCTAAGGATTTGGATACTTTTCCTGTGGACGAAGTAAAGCTAAACAAATTACGAGAACGTGTAGGAGTTGCCAAACAATTAGATGTTCTGACTCATAGGCAAAAGAAAACAAAATCAAGTGATGATTTTTTCCGTGAAATGGCAAAAAAATGTGAAATTGATCTTGAAGATCGTGATGATCTATTTTTGAAGGACGAAAATGCACCAAAAGAGGGAAAAAAGATAAAAAATTTGCAGAACCAATTGAAACATTTACTGAAAAGGCAAATTTTTTAGTCGGGATTTTTAAAGCCAAATAGATTGCGCTCAATTGTATTTTGAAGCTATTTAAGACCTTATGGAAATGACTTTGTGAATCTATTTAAACGGACTACTGTTTTGGAAATTTGTAAATAAAAACGTTTTTTGTAAAACAAGCGATTTCATGTTCATTTGAAATGGTACCTTTGTATAAGTCGTAACTAAAGTCAAAACATTGACTAAAATGGACATGCTTACATAGATAAATCTTTCGAAACATTTCGTTAAGACAAATTCAATTTTTTCAATCATCAGATGACTCCTACTCTTTGTAAATACTAATAGCTTAACTCTTCAAACGATAGCAAAGTAAATTAAAAGCTTTCTTCATAAAGTCTCTCGAGATTCTTGTCATTGACATGATGGACTGAACAACAACAAAAAAATCCTATTGATATAAAGTGCATTGGCAACCAAAACAATCAACATCTCGACGTTAATCCAACTCTCTGTCTATTTGATTGGTTAAATCATCGATCAAGATGCAATTGAAGAGAGTAAATCCAGCTTTTGTTTATATCGATCTCTACATCTGATTAACTGAAACCAGTGAGTTATCAGGTGATGCTTCAACCCAAATGTAACAGAATCAAGATATTTTTCTGACTTGCTGTGAACAAAGAAGGAAATTAAGATGAACGATTAAAACCATAATAACTTAGTTAACCAAAATCTCGATTGACCAATCTGAAGTATCAAGCTAAAGTCAAGGAGCCCCAAGAACAGCCTTTCAAGGAAAATAATCTGGATCAAATTAATCACTAAATAACCATTGATCAAAAGCACAACACATGTATTGTTAGAGTGCCTTTTGGATGTCAAACAAACAATTAAAGACTTGTTAAAGACACCAAACAAATGTCAAATCCATTTAATAGCTTGAAAAGTCAAGTTGACCAATAATTTTATATCCTAATGGTTATAGATGAGTTTATTGATGACAAATAAAAGTTACAATGTAATGACATTTCAGAGAAAATTGTTTCTAGATATTTCAAGTCAGGCCTACAAAATGCTAGAAAAACCATGAAAAATAAAAAAAGTGTGAAAAAAATGTTCAAGTGAATTGAAAGGAATTGTGTGAATCAAATAGAGATTAGATGATGATGTTGGTATAATCTTATTTTACCATTAAAGAGTTGATTGGTGAGAGAAAGCGCAGTTAATATGAAACAATTGAAATCCATCATCACCATCAACGAAGATGAAAGATCAATAGATGAACTGAATCATCTTGTATAACTTCAGCTATATTTATATCCTGGTAGCTGTAATTTTACCAATCACAGTAATGTTTATGATACAAGCCAAAAGCATCTATTTTTTCACTCCTAAGCCATTAAATCATCCATTTGATTGTTAATTTTAAAAATCAAGAAAATTTGCTGTTCTGTTGATTTCTCATTATCATAGGAAACCATTTTTCTTGAGCTTCTTCCTGCCTTTCCTTCATCAACTCATAAATCACCAAATAAATGTTCAATCAAGTAATTCCAGTTCTTTGAGCTGCTAATCATCTCAGTTATTTATTAATATTATTATGACAGTATCAATGATACAATTACGCTCGGCGTGTTCAAAACAAAGGCCAAATATGATGAGAAGCAAAAATAATGGCAACAAAACAGAGTAATTTGGATTACAGATTAATATATCGTTGTATTTATAAAACTAATCGATTGATTAAATTAAATGTGATCCAAATTAAAGGCAATTATTGTTCAACAGTCAAGGAGCTTTGAGCATTACAAAAAACTAAATTGTGCAAAGCAAATAATAACATATTTTGGTTCGTATAACAGTTTTGGTACAATTGAAATTACATAAAATTTGACTAGATAATAAGCTTTTTATAATGAAATATCAATTATAATTTAATGTATAAATTAATGTGATCCAGTTGATTAGATGCACAAGATGATTTGAAATACAAAAAAAAGAGCCAATCCATTGTGCTTGCAATGCGATCAGGTTTAATGGTTAGGTTAAAGTTGGGTTGATGTTATAAAGTGAGGCTCTGATTTGGATCGATTGTAATTAATTTGGCCAGATTGGTAATCATTATTAAGGTTATTGTTAGGAGAATCATCGACATTGAGACAAATTTGGGATAATTTGTTTGAAGCCAGCGAATGCTCTTTATCCAATGGATTATTAATTAACTTATTGTCATTGTTTCCAGTCTCACTTTCATTCAATGGATTGTTATCAAATTTAATTGCAAACAAAAAATTATCACTATAACGTCTTTTACTGAATCTAGAGTCATTTAGAGTGATTCCTTGAGTTTCACCAGATCCCTCAGTACAGTCAGACTGAATGAGATGGGGAATGAATGAAGATGCAACAGAGTTGGGTGATAAACCCAATGAAGTAACATTGGGTTGTTGTAAATGGGTTGAAACTGTAATTGATGGCAAACAGTTATTAACTTGTGGGACATTTGAGGTTAAATTTGAACCATTAATGAGCAGACACTCGGCTTTTGATTCAATCTTGATGCCATCTGACCTTTTCCCTGGATCAGTCTTGTCAAGCTTTTCCGTTGGTTTATCAGGCAAACAACCAGAAACTGGTGGACTTGACTCACTGTGACCAGAATCAGTTGATAAATGACTAACTTGACCACAAATAAACATAACTAAACGATGTCTATATTTAGCCATGTGAGTTAATGATTTAACCTTAGAGGGATCATCATTTTCATTTTTTCGTGTCAATTGTTGACTTTGATTGGTGCTTTGCTGTGAATTGTTTGCTTGTCCATGCAGGTTATTATGATTGTGATGTTGATCTCCAGAAACAATCCTGTCAGAATCTTCAAGCTCCTCATGAGATGAAATGCAAAGCATTAAACGCAATATATTTGTAAATCCAAGACGAAACCTTGTTGACATTAACACGTAAATTAATGGATTGATTGATGAATTGAGGAAAGCAAATAAGTTAATACATAACATGGTAAAAAAGTAGTTATGTTTGGTCATAAAATTAACCTCTTGGTATTGGGTTACAATTGAAACCAGAAAATAAGGTGTCCAAGATATGGTGAAAGCAAAAACCACAACCAAAATCATTTTGGCAACCTAAATAATAAGTGAACAAACAAAAAGGTAAACACAATTAGTTTAGTTACAATCTTTTAAGCCATTTGCAATTGATATGGACAATTTAAACAACTTCAACTTGTATCACATTTTACAATTGATACAATTTTCATGCCTATTCAAATGGTTTTGGGTGGATTTGAACCCATAAAGGGTTGTAAATACTTTATTGTTCAAATGTCATCGAAAGCTAATCTTGAAGTAATCTCAACTATTCAGATTGATTGATTGGATCCAACTTTTAGGTGAATTGGTTATACGCTTAATAATTTAGTTCACCATATTATGTGAACTTATCCAAATTTAAGGAAAGTGATAGTTGATTGATTAGGTTGAAATTTTCATGGTCAATACAGAAAAATATTGAACCAATTTAGGAATCAATTAGCAGGTAAATTTGGTTCAAATTGTCTAGCAATGATTATAAGGTTAGATCAGACAAATGATTCTGTAAAATGAAAAAAAAAGATTGAAAGTAATGTTAAAGGTTCTGGTTAAAAAGTCTAGAGTCTAGCCAATAGACAGGGGAAATATCAAAATGGATTTCTGGTAAAAATAGTAAATCAAAACATTTATTATCAAAATTAAAATCATTTCAAATCATTTGAAATCTTGTTTTGATGAAAACCTTTAAAATGATCAAGAGTCGAGTGATAAATTAGTTGAAATGATTAAAGATTTGTGTATCCAAACTGGATCTAAATTGAGTCTATTTATGTCTTTTTTTCTGGTAACATCTGATGGCAAAAAGCTGGTTTGATTCCCAGGTAAACCTTAATCATTATCTGATCAACCGAGGAGGTAAAAAGTTCCAATGGCAGGTTGAGGATCAAAGTAAACGATTGATAGACATGCTAGACTTTAAATTATCTCTGATGCTTTTTGTTAAATCTATTAAAACCAGTTTAAATCTGTAAAATGAAAAATTGATCAATTTAAAATGAAATTTTTCTAGATCATTTAAGTTAATCAGATAGGGATAATTTTTCTTACTCAGAGAGCCCAAAATTCTGACAGTTTTCCTCTGTAATGACTATAGTCTAAGGTTTGCCTCCAGTTACTGGGTGACTTGATAATTTCATGTTGAATTAATAAAAATCAAGATAACCATCGAGATACAATTGAAAAATAGACTAAACTGACATCAGGTTTATGGGGCTGTAAAAAGGAGCTTTAAACTGCAACTTAAATCTAATTCATCTGATTATTATTAAGATAATCAAGATAAACTAAGACAAATATGATCAAGCGACAATTGAGACACCAAAGGTAGAAGAATACATTTCCAAGCTTTGATAAATATCAAAATAATGAAATGAAACCCAATACAAGGAGAACCAGAAAAGCAATAAATCACAAGATTTGAAACAATCTAACCAGTTTCCTATGGCAGGTCAAACAAATGGGTAATTCAAAGCCAACTGTAACTGTTTAACCAGTTAATGACATTTAACCAGAATGGTAATCAAATATGAATAATGGTGAGTTTCCATAAGGATTTAAATGTAATTACAAGTGAACCCAAACCAATGCAATGTTTAGTATTGAATAAAATGTTGACTTTGTTTAATCCATTCTTGGTAATGGCTATTAATGTGAATTACCTTGCGTCGGTTAACTTCTTGACGACGGAGTAAACCTTCACGTTGAAGTATCGTTTGCTTGATCAAACACCTTGCAATCTGGAAACATGTCCATCCAATAAACAGCAATGGTATTAAGTAAAAAAAGATGAATAAACAGGTATAATATTTGGCTCTAAAGGCAGGTGAAAAATTGACAAAACAGGTTAACCTTTCTATGGTTCCTAAAGGTGAGGTTAACCTGTTTGGATAAGCTTTTGATGGCATTAAAAATGGACCGGCAGCAACCAACGGAATGTACCAAACTCCATGAAGTATCTTGATGGTCCGGGATTTAGATTGATGAACACGAGATCGCAACGGATGAACAACAGCAAAATATCTGCAAACAACAATTAATTCAATTTCAGTTGATTACTTCAAGAATTAGCAAAACCATGATAAAAACCAAGCCTCAAATGTTGAATGAACCGATCGATTCAAGTCTAAATATAACAATACTTGGAACCATTGAGATGTCAATTGAATAGCAAATGAAAATGACTTGAAAAATGATGGAAAAATGACTTTTTCTGCTAATTTAAATTTTCTTTGGTCGCACTTGGCGAAGATTTGAAATGTCGATATCAATGATCTTTCATGAACTTTTTACATCGAAATTCATTGTTTTGGATTAGATTTTATCATAAATCTATTTGAGTATGAAATACATTTGTGAAAATTGTACTTTTGTTGGTTAAGATTATGCTTTTCCAAGTCTTGAAAAAATTGTTTGATAAAAAAGTGATTCAGGAATAATTCATGATCATCAACGGCAATCAATTTATTGATTAATTCTGCATGATAGACTTGAACATTGTTCACATCAATATGGTCAAACCAGGGAAATTGCAAGAAAAGCAAATCTTAAGACAACAAAATGTTTATTAATTTTCGATCATTTCGCCCATCAAACATCATTGCAAGATAATTCATCATATTTTTGGAAACAATTGATACATCTGAAGGAACAGCTTGTCAGACTGAAATTGAAACACTTTATGGATACTTTTGGTAAACTTTTCACATTAGGTTTCAATGGATTTTCAATTCAACTCGAAAATGATGTGAACAGACGAGAAAATCAATCAAGGATTCCATGATTAATTGTTCAACTTGTTCAGAATAATGAAGCGAACATAAAGCGTTTGTTACTTTTGAACTCTTCAGGTGATTGAAAACTAGACTATTTTAATTGCATTTCAGTGTAAAATTGAAACGTTTCTTAATCGGAAAATTAGATTTTTTAATCAACTTTTGTCAAGAATTATTTCGAGTCTAAAGAGTTATTGTTACGAGTAAATGGGAATACATTTTATCCATTCTTAGTTTGTTTTTGTTACATTTTCACGAGTTTGACTGACATTTGGGTTTTGAGTTCTCAATTTTTCATTACATTTCAAGTTAAGGAGTTGATGCAAAATCGACTTTCGAGTCAAGTGTTGGTTCGGTTCAAAGAACCATAAAAAAGAAGTCCATTTTTAGTGAATATTTTCAGTCTTTTTAATAAAATCGTGTTCAAACTTCAAACTTTATTGCTTTTCCACACCAATTTTGTATATTTTCATCAAACTAATTTCTTAAGACCAAGTCATATCAAAAGACTAATGTGTTACAATAAAAGACCATTCAGATCATACAAAAATAGTTGTTGTATTATTATATTGTAAGTGCTATCATCCTGGAAATGTCAAGACTCAGAGTTTTAAGATAATCCTCAAAAATCAAGATAACTTTCGATAAATTTTTAAAATCGATTTTTCGTTTTCAATATTTTACTGGCAAAATAAAGTTCAGCTCTTCATCCATTATCAGCCGACTTTTTATCCAGAGAAGGTTACTTGAGTCATGACTGGTGAATAGATGGATTTATTTGATGTGTTATTGAACGACAATTTACAAGTTGATTAAAAATCCATCGGAATTAAAAGTAAATTTATGTCACTTGTTTGACTGAAATTGAAAGGCCATAAGATAAATTGAGTTTGGGTCTCATAAGTTGAATTGTAAGAATGGTTAACAATAATTGTAATGGCAACATTAATAGTAAATTACAATTTGTTGGACAAAATGAGATGGAATTGAAAAAAGTGCAATTATTTATAGTTACTGTTATTATTGTAAATGATTGAAACTAATAATATAATATGAATTGAATATCATTAAAGATGGTAATCAGTAAATTGAGTTACAGCTCTAATGAAAAAATAGAAACATTCATAAAGGTTATTAACAATAAACTTTGATTGTCCAATTGATTAACAGTGTTTCATTTAATAGTTAACAGTTGACATTCGCGATTATGAGAAGGCAATTATAATTATTTACAGTTTAACCATTATGACAACGTTCACAGTGATCATTGTTAATTAACCTTAATCTCATGTTGGCAGGCAACAATTAATCTAACAATCTTTCAATTTAGTCCAAGGTGAAGGTTGAAAGTTGATCAAAAAAAGATTGAAATCTAAATTGTAAATTGCCGTTAATAAGCCAAACCAAATGATTAGCTCTACAAAGGGTAAAAGATGCAATCAATTTGGTTTGTCATCATTAAAGTAATCACAAAATGGTAAAATATTGACTGTGAAAAAGCCTTTTTTTTGGGTTAAAAACGAAACCCATTTTCTTGATCAAAACCCTTCCAACCGTAATCACTTTAATCACAATAACTTTACAGTAACAATTGTAATCATCTTGAAAGTTAATTCACTAAACAGTGTTCCAATGATAGCCATAAATCATCGGTAAATCACAAGTGAAATGGTTAACACTTACAGCAACAAAAGACGATTGTTTACTCGCAATAAAACAAACCAGAGTTTGAACCCAATTTTGACCAGATATAATGTCTTAAGCCTTTGTCTAATCACCAGAATTTAGCCGGAAATTCATCTCAAATTTTATTCAACTAAATAATGAAATCAACGATAAATTCAATGAAATGTTGATAATAAAAAATAACATCGCCTACACATTGAGCGATGTTTTGAATAAAATACTAGCTCTGCTTCATTATAATCTAATATGTAACATCAAATGTTGTATACATTTTGAATTTATTATTTTTTTATTACATTTACTGAGCAATTGAAATCAACTCTTGAAACATTAGGCCGAGATGAATAGATGAAAGATTACAATGAAAAATGTCTTCTCTGCCATTAAAACTGTTTAAAAATAGTCTTGAAATAACTCAAGCCTTTTTATTGGATTCAGGGAAATGTTATTAATCACTATTTACCGGTGATTATTGGTAAAATGGGTTAAACTGGCAACAAGGTTAAAGAGTTGAAATGTTAATTATGGTAATTTAATATGTAATGTAACATTTTAACTAAAAAATTGTAATTGAATATCGTTCAGCATTCTGTCCTTCCTTTGAGATGTTATTTTTCAAGTCAGCAATAGTTGTTACAATAAGGACTTTTTTTGTGTTCAGGATTAATGACAATTCAATTGATTTTCAACACTCATGTTTGTTCAGCAGAAAATAAATTGACGTAAATATTTCATGTGAAAATTGGTAAATTATTGTAAATGATTGCATCTAGATTGAAGTTTGATTGAAATTGAAAGTTAAGCAAGTTGTCATGTTAGATGCTAATAACTGTGTAACGAGTGTACAAGGAAACGTTGATCAACATCTGAATGAATCAGTCAATTGTATTATAATAGTAAATCTATCATGTTTTTTTAAATCATGATAGTAAATATTCAAAAAGGAAGTCAAAACATTTCAAATACAAACATAATCACATTACCAGAATTAATTTGAACCTTTCACGTTTTCAATCATTTCAGGTTAAACATGTTGTTAGTTTAAACAAACCCAATCGATGGATTCAATGACGTTATAAGTTTGAAACATTTCAAGTAATTTTTGGAGATTCAAGATGAAATTGTTTTTTGTTTATTTCATGAACTTTTCCAGTCAAGATGTAAGGTGAACTCAACCTCTCAGTGTAAAATGTTGTTATTGTTGAACAACTCCAATTGTTCAAGTCTTCATCGTTTCTCTTCGTAATTAATTCTTGGTTTGTATAAGAGATATTCATGATAAATTAGTTTACTATTAAAACTAAATTAACTGTTTCGGGTAATCAACTTTCCCTCTGGTGTTTCCTCTCTTCTCAAAGTATATCTTTATTGCTGAGTTCTGTGCGATCTCTTATTCCCGGTGAAACACTTACACCATTGATGTATCGAGATATTTAATAATATTGGGTTAAAAGTGTATCTTAAATGAACAGCAAATGTTATTAAAGTATAATTTTGTCAGTAAAGGTTAGACAAATGTGAAGGATTGACAAATGGTTGAGACCCTTAAGGCAGATAAACAGGAGAAGCTATTTAATAACATCTTACACGAGCTTTCAAATTAATTTTTAAACAGTATCAATAGTTTGAGGATGGCAATGTTGAAGATGAATGATGACAATTCAATCGTTACATGTTATTCAATCACAATCACTTGAAAAAGTACAATCTTAAAATTGTAAAAATAAATAAAGAAAAGGTTAATAACTGTTGAATCTAATATTAACATAGAGACATAATAACATAGAGAGCAATAAGTAGGCAAAGGTAAACATAATATTTATTATCATTGTTAGCATTAGCTAATAGCAATATTTTCACCTGTCATTAAAGATGATTTAATTTGGCTCCAAGATAATTTATGTTTAATAAAAACAAGATTTGTCGGATCAAATAGGCTGACAATTTTGACGATACTTTAATCAAATACTTTTTCACCTTCAAAGTCTCAACTAGCTCGAACGAAAGCATCTAAGAGCTGACATAATCTACGACAGTTGAATCAAAGCTGATACAACCTAAACTAACTGACTGGCATCAAAAAATCCAAATAAATCGAGACCTAATTTAGTCGTTTGGATTCGATTGTCTTCAGCTCGAGGATCAACTCAACCTGCAGTCGCTGAACTGGGACCAATCAAAACGTATTGGAGTCACTTTAAAATCGAAGTTCATTTTGAGGGATTTCATGCGCGAAGTACCTAGGAATCAAGAATAAGCTCAAGAAAATTACTCTTCCAAGAGAAGCTTATGACCTTAGGGTAGCTCAAGAAATTAAAATGAAGTTAATGATCGCAAACAATCGAGTTATAACACAAAGAACTTTTTGTAACATAATTTTTAACCACAGGTTATTTGCCCACAAAAATGGGTTCAACTGCATTACAGCATTTCTCGGCGAGTTACCTCGAGTTTTCAAAAGATTTATTCAAAGCCCTTCCTCTTCCTCAACACAATCAAGGAAGTAAAACAATCCATGAACAGTAAAAGTCAAGGAGCACAATTAGTTTGAATTCATTTTTCAATTTATTAAAATTTTTACCCAAAAACAATTGCTATTCAAGTTCTCGGTTTTCAGTGTTCAATTTGATACATTGTAACTCGACTAAACTCACCAGGAAATGCTGAATGACACAAAATCTGAATCAACCATGTTTCTAATCTAACATCACGAGCAGCTACTCCTACTGAAGTCAATAATTTTCAAGACTGAATTCAGTTCAATTTCAATGAAAATAAATGAATACAGAGAAATGAATATTAATTTCAATGGTTTGTCATATTTCAACTTACAACCATTTCCGCGTGTTCATAGATGCACGCGGTATATTAGAGTATATTTAATATCTAATTAACCAAATTGTAATCGTTTCTGGTGACAAATATTAAGTGCACATTAGTTAAGTATCACAATTCATATAATGTTAAATGAAAGGAATCAATTTGCAGTTTAATTAATACTTGTTTAATTAATTCCAGTGTAAAAAATTCTGTAATTAGATTCTCCCTGTTGTATGTTGAACCAAAAAACCTGAAAGCCTCAAAAGTAAATATGATTAACCTTTGCAATTTAATCACTTCAACCTTTAGTTTTACAGTTTTTTTAATTATTAACATAAACTGAGTCATGTTTATCATTTTACCTTTCAACATTAAACCATTTGGATAATCAAATATTTAAGCATTTAATCATTTTTTATGTGACTTTTGGATTTAGGTTTTCACAAAAGTCTTAGGCGTTTATGGAGGCTGCAGTCAAAAGCAATAACTCGAGTTGATTGCTACGAAGACGGTTATTAACCTCAACTGGTCAGTTACAAGTCATTGGATTGTCAATAGGATTTGTTGAATAACAACCTGTATTTGATCAATTAACAATGTGATAAAGGTAAATCAACTGTCAATGTTTTTTAATGCAGGTTTCAGGCTCTCACTGTGGGTAAACATTTGGATAATGTTGAGTTGTAATTTTGATAATTATCCATAACTTGCAGATATTATCCATTCCTTATTGCCATCCTTTGATGGCCTTTTTGATGATAAACAGGTTGACTGATTTGACAACAGTTTAATGAAAGAGTTGATGTTATTGACTGTCAATACTGATCACAGGCTTACCCAATGTTGGACTTGTGCTGCTTTTTATTGCAGTCAACAGCAACCATTGTAATCATTTAATCAAACCAAGTAAACACAAGGATATATTAACATCTACTCATGTACTTGATTAGGTTTCATTGCTGTACTTTAATCAATTTTGTCAATTACCTTAATCTTTGATCATGTAACATCTATTTAAGTCTTGACTGATTGAAAGGAGTGAGAAATATTGATAAAGATATTCACTGATTGGGTTAAAAACTTGGATTATGAATGTTAATCAGATCCTTGATCATATTGTGATCCCGAGATGACAATGTTACAGCCTTTTATTTATTTTCAAATTGCTTGATTAATCTTATTTCATTATTGTACTTGTTGAGGTTTACTGTACTTCAATTGAATATGTTCATGGTGAAACAATTTACTGTCAATCAAGATGATTAACAATTACAATAATGTTTCAAATGAAACCCAAAATTGTAAGTAATATTGAAATGATATTTCTGGTAACTGTCATTTATTGTTTACTTTTGTACCATTGTAAGATTAGTCAACAATATTGTTGACAATAATAATCTGGTTTTTTTGGGTGAAAACTGTTCAACAATTGCAAAACTAAGCAAAATGTTTCATAGTTGATTTAGAGTTGATGTTGAGTTGAAGTTTCATTTTTTTGACAGTCAGATTAATTCGCTTTTCAATGTTTCATATTTTTCTCACAGACTAATCTACATGATAAAAGGACTGTGAAAACCAAGTCTAATAAATCGTCCTGCAAATGAGCCTGTAATAAATAGCATGGAAAAACTGGCCAAAATGAAAGCTTTTCTTTGGTATAAGAACGAAATGAGCTTGATCTCAGAACATGGTGTTTCCATCATGATGAATATGAGTTTAAAACGATGTCATTATAAGTTCTGTATTTGTCGATTTAAGGCCTTAAGCTTGTTTTCAGTCTTTATTTACTTTACTTTGAAAGTAAATGATAAAAAATGATTGTTTCATTTTAAATGAACAAAGTTACAATGTTTCTTGAAGTTCGTCTCAGCAGAGAACTCAGATCTACTCAGATGTTCAATGATTGATAGGACATCTTCTAATGAATTTCAACTGAATTAAATGTCTTTTAACATCATATTTTTTCGATTTTAAATGCACTCTCATTATGAAGTTTGCATGAATGGTTTTCAATTTCTGAAATAATGTTTTCCAAATAATATTTTTCCTCCTTTTTAGTTATTTTGCGACCAGAATCTTTGTCATTTTTGAGAAATAATATTTTTTGTTTCTGAAAAACTCATTCTCGAAATATTGAGGCTCAATGTTTTCCGGCCAATGACCAAAAGCAAGAGAAGCGTTGATAAATTGAAAAAAATGCTGACGAATAATAAGTTTCAGTTTTGGTCACAACTTAGATAATTTTAAGTTTATTAAAAATGATTTTAATGAAAATGCCCAAATTTCAAACCCAAATATCTGAGGAACCACTTAATTTCCAGAAAAAGTACAATAGGGTTTTTCATAACTCAACATGCTCTATCCAATGAGACATCTCTCATTCAAATCCGTGTTAGGCATCTCGTGCACTTCCCTTGTTAGTCAAAGTCCTTTGATGACGACGGATCAGTTTTCAACCCAAATTTAACCTAATAGCCATCATTTACATGATTTACAAAGTAACTTAAAATGTTATTGGAATGGACAGTTTGGAGCCATCAACTGACGGAATCAATTCATTTTTAACATAAATTTGATTGGACCAAATTAACAAAGGTAATGGCCAGGAATTATTGTTGGACCAACAATGATAATGACGGTTAAAGTTGATGATTAGCAAAAAGTTAATAAGATGAGATAATGATAGGTGATAAAGTGAAAAACCTTCCCAGTGATAATAAACTGTTTCATATATCATTATCATTTGGATGCAATTCATTCACAGTTGAGTAAATTTATTCTTGGAAATAATGATTATCAGATAATTCCTAAAGAGTATAAATTTCTCACAATATTAACTTTTCATCATAATGAAGTCAAAAGATGAAGGTTAACCCAAATCTGTAAATGGCTTTGTAACCAGATTCAAGCATCTTCAACACTGTCGATGAACTGAATCAAAGTCAAACCTTTTAATCAATCAGTTAAATCTGGTTAAATTCACCTGTTATCCAATTAATTTGTATCAATATTAATTGATATGAAAAAAAGTTGCATTTAAATAACGAGAAAATCAAATCAAATCTAGAATCTAAATTTTTTTTACACTCCAATATTAACAATTTATTTACTAATTTCATCTTAATTATCCTGTTCAAATGTATCCAGAATCATGTAAGTGAAGATAATTTTTTTTGTCCTGGCAACGAAAGAAATTTCTGAGAAAATCTTAGCAGAACTTTGATTCCATTTTTCAGACTTTTCTGACTTTTTTGCCTTCAACTCACGTTGAATGATAAATGTATTTGTCAGGCAAAAGAAATGATAAGAATCGCAAAGGTTACCTTAATCAGAAGGATAATTACAAAATATTTAATTGTCAAGTTGTTTATCCAAGTGACAACTTGATAAATCAACTGTTTCCAGACAGAGACTGAAAGGTTATCATATTAACATTGAGTGAAATGAAGATCAAGTACAATGGTTACAAAACAATGTTGATGAAGATTGTTACTTTAGATTTGATTGAAACATCAGAAGAGGATTGGGATTGAATAAACGTTATAAGACTATTATATAACTGAGTTCAATTTCAAGTGGTTATCATCGATACTTGAGATGTGCATTGTGAATCTTGTCAATATAAATATTAAATCATGAAATTCAACAGAGACTTTATTTTTACAATTTTAATGGCGTCATTGATGAAACCAGAAAATGGATGCTCCACTCCCGGTCAAAGGGGTAGTTTAATTAAACTGGTTAGAGGCAAAATTCATCAAAAATGTCGATTAATGATCATTTTTAAAAATTTTAGCCCAAAGCTCATGATAATGATTCTCTAGTTTACCTTGAAAATTCATCAATAAATTATCTCGAAAAAATGCTCATATCATTATGTAATGTTGACTCTAACACAAGACGAGTTTGGACTGAAACTGGAACTATTCTTACAATGGCAATTTACTTTGATTATTTTTCATTTTTCAACTCGATGTTGTCCAATCAATTTAGGGTAATCAGCACAAACCATTTTAGCATCAAATTGTGTATCTTGAGAACGATATTCATTTCTGGAAAATATGAACCTGAGAAAATAATATTTCATGTATAAATATTAACAATGTATGAATACTAACGTTTTTCACTGAAAGTTATGGGATGAAAATCATGGAAAGAAACCTTTTGAGATTTCTTATATTTTCCAGGTTAATGGTTTCAATGAAAAATACCAGATGAAACAAAAATTCATGTTCAATCAACAGTTGTCATATAAGTTTGGGATGATTTATGCTTCATCAGGTTCACAGTTTAACGTAAAAATGGCACTTTTGATATAAGCTGTTGCTCAGCTTTTGCTATAAAACTGGGCAACTGTATAACATCTCGTAAATCATTGATTGACATAAAACACAATTTTTCTAGCAATAAAGGAAGATCGGTCATTTGGTAATGAAAAGCTCAGCTTTTTCCATGAAAAATATTCTGAATTTCTTGGTTTTCATACTTTTAAAAAGAAACATTTGGACGTATTGGTTGACTTACCTTTCAAAACAAATGGCTACCAATGTTAAAACACTTGTAAAGACGATTACGGTTTGAAGATAATTTAAAGCTGTACAAAGATTATCATTAAGAATCGACCAAGAGGCTGGAACAGTTAATTCAATTAGTTTGATTGGGGCGACAAAAAATCCAATTAAAAAATCACAAAAAGCTAAATTAACAATATAATAATTGACAACTGTTTGCATTTTACGGTTACAAATAACCGTACAAGCAACAATAATGTTACCCAAGATTGAGAAAAGGATAACCATTGAATAAAGTAAGATGAAGATTAAACAAACACCATTAACCTGGGTTAAATCAACATATTCAAAGTTACCAGATTCATTTGGACTCTCTTCACCCAAATCATCATTAAAATCACTGAACAAGGTTTCATTAATAGATTGTGAAGATAAAAGTTGACTACAATTAACAGTTGATAAAGATGATTCACTAAATGGCAAGTCACTTTTGTTTACCACTTTAGTAGCTGCAATGGTACCAAGGATGGCGACACTGTTAACCCTCAAGTCCAGAGAGGGACAATTAAATCCATGATTGAGTTGATGATTTGAGTTAATTGTTGAGCTTAAAGTATCAATCATTTAGAGTTGATTAAACACTGAACCAATTGAGAGCAAAAAACTGCCGACTTTGACTTCAATTTCCTTGTATTCCCTCAACTTTGAACTACTTTGAATTGAACATTTAAGAGAAGATTTTGTTTTGACAAAATTTCAACGCATTGATGATCAAGTTGATCATTGAATCAAACAATGCTGTGTTAATATTATTTAACCCTATTATTAGCCATTAAACTTGACAGGGAGTCAAAACTGAGTTTACTGAATTGAGTCGTCGTTGAGCTTTGAGCAACTCAAAGGTTATCAAAAGCTTCAATCAGTTTGTTTAGGATTGTCAAAATTGTTGAGTTATCCAAATTTTCTGGTTTCATTGTCAATATGAATTATGTTTATTCCAATGATAAATCTTTAAATATCATGTTAAATTATGTAAACTAGATGCACGAGTTTTCCATTTTGGTTAATTTCCAATGTTACCATTAAAAAATTACAGTTAATTTTAGAGATGATGAATTACACAAAGTAATTAATCATCTTCAAAGGTTAAAAAGTAGAGTTAATGAAAGTGAATCTCAACTAGAAATGGACTAAAAATAAATGCATTTTTGGGTTTCTATTTTTTAGGTTGAAATCTGGTTTGGAAAATTTTATTTCATTTTTTCTCGTTTTTTCCATTTCTCTTGATTTGGGTTTTCAATGATAAATGTATTGATTGATGAATTGCTGAGTGATCAATTTGCATGGTTAGTCTCTGGAAAAGTCAAGAAATTATTTAAATTGGTGTTTGCTTCAAAATTTTCAATGTTTACAATTGAAATTCAATCTCTAATTGAAACTCATCCATCTTTATAAAGATTGATTAAGAGTGTGATTAAGACTTTGGAACTATAATTGAGACTGAATATTGTTGATTGTAACTAATGATAAAGTCATTAAATGACAAGATTCAACATTTGCTTCATGCAAAACATTCAACTGGTTTGCACTGATTTTGGGATTTCTTAGTACTGAGTTAGACTAATTATTTGACTATTTCAATTATTTTCACTCTATTAGTTGATTTGCTTTTAGTCGACTTTTTAATTGCTGGAGTTCATTGTTAATAAACAATTGAATTTTGTTTATCTTTCAAACTTTTCGATCTTACAGTTGATTGTAAATTTCCTAAGGCCATTCAGCTTAATGATTGGACAACGATTTGGAAAGGTTAAGTTGATTTGATGAATAACCCTGAATAGATGATAGAAATGTTGAACAATTAAGAAGAAGTTTCAATTTTCACTTTAATTTAGATTCATTTTTTCCCTTTAATCAACCTTATTAGGTTTGATTAGAGTTGGATTGGCAAGAAAAAATTAACAAACCCAGAAATTGAGTGAAATTGGAAACATTAAGGATCACCAGATTTAATGGTAATCAAATGTGAATTGGCTGATTTAAATGCATTTTTTGTGTGTTTATTAAATCGTTAAACTTAAATGCTTTTGATTTATGAATTGATTTAAACGTGAAAATGGTTAAGTCGATTTTGTTGAGATAAAATTGATGACAAGTTGCAATTTGAAATGAGGAATTGATTTATTGTTTATTGTTTTACTACATTGAACTGAGAGTGGCAATTGTGAGTGAAATTACAAGCAAAAAGGAAACAAAATTAAGACAAATTGATGTTCCTTTTCGTGTAATTGATTGGTAATTAACTAATTGGCAGGGATATTAACATGTACATGATATAAGCATCGTGTGCTTACAGTATATCAGACAGTTTTAATCAATAAAGTAAAAAATAAAAGTATCTCTCATGAGTTGAGCCTTGGACAATTAAAGATGTTTCAAGAGGGTTTAGGAGGAAGAAGAAGAGGAAGAAGGAAGAGAGAGAGAGAGAAGGTGAAAGTGGGAAAAGAGGAGCGATGAGATGATGAGTAGTTTATATTATAAGGTTGATTTACCAGGCAGCAGCATATGGAGCATAGGCAGGGGCAGCGAAAGCGTATGGAGCAGCGTATTTAGCGACAAGTGGAGCAGCGTGAACAGCGGCAACAGTTTGGTGTTTGTGGATGGTTGCAACTGGAACTGAGGTTTGAACGTATCCATTTCGGACAATTGATGGACCTTCTTGGTAGGTTGTGTATCCAGGTCGGGTTACGGTGTATTGAGCAACAGCGGGAATGGCGTAGGTTGCACCTGTAGAGATAAAAACAAGAGAAACACATTAACAGACTATTAAACACTTGAAGGGGCAACACTGGGAGTGAAAAAGGATCAACATCAACATGTATATAAATATATATCCCAAGGAAAATGATGAGCCAAGATGAGTACAGATGATGAACAGAGGTGATGGAAACTGTTTTTTTGGGTTAAGAAGATAAACTAACCTGGAGTTGACCAGTCTGATCGGGTGAATCGTGATTCAGGAACATTGAAGGCATGTTGGGTGATTCCGGTTTTAACAACGGTTGGGATTGAGACTGGAGCTTGTACTACGGCAGGGACTGAGTAGATGGCACTGGCTGAGGCACAGGCAATGAAGGCAAATAAAGCAATGAAAGATTTCATTTTTGTTTGTTTTGTTTGTGTGTTAAGGGGCTTGATGTAAAAATTGATTATTTGTTGTTATTTGAGCAACTCAAGGAATGATTCAAATTTTTAATTGTAAAAACTCTCCTTTATATACTTGGCTCTCAGTTTCTTGACACTCTCACTATTTTAACTTGACCACTTCTCACTCACCAACATTTACACTCTCACTTTTCATCATCATCCTCCTCAGTAGCCATTAAGCCAGGCTACCTGGTTAGTTGAATGTTACCCGCCCTTTATTTTAAAAAAAATAAAATAAAACTCACTCCATCATCATCATGATCGTCATCGGTCGGCCTTGAAGGACCAAAATTTTTATCCCGCTTTTGTTCAGTTCAGGCAATGAACACAAAAAGAAAGGCATTTTCTTTTTTGCTTTCATTCAGCCTTTCATGGTTGAAACGGGAGGAGTGATTAAGGAGAAAGAGGCTTTTTAGTTGGCAAGAAAGAGGATCAAGATGAAGATGGAGAAAGGTGAAGGAGAAGGGAAGAAAGAGATTGATGAAAAAGAAAGATAAACATGATGGAAATTAGCAGAAAAAAATAAAATTTCCAATCACTTTGAATATTGAAAAGTCAGATGTTGATGATGAGAGAGGAAGAGAAGCAAATCATGGGTGGGATTGGATTCCTGAACATTCCGAATCATCTCATTCTTGCCTTTCAATTTTTAATCTCAATACGTTATACTTAAACTTCCTTTGATTAATTGGGTGTGGGCTTGATGATTATCATGATTTTTTAACTGATTGTTGATCATAATTTGAATGCAACAATCTTTGCCTTACATTTTTTAGCAAACACTCACACAACAGCAAACGTTTTTGTGGGTGACGCTGCTTTGATGGTCAATGTTAACTGTACAACATAGAGTTTAGGGTTTAATTGTTCACTAATTGTCAACTTATTACAAGGATAAATTGATTTATATTTTTCTCCATTTGCTTAACGGTTGTCTCACAATTAACTAAACATGATATTAACATCATTTTGTTGTCTTTAAACCCACTCAAATTTAGCGCTCTTGCATTTGCCAATTTTTTTTGCCGTTTTTTATCCAATATCTATTATGTTTTTGGTGTTGTTACAAATTGATTAACATTAATTAGGAGTTTAAATTTTTAGTGGTTTACTTTTAGTTTGTTTAATGGTTTAATCGTTTTACCTTAAAGATTGTAAATGGTTAATTAATAACCACAAAATCAATCAGTTAATTGATTAATTGGTTAATTTATTGATACTTTATTTGTATCTTATTGATACTTTACTTAATATCTTTAAGATCTGGTCTTGGTTATAACCTTGGTAACCTTTACTTCACTTCAACTGTAAATCCACATTGAATTGCTTTTTAATCATTTGTGTATTAATTTATCATCATCTTAATCAACTTTTAAGATTCTTCTTCCATTCAGTTGATTGTTATGTTAAATATTAAAAGCATTTAAATTTAAAATGCGATCATATAGTTAAATAATGATAAATCTTCCTGACCATCAAACAAGACAGTAAGATTAAGTAAGTAAAGCAAGTATGGTTAGACCATTGTGTTTGAGTGGTCAACACACCCTAAATTGTTACAATTGACATCTCAATTAATATCTTAACTGTCAAACAAGTTGATAGTTAATTGTCTTGTAAAGTAACAATTAGATAATATGTTTGTAAAATTGATTGATTCAAGGAAAGTGAGTGAAGCCACAAGCTTGGCCAGAGTACACAAAACCAACATGTGTTACCAGTTTTACATTGACTTTTCAAATTGAATAAAACTCAAAGTGTCTTTGATCAACAGTTGATTTAAATTGATTTTGGATCAACAATTAAATCAAACAAATGCCGTGATGGAATCAAGTTCAACTTTTACAGAATAACATGTCTCTCTATTGAGCTACCCTCTTCATCCAGACCATCACCTTGACTCCTTATAAAAATGATATTTCTTTTTGTTGCCGCATTTCAATGTAAGTACATATTTATGCTTAAATCTATTCATATTAACAGAAAATAGTTTTAAATACTGATTACTTTGGTTTTTATAAAGGTGTGTCCGCCTCTCTAAATTGACCTAAATTGGCTAAATAATAAGAATCGAGAAACAAAATCAAATTGAGAATCATAATTGTACTGGAAAGATTGGATTGGCTGGTTTGGTGTTACTCTTAACGTTGCTGCTGGTTGCTGTTGCTTGTTTGGTCAACTTTAATCATAACTTTGATTCTTGATTGTTGGCGTTATTATACATCAACCAAGTTAGGTCAAAGTGTAAACTGTCAAACTTGGATCAGTTACCGAATCATTGTCCTTGATACATATAATGACCCTCGATGACCTTCAATAATGTTGATTTTTATTGAAAAAAGCAAGTGTATTTCATGCAAATACGGCATGTGAATTCACATGATGGTAATTTGTTATTAATCAGTCACAATGTGAATCAACTTCTTGGTATTATAATCATAATTATATCTTCCTTTGCACGTTTCTATTATAATTTAATATTTGAATTTCTTTCAAGGATTTTTGTCCATCATCTCAATGAGATTGTTGCTTCATTTGAAGCTTCTTTTGATGTTTCTTGGGTACGATCATCATGACTATTGTAGCTCGATTTGAACCAATTTTCGGTTTCTTGGCATATCTTTATAGTTAATATAATCAGAGTAACAATTAACCTGCGAAATTGGATTGTTTTGTTTTACCTTTTTGATGAACTTGGGCTTTGGCTTTCTGATCATGGTTAACTTGCTCTTTGTTTTGTTGATCAATTTAATGATAAATTACTTTCTTTTTCATTACGTTTCAAGCTCTTAATAGTTGTAATAATAATGGGAATAATCATTTTTAATAGTAATATCATGTAACCTCATCAGCTTATTTACTATTGTAATTATTAAGGAAAGAAATAGATTTAAACAGATGGATTAACTCGCTCTTGATTTTATCCCATTATAATATTTTCTTTTCACCAACAGTGATCAAGTTAATCTGATTATTTGATGATGTTACTGATGATTTAACCATTCATCGACATTTTATTTGCATACAAAAACATTTTCATAATCTAATTGTTGTTGTTTACAGTTATAAGATAAACAAAATTAAAACAAAGCAAAGGTTCAGATTAACTTATTAATGTACAAAAAGCAGTTCAAACATAGCGCTTGTAAATTAATTTTTTGTTGCATTGTGATTGGCCGATTGATATGGCGTGTTAACCTGAGTCAAAGTTTAAGATTAAGATTAGTCTCTTCATTTTCATTGTTTTCCTTAAGTTGATTATAATTATTGTGAGTTTTTTGTACGATTAGCTCAATATTTGCATCTAATGAATCAACTGGGCCAATCTTTGTTTATTAAGTGTATTTGACAATGTTGTTAAATTGTGGACTTATCAATTTTACCAACAGTTCAAAGCTATCCATCTTTGGATTCAAGCTTGAAGTCATCTGGAGTTATTAATGATGTATCATCTCCTAAAGTGCTAATGACATTGATTGCCATAGATTACAGATTACAGATCAAACTGTATTCCTTAAACCTTGAAATGCGTTGAAGGCGACCAAGATGAATTAATTTTGAATATTATCTGATATCTGTTGGCTAGAAGACGACTCTAATGATCAACTTGTGTATCTATTAATAAAAGCGTTTCCAGTTTGAAAGGTTTTGGCTGTTTCCCAACTTCAAGTACAGTTAAATTTACCAATATTATTCGAGTATTTGGTGTGTTAAACACTTTAACAACCTGTTGATTGTAACATGAAGCTTAACTGGTTGTAATAAATAAGGATTTTGATTAATTGTTGACAAGCAGAAAAAAGGAAACAAATTGATTGGTGTAAAAATATAATCCATATTGCGTGTTATAACCCTAATAAGCTGTTGTAAAGATGTTTGGATAAAAGGTTCAATTACATTACAAGTGCAACACCCAACATGAACAACATTATCGAGATTGTTATTAGGAGACATCGAACTGATAAAGTTCCGGTAAACCATATTCATTGAAAAATGACTTTGGCCTTCTGATGTACAGTATCTTTCATCACATTTACCTTACGGCAAAAGTATTTATTAAGATAGTGATGAGAAGTGTATTTACCTGTTGATGGACAATATTATTATAAAGTTGCTTTACATTCGTGGATGATACAAGAAATGACATGTGAATGATGAACCTAAGCAAAGCTGATGGAGTTAAAGATGAATATGAAGTGTTGTATTTAATGATAATGTTTAACTAACTAACACTTTAATATGACTCGATTAACAGTCACGTAATGTTTTACTGTCAAATTAAATGATTACTTTTAATCATTCCTTTTCTCACCTTCTGTGTATATCAATGAGTGTACATGAACATTATACGCTGTAAAACAAACCTGATATATCATTATCCGTACAATTATCATTTTGATTATCATCATTACCATCTTAAACCATTATAATTGGACATCTTCATTTTCGTAAAACAAAACTTAAAGCCTGTGCTCGATCAACTACGAACTACGAGCTACTAACCTAACTGGAAACAGATTGTTACCTTGTAATTTGCAGTTCACATTCTTCAACTGAAAATCTCACAATCTAATAAATGAAATTATCATCTTCAGGGTTAAGTTAATTGAAATGACCAAAAGAAGCACGCAAAAATGTTTCATTTTATGGTGAAAATGGCTAAAATTGATATTCTTGATATTCAAAATTTGGCTGAAAGGATAGAAATTACAAAAGAAGTGAGAAAAATTGAATTAACATAGTAAAGGTTTTATTTTTTCTCAGCCGTATAATGATTAAATTAGGAATGATCAAACCTCTAGATAACAATTTAGTAATGATAATAAAAGGTATGAAGGATTTTCAGATTCATTACGATTTCTTCAATTTTTACAAGTAACCGTTATTATTATAACAATAATAATCAACTATTGTTGTTGGTATTATTATTTTTATTATCATTATAATTCTGTTTTTGGACAATTTACTCCTCTCCATGTTGAACCATTTCATTAAAAATTGTGTTAAATATCAAGGATTTCCAGTCTTCAAAATGAGCGTGTTTAACCTAAAATGAATCTGGTTTCCCCGTCTAATTACCGTCTATGGACTATTAAGCTTGATTTAAAGAGATTTAAATTAAACAGAGATTAGTGCCATTCTCACCTGACCAACAGTTTAATTTGCAATTCATTTATCCAAAATCACAGTAAAGCTAATAATGATGTTCCACCGCCAAGACCATTGTAAATGCATATTATCCAACGACTGTAACCTTGCCCATTAAAGCTTTTAACATCGCTTATATCATTTATTTGATTATAATTGTGTTCTCGGTAATAATAAATCTCTCCGGCGTTTAATACCCAACGTAATTATCATGTTAATCACGTCCACTTTTGTCTCAGACATGAGCTTGTTAGGAAGAGATAGAGTTGAAAAGGTTGAATGTGTAAGTCGACTTTAGAGTTGCTTCAGATTTCCTTCATTATCCCATCTACTGTTGATATCATCCAAAATTGTTACTTTAATCAGGGAAATAGAAAATATTTTGATCAAGTTCAGGGTCTTTTTATTGATTTAGTTTCATTTATAATTGTAAATTGGTTAATAGAAAGAAATGTTTTAAGGATAAAATTTACTTACTTTTTGGTTTTCAATTTATAATATTATACCAACAAATATAAAATGGTTAATATCCCTGAGCAAATCATGGTCTTTTGCTTTTAAAATTTAACTTGATCTATTAAACAAACAGTTGAGCATAAAAAAAATCTCATCGGAATTTTGATGAATTCAACATTTAATCAGATTAAATCTAAGTCATGGACTAATCAAACAAGTTTTAGGTCCAACTAGTGATTTTAGTACAAGCCGTAAAACATGTGTTATGCCATAGGCTTTTTATGCTTTCTATGCTTTAAATTTTCCTTAAAATGCGCGTCTTTTGTTTTATCAATTTTGTTTACATTTAATAAATTAACCAAACCTTTTTTTATTATTGTTTAACGTGTAAATGTGCTTAAATATGTTTAAATATGTTTGGTTAATTAACAAACATCCCAACAAAAGGTTCAATTGCAACAATTGTAATGTCAAATTGACCTTGTCTATCAACTGTTGATAGCTAGAGAAACCTTTCAAGTAACGTGTTAACAATAGGTGTTGATGATTATGTTAATGCACCTAAATCAAAGTAAATCATTTAAAAGTGATGATGGCGATGAGAATGATGGTTAAGAAGGTGAAGAAGGCCAATTATTATCAGGTAAGTTATTCCAGTTTAATTAACAAATTGTGTACATTTGGTTAGAAAGAAAAAGAGAAACATGTTAATTCTCATTGAATTTTGTACTCTTTTTACCTTGCAATACCAACATTACCAATTCAAGGAATTCACTTTTTGTTGTTATTAAATTGACCTTTTGCTTGATTATATTTTGTGTTTACATCTATAATAAAGCAACTTTTGATCAACCCAAATATATTAAAATTAAACAACCATTTAACTTCAATTTAATTCAAATCTAATTTCTTGCATATTCAAATGAAGCTATACAAAGGCCTTAACGGTTTTCCTTGTATACAACCAGCAACAACACACAACCATCTAACCCAAATGTTGAATTCATTAAAAGTGTTCAATCCTTTTCTTACATTGACCATTCAATTGTTGCCGTTAATAATACAATTTAAGGTTGTAATAATCATTGAGAAGCACATAAATACAAAACATAGATAAATATCTATTTGGTATTGAACCATGATTTTTGAATGAAACCAGCAAAGGTCTCAGAATACAAAATACCTTCGCAAGATTGATGGTTTATTAATCTGTATTAATGATCACAATGCGTTGGTAATATATTAATCAAAAGGGGAAAATTGAACTTAATCACAACGGATTTTTGGGTTACCTCAATATTAACCTTGAAATTGGGTAAATTATTAAAGACGCTTTACCATTTACCTTTTCATAAACTAACTGCTATTATTTCCACCATCAGCAGGTTGGTGTTTATCAAAATCATATGAGAGTGTGAATTGAAGTATCAATATATATTTAACACGATTGTCTGTGTAAATTGTGGTAATAATGACCATCAGGTTGATTGGGTGGATTCAATAGGGATAGACTAGTTTTTACTAGGCGTTGGTTTTGATCATGTTAAAAACTCTGGCAAAACCCTGGTTAACCCAGGATTATTATAATTATTATCATTATTATTTAAGAATAGGAATTTGCCTCAAGCTTAATTATCATTACAATCGTAAGTAATGATGAAAGAGAGGCTGGAAAATTACATGTGAATTCACGAGTTTAACAGCTTACTGTTCATGTTAATGCTTTAGAATCTGAGATTTCTGTAAAATCTTTTCAAAGCATTATAATTATTTTGAAGCAAGAAAAAAAAAGTTAACAATCAAAGTTATAATTTTGCACTTGATATTATCATTAAAATTCGTGCAAATCTTTCATTATTTTTATGACGTGTAAATCACTTTGCTGGTGTTTTCATTGTACTGACATTGGCTTTCAGTCTTGATTGATTGGTCAAATGGTCAATTAAATGATTAGGTTGATGTTGTGACTGTTGATTGTTTAAAAATTAAGTCAATATCGTGAATAAAATGATCTGTTTAACTTGAATCGTTTGGGAGACAAAATTGGGTTTAGGTTGGGACATTGAATGACAATAATATTGATAATGGTCAATCAATGGACCAAACAAATTATAATCATTATCATCACGAAATGAGACGCAAAAAGTGCCAAGTTAAGGTGAGACAATGATGTTGTGCAAAAGAGGAAGATGTAATGAAAGGAAAAGTTGAAAAGTGAATTTTTTGTTTTGTTTTGTTTTGTCTTCCAATATTATGAAAATTTATTGAAACTCGTTTCGTTTTCCTTTGACTGCCATTTGATCAGATGGATGATGAAAATGATGAGGATGATAGGGAGGATGATAAAGTTGAGGAGGAGAAGAGGTTGGCTTTCCTCTTGACTGACCTCGAGCAAAGCCCAATAAAAATAAGAAAAAGTTGTCCATCAACAAAATCCAAATGATCTTGACCTGAAATTTCCTGGTAAAATAAAGTGAAAAAGGTTGAGTGAGAATAGGATGACGATAATGATGAAAGAGATGAAGATGAAAAAAGATTAAGTGAAAGTGGCAAAGAAAAAGAAGACAAATTTCTCTCTCTTCTCTCTCTTTCTCCACCTTTTTTCACTTTCATCTTCATCCTCATCATCTTTTTCTTCTGGTTTCTCACTGCTTATTAATCATGTTTGTTATTTAATTGAAACTTTCTTCTTCTTCTTCTTCTTTGGGAGGTTTTAATTTACCTTACGAAAGTTTATACTTTCTCACTCTCCAAGATATCGGAGGACGGAGTTGACCTTGTAAATAACGAGTGGACATGGGCGTAACTCTGTATCGTTAGTATATAAAGTAGAGTTCGTTGTGAACTGAGGCCATTCGGATTAGCGGTTATCCAAGCAGCAATAACAAAATCTTTTTACATTTTCCAATCCAAAACAAATCACACAAACCCTAAATCAACATGAAACAAATGGTATGAAAACTGAAAATTAATATTTCTTTTTATCTCTTCTATCAGTTAACTTACCAATTATAATTGTTTCTAATTTGTTCCTATTTTTTCTGTTCTTTTCAGATCATCTTCGCTGTTCTCTTCTCTGTTGCCTACGCTGGTGTCATCCATGCTCCAGCAGCCTATGTTGCCTCAGCTCCAGTTTTCACCAAAACCATCCACCATCAACCAGCTCTTGCTCCAGTACAAACCGTTGAACGAACCGTCCAAGCTGTTCAACACCCATCAGTCACCACTCTTCACCAAGCTCCAACCACCGTCCTCGCTCAGGCCCCAAAAATCTCAGGATACTCATACACGTAAGTATTGATTTAGTTTAAAGTGAAAGTAAAATAGTGACACAATAGATGGATTTACATGACCAAAGGTAAAAAAACAAATTTTAATTGTTTATTCCATTCTATTTGCACATTTAGCTCTGATGTCCGACACGACGCAACCGTCGCAGCTGCCCCAGTTGTCGCTGCCGCACCAGTTGTTCATGCCGCACCAGTCGTCCATGCTGCACCAGTTGTTCACGCTGCACCAGTTGTCGCTAAAGTAGCTGCTCCAGCTGCCATCGTCAGGTAAGCCATTCATAAAGTGACATTTTTTATACAAACAAATATTCCAAAGTCAATATTTCTTTATAATTAATTTCCTATTGTTTCCATTGTTAACCATTTAGTGCACCAACTGTCCATGCTGCCCCAGCTCTTGTTGCTGAATCACCAGTAGTCAACTCATACTCAATTGAAACTGGACGAACCCACGTTGCTACCCAACAACATTACGGAATCGCTCACGTTCCTGGTGTTGTCAATGTCCCAGCTGTTAAGCACATCCACGCTGCTCCAGTTGTCCACGCCGCACCTATTGTCCATGCTGCCCCAACCTACTGGTAAACAGTTGCCACCAAACATTATTTTGATTAGGTAAAAAATGATGTATAATGTAGTTATGTATCATTTAAATACTCCAACAAAGCCATAACAAGATCAAACAACCCTTAAATGACTATTGCGAATAATATCCGCCAAGAGATTGATTATAATAATTTTGATAAAATGGATGGATCAGATTAGTTCTGATTAACCTCAACCTCAACTTCTGCCTCTCATCCTTTCCTCAACCTTAACCTTTTTTTTCTTGTAAATTCATTCCCTGAGAAAAAATCAACAAATTTAGGCTTTATTTTTGCTCAATGCAACAAAAATAAACTGACAATCAATTTTATTATGAAAAAAATGTTTTCACTTTTGTTCACAATTCAATCTATTTTCGTGTAAGAAATTATTCAACTCAGACCGAGATAATTAAGCTACAAACAAATGAAAGCCTCTGGTAAATACAAATGAATGAACGTGAGAATTAGATTAATGGGTAAAAGTAACAACAAAGTTTAATAGATTTAGACTGAAACTAAAACAAAGTTAATAAAATGAATGTAAAAAAAGATTCATTGACTAATGAATACCAATGAAGTCAAAAGGCCTATGAATTGTTAATTAAGTTTAGGATAATCATTAGATGCAACGAAAACAATAATAAGCAAATTAATAAGAAACAGTTAATTTAACTTGATTCGGGTGAAGAGGAAGAGTTAAACTGAAAAGTCTAGTTAGATTATCGTTGCTCTTCCTATTGATGTTGTAACCATGTTCATCTTGTCTTTGATTCTGTTGTCAATTATTACAATTGAATCAATCATGGATAAGAAACAGGTCGATTAAACATGGATGGATCAATGATTGAGCTTTTACGACGATCATAAGGTGAGCTTAATTTCCTTTTAACCTTAGTTATCTTTTTAACCTGTTCAAAAACCAGGTTAACTCGGTAGGTAATCATCGATTCTGTCAGGTAACCTCGATAAGATTTACTTTTAGTTAAATATTTTTCACAATCTTCATAACGTTCAATTTTCCTGAACAGATTACCAAGTTCAAAGCATGTTTGAGGCAACAAATGTTTCTCTGTTGTTATCTTGGATTCCCTGTAAAAAGATGTAAAAAAAGGAGTTGAATTAGTAGACAGTTAAGAGACTGATGAGTATAAAAGGTTTACAAGACTTGGTCAAGATTGTGAATTGATAAAGACTTGAAACATTGATCTTGATCATTTTGGATGATCAATTGAGATGGATTTAAAAGTGATTCAAAGAAATTATCAAAACTCAAATAATGAAGGCCCACTAAGAAATAATCAATTGTTATTGATGGTAATTTTTCCTTCAAATCTCCGTTATCTAGTGAAATTAGAATTTCTAATGTTTCTTTATCATCCTTCACCAGTATAATCATCATGTTCATCATAGTTAAGTGTATATTGTAACCTTGCTTTAGTCTGATCCCAACAAGAATCGTAAAAAAAACAAAGTTAACTTGATAATGAATTATAATAGATTCAATGATGTTTCTATGTGTTTTACAATGAAAATGTTAATCATCAAATAGCAATATAATCGAAGAGTATTGATCAACAAATTCACTGTTATTCACTTAACTAGACGATCATGTTGATCATCATAATGCTAAAGCTTTTTTTTGTTTCTGGCTGCCTTTTGGTCTTCGTCTTGATTCGGTTAATGTATCCTTTTACTTGTATCATCATTATTAATACTATTATTATGTTGATTCTGTTGATTTACCATTCCAGAACTTGATGATAATAATCAATCGCCTCAAATGAGTTGCCCAAGAGATCAGTGAAATGTGCTTTATAAAATATGAGAGTTGCATATTGATCAGGATTAACAATATCTTCACTTGAATTATATTGTGATAGTTTAACCTCTACAATGTCCATGTATTGATTAAGACAAGTGGTCGAGTTTCGTGACATCCGAAATAGATTCCAAATGTAGCTAATTTCAAATGTTGGCAAGAAAAGTGACTTTTCCAGATCACCATTGAATTTAATACTCCGTTCATAGACAAGTTTTTCATGGAAAGGTTTTCGTCCTCCAAGAGTCTTCTTTAAACTTGGAATTATCCTTCATGATGATAAATGCATGAGAATAAGAGAAAAAGAATGAAAAAAATGAAGCAAGAATTAGTACAATGTAAATAATTTATCAGATAAAATTGTAGGCCTATGAGCAAGGCAAAGCAAAATCGATTGAAAATAACCAGAATCGTTGAATCTTTTTTCCTTTACATTGAATTTGTATTGATAATTGTCTTGTAAGATGAGCTTATCTGTTTAAATTACTGTCATTTCACAAAAATTATGCGATTTCTCCTAATTTTCAATCGATTTCGCCTTGCCTTGCTTATGAGACAATCAATCAAGAGGTAAAACAAGTTGAAGCCAAAAAATGAGGTAAATGTTTCAACTCTACTTTTCCAAGTCAACTGATTAGTATGGAGTAGAATTAATTGTTTCAATAAAATTACAGAAAGATTATTGCTACAAGTAACGATTCTTGTTTAAACAATGTTTACAAATTGCATTATAATTTAATCAATTGAATAATGTATTCTGGTTTTAGGTGTGTAAATGCAGCTTAAAAGTGGAGGTTGATCATTGGTTAATCATGAGGTAAGTTTACATGAAAATTAGGCAAATATCAATAACAGTAAATTTGTTGATACCAGAACCAGAAAGGTTGAACCCATTGTAACCAGATTGTAGCAAAAATATTTGAAAAGAACAAAGAAAATGGAAAAAAATATTGAATATTTTGTTTGCATTTCCTTCTATCAACAAGTTAATCAAAAAATGGAAAGTCAATATAAATTGGAAAGCCTGAAGATGCGAAAACAAAAAGGTAAGTTTAAAAGGTAAGAGCGAGTAAATTTGGATGAAAAAAATAATCTTTTTTTCGAGGTAAATTGTGAATGAGAAGAAAACTTTGCTAACCTCAAACATGAAGATAATCAGTAAACATGATTACCATCAATGTGAGTTAGAACAAGCTTTAAAGAGATTTTGCCTGTTTCAAGAATTATTTTAATATTTTGATTGATAGTTGAAACCTTGTTAAATGAATAATAACAAATCAGGCTTATGCTGATTAGTTGGAGTAACATGAAAACACACATTAACTTATTAATGACAACATTTTTTTTCACCAAATATTTTTCTTCTTGCTTTTTTGTTTTCAATATTTCCCTTTAAACTTCACACTCTTTCCTTATCTTGATTCACCAATCTATTAATTATCATCACAGTTCAATTGAAAGTTCAATGTTTAGCTGAGATCGTTTTTGACAAATCAAAGGTAAAATACAGTCAAGTTGACAAGTGAATACATTCGAGGATAAGAGCATGTAAACAGACGTCCCAACAGATTCATTGGCGATTACCGGACAAAATTTAAATTTGGTAAAAATATTTACAATTTTGTCTCATTCCCAAATGTATTGACTTGTCAATAAACGCAAAGGTAATTTCAAATTCATTTACTTTGACTGTATAATCCAGGAAAATTGACAGGATTCAATCCGGAAGTTTTTTCTCGCAAATTGAATAGTTTTCATGAATATTTACGTCTTCATTATGACAGTTTCTTGATTTTTGATCAGATTTAAATGATAATCCGATTAAACAAGACAAACAAATAAACAAAACAACTCTGTATCAACATCAGGCTTTGCAAATGATTTATACACAAATCCAGCGCCTTAATTATGATTAGCTTGAGTATTGATTAAACCTTGGGAAAATCCTATCTTGTTAATAATTAACTGTTAAGGCGAGATTCAAAGCTAACCTTGATTTGTAAGATGAATTATTAATTGTAAATTAAATCAAACTGGAAGGTAATAAATTAATGGAAATCGTTTGGTTTGGTTTGAAAAGCACAACAATAACCAGAAACGTTGAAATTATTAAAACCTCTTTAATCAACATTAACCTTCAATCCTTTTTTAAATGTAGTAACATTTAATTACTCATTTGTATTGTTTAATTGTATTTCATTAGACAAGTTAATCAACTTGAAAATGAAATGATAAACAAACTGACTATTTACCCCAAAAATGATTAAATTGGTTGATTCATCGATAATAATCAAATTAACAATCAGGTCATCATGTTTGGCCATTTCAATGTTATTAACAGGAAAATAAAGGATAATTGATCAACTTCACTATCATTGTTAATGGTCAATTAATGGTGTTTTATCGTCTTCCTAACAAGTTAACTGTTGATCATGATCATTATAAATCATCTGTTAATTCACTTTGCATTCATATTAACCTGTTTCACTGATAATTACATATCAAACAATGTTATAACAAAAGGAAAGGTTCATCAATCGCAATATATTGACAGTTTAAGAGATGATCTTTCAAACGCCTTTAAGACGCTGAAATAACAGTTGAATCACAATTGAAATCAAAGGATCCTTTTTTGATTAAATTTTTGATTCAACTGATTATTGTAATTTGTAGGACAGCAGCTAATTAATAAACTAAATGTGTACACCTTCATGGCCAAGGAAATGTTGCTAACGATTCAAATTTGCAAACATTTGCCTAATTTTGAGCCTTTTTTTCTCAATGATTTTATACAATAATTAACTTGTCGATTACTGTACGGTCAAACCTTAATAGTTGTAGGAGTAATCAACAAATTTGGTATTAAAGTACAGTTAAGATTAAACAACAGTTATGGATCTATCAACATAATCTTGTCCTGCTTGATTCAAATCCATTTTTGAATAATGCATGGAAACAATGAAAATTAGAAGACAATGAGATGATCGTATTAAGAATGTAAAACAGGGAATTGTAATTAGATCGAAACATTTGATTGTTTTAAAATATTGAGATCAAATTGAAAATCTAGTGTTTATCAATTGATTGTATAAACAGTGTTATTTGATCAGTTGTTTGGTGAAATTAAGAAGCAAGTTTTCAATCGATTTGTTGAATTGTTTTAGATTGAATCAGTAGATTGGTTTAATGAGAAACAACGTTTACTTTAAATGTGCAGACTTACTTCATAAGATCAATAATTTGATTGGCATGACTCTTTTCACCATTTAGATCATAATCCATGTAAAGCAGAATGGCGTAAAAGTATGTTGATGTAGCTGGTGAAACTTTATCGCCAGCTAATAATTTCATGATAGCAGCAGCTTCACTCCACTGACACAATTGAGTTTTGGACAAAACCATGAAAAAGTAGCTTATCTTGTAAAGATTAGGTGAAATAGCAGGTAACTTGAATGATGATTGTAAAGCCAAGCAAGCTTCATCAAACTTGGAGTGGGTCATTTCACCAAGACCTTTAATAAGTGAATAGTAAAAGGTTTTGCCATATTTAATGGACCAATCATTAACAATTGTATCCACCAAGTTGTGATCACTTTCACCAAGACTGAAAAAATAGTCCAAGAAACCAAAATAGGCGATAGTAAAGGCTGATACAATGAAGTAACGCAGTGTTGTTTTAGCGTGGATACACTTTCTAAGTATATCGAGCCCAGCATAGCGATTGTTGAATAGTCCAAAATATTCAAGAAGTGAGGTAAATTTGGCTGGAAGTAGTGAAAAAAAGAGCCCAAAAACACCGTAAGTCATTCGAACTCCAGTTTGAAATTCTTCGCAGGAAAAATCGTCTCTAAAGGGTTTCTTTCGGTACAGTGCAAGACAACTTTTGAATCCAGTGTAAGATGATTTCAAGCGGAATGCTGAACTCAGGAAACCTTTGAAGCTTTTGTCAGCCATGGGTTTAAGAAAGGCTAACATTGCATTGAGTTCAGTGAAACATAAAGCAGCATGAGCTTGTTCATCAGTTATTTCCTCGTAGTTTGGGTTAGTAAATAATCCACCAGATTTGTCTTTACGTTTATCCAAAAAGTCAACTATCTTGCTTAGCTCAGTGATTGCATGGTTAATTACAGCGGAATCCATTGAAAAGAAAGCCTGGTGAAGAACGAACATGAAGAAAAGAATTAGATTGGGAATAAAGAAAACAGTAAAACAAATGATTGAATCACGGTTGATTGCTTTTGATACATTTTCAAATTAATTGTTTCTAAAATTGTTACGGGTCCATGTAAATAGATAATCCCATTTCTTCTCAGAAATCTCATCCATTTTGGTCTTATTGAAAGTAGATCAAGTTCAATGTTGATTGAGTTATAATCACTATTGACATGGTTATTGAAATATCTTTAATTTTCATGGTACTCAACAGATAGGAAAATTTAAAAATCTTAAAAATTGTATTAGATGAAAGACTGGATTATAATAATCTAGATGAATTTGAGTACTCAACAAATTGCCTGACAATAGATGAAGTCAAGTCAAGTGATTGATCGGAGTTTCTAATGTTGATGGGTTAATAATATGGATTTGCTAGATGAGTAGATTAAAGTTAATGGTGAAATTTGAATATGCATTGAAAGAAGCCAACTGTTATTCAATGGTTACCATGATTAGAGCTTGAATAATGGTAAGATTATTCTGGCCGTTGATTAACTTACATTAACACCAACCATTATTCCAATTCCATAGCGATGGTAAATGCTGTTGCCTGCCTTCTTTTCACACAGAGCTAAACATTCGTCAAGTCGATTTTCCACAAACAGATCGAACGTTTGAGCGGCTTCTTTCAGTGAATCATTGAAATTAGACGGTGTCAATTCTTGATTGTCAGAAGCCTCGCCATTTGGAAACTGTGAAATGGTCCATTCATCCAACGAGCCGATGGGTATAAGGTGAAAATGAGAAAAAAAGAAATGAAAATAAACAAGATTAGAGATTGATTATTAGATGAGGGTTAAGGTTAATCTAGCGATACTAATCAGTGGACAATGAAGATTCAAGGTAAATGAATGTTGCTGATGCATTTTATTATCATTATTATTAGCTATCATTATTAATAAAGTAGTTGTTATCATTAATATGCTTATATTTATTTTATTTTCCTGTTTTGCAGGCCAACTAAATTAACTTAATTTGACCAAGTATTTAAGTATGCTGTAAGAGAGGTTCACAAGTTGCATAAGAAAAAAATGAAATAAGTAAACAAAGTTAACTATTTTGTACATTGCAACTGCCACTATCTAATAATTGTTGACCATTCAACTTGATTATGCTGCAAAAATCAGATCCAAGGATAATTAGTAAAGAAATGCGTTAACTTAATTCAAGGTTTATTTTATTCCAATTCATTTATCATTCTTCTTCTGCCATCTTCTCCTCATTTTAACCTTATAATAGATTAAATGAAATTTTAAACGTTTATCTGAAGGAAAGCTGATCTTTTATACAATCTGGTAATAACAGAACCCAAAATATTATTTAGATCTAGGTTTTATTCAAAAAGGAAGGTTATAAAAGGGAAAATGGTCTCGAAATTTAAGCCTCAAAACCTGGGTTATAAAATTGGTAACATGGTTGGGTTGTCAAAAACTGGAAAAGATTAGTTAAACTTATTACTTACCAGTTCCTCTTGATTTAAGATGAGTTTAAGTAGCCTAGGTTGGTCATAATTAATCTCTAACCAGGGCCTAGGATAGTGTTGACCAGAAAGGTTTATTTGATCACTCATAGCGTCTAAAGGCAGTATTTGAGCTTTAACAGGTCTAAGGTAATGAAAATGCTGATTTTACAGTTGGTAAATTAATACACACTGGTAAATGTTCATTGTCTGTGATCACAATTATTTAAAATGGTAAAAATAATAAAATGTTTAATCAATAAAATGAAGAAACTACATAAATACGAATTGGCTTTTTTTGTGTTTGTCAATCAGACGATATTAAAGAGGGAACATGACAAAATTGACATAAGTTGACATAAGTTTCCATAAATTGACCAAGACTTTGATTTATACTTTGCTTCAAAGTTTACTTTCCTTGTATCAACAATCAATTATTTGACAATTTTCAATTTAATCCTTTTTCTATTAGGTGCATTTTGATTTAATTGTATAGTCTATTGATATTAACGGAAATTTATAGCCAAATCAAGGTTTTTCCCTTTCATTGAACCTTGAATTAGTCTTAAATTGATAACCAAAATTGTAAAGTCACATTTGTTTCCATTCAAGTCAACAGGTATAATTTTTTATCGATCGTGGAAATTGTTTTCTCTCAATAAGAATCATGATCATCACAATGCACGAAAACAACTTTTCGAGTAAATAATTTGAACTTTATTCTAATTGTTGATTTAAACATTGAGTTTCATAAGCTTCATCTTTTCATAATGAACTCTGCCTTACACACTCATTAAAAAGCTTGCAGATACGTTGCTTTCGATGGGAAAACAAGTCTAGACTATTGAAGAAGCTTATTAAATTAAGATTATTAAATGGATCCAATAAATTGGCCTATTAAGTCAATTGAATTGTCTACTTTTCTTGTGATTTACGCACAATTATTTTCTATTTTACTTTGTTTCTAGTATTTTCTTCACATTCATATTTTTCCTTGGCTTTAGGCTCTTGAGTTACAAAATGTGGCTTGGTTTAAACCAGGACAAGTTTTCCAGATTAGTGACATTATCTGCTTAACCAGATTTATACACCGAAAGGATTTACAATTTTAGCGTTTATCAGTTTTTTGTTAATCTTTTTGTATTCGACACGTCTTATTGGTTTATGCGTGAAACATGGGAAATTTCAGAAGACAAATAGACAGGAAAATTAACTGATTTTATGTTGATTTAGGATTGAATAAAACATTTGGATGAAATTTGTATCGCCATCTATTGAGTGAAAATCAAGAGCTGGTCAAAGGAAAAATCTAGAGAATAATTAAAGATAAATAAGATTTATTAATTTTACGGTTTATTTGAGTCAATTTTTAAGTTAAGATGTTGGTTTAACTATCTAGAAAAGCAGGGCTTTGATGAACCGAATCAAAATTGTAATGATGAAAAGGATCTGATGATTTGTGAGGTAATATTTGATTTGCCGCGTTAAAAGAGGTTTGAAAATGAATAGAAAGCTTAACCAACCAATGAAAAGTCGCCAAGTGGAGTTGCCTTTTAAACAACAGTTCATTGGCACAGCGGTTCATCTAACTCTCAATATTTGTTAGTTTTTCATTTATAAAGTGATTTCGTTTTAATTTCAGTTATATCTCGGTAACGTCTTTTTTCATAAAGTATTCACCATTCTGGTGGTTTAATTTATTCAAAATGACATCTTTCTCTATCAATTTAATCCTTGTTTCTACATTAGTTGTCTGTCTCGGACAATTTGGTTTCTCGCTATACTCACCATCTTCTTCAGTTGTTGATCTTACACCTGCTAATTTTGATGACAAAGTATTAGATTCTAAAACTATTTGGATTGTTGAATTTTTCGCTCCATGGTGTGGACATTGTAAATCGTTTGCTCCTGAGTACCAAAAGGCTGCTGAGGCTCTTAAAGGAGTTGTCAAAGTCGGTGCTGTTGATGCTGATGCTCATGGATCTCTTGGCCAAAAATATGGCATCAGAGGCTTCCCTACTATTAAAATTTTTATTCCTGGTAAATCATCTCCTATTGATTATCAAGGTGCAAGGACAGCAAAAGGTTTAGTTGATGCTGCTTTCCGTGAGTTGCGACAAATTGTTGATGAGCGAGTTGATGGTGGACAATCAAAATCATCTGGGGGTAAAAATAATGTCATTGAAGTCACTGATGCAAATTTCAAAGAGAAAGTTCTCGAAAGTAAGGAACCTTTCTTATTGGAATTCTTTGCTCCTTGGTGTGGTCACTGTAAAAATTTGGAACCAGTTTGGAGATCAGTTGCTGATGAATTAGCAGAAGAAGGAGCTCCTGTCAAAATCGGTGCACTCGATGCCACTGTCAATACTATTACTGCTAATGAATACGGCATCAAGGGTTTCCCAACTATCAAACTGTTCGTTGATGGTCAAGCTGAAGACTATGAAGGAGGACGAAGTCGAACTGACATTCTTGAATATGTTAAGGCTAAGATCGCTGATCGCGTACCTCCCCCAGAAATCGTTCAGATCACCAAGGAATCAGTTTTAACTGATTATTGTGGTAAAGCTCAATTGTGCGTAGTCAGTTTCTTACCACATATCTTAGATTGTGATTCAAAATGTCGAAATGATTATCTAAATGTATTGAAACAAATATCTGAAAAACATAAGAAATATGGTTACCTATGGGCAGAGGCTGTCGCTCAACCAAAATTGGAAGAGGCTTTAGGAGTAGGTGGCTTTGGTTATCCAGCTTTGGTTGCTCTTAACATACGTAAAATGAAATACTCTACACTTAGAGGATCTTTCAGTGTTGATGGAGTTCACGAATTCTTAAGAGACCTTAGCTATGGTAAAGGATCATCAGTGCCAGTTCCAGGAGCCAAATTACCCACTATCGAGTCAATTGAACCATGGGATGGTAAAGATGGTGAACTTCCTACCGTGTCACCTTCTGATGAGCTTTGAAATTAATAGATAATTTATGTTTAATATTTTTCATCGAATGAAACTTAATCCAATGTAAACTAACTAGCTTTTTTAATTGAAACTTCAATCCGTTTAAAACATATTAATCCGTTTAAATGCGTTAATCTGTTTAAATGTTTGCAAGATCGGTATAAAAGGAGAACCATCCAAACATCAGAACCTCACTTGTTCTTAACAACAACCATTGTCACTTTATTGATATAAATTTATTTCAATTTTTACACCACTTTCTATAAAGTTTTATTTAACCATGTTTGCTAAATTATTATTTGTGTTCATTTTCATCACCTCATTTGAATGCATGATCAATGCTTCAGAATCAATTGAAGAACTCGAGCAAGAGATGAGAAGCCTCCCAATCAAGTAAGATTCACCTCTTCATGAAATAAATACGTCTAACCCAATCACTAATCAAATTAATATTTTCTTTCATTTACAGAAATCCTTTTGAGCTTGCCAAACTCTTGAATTACGTTCGTAGCAGTGTTGTTGACAGTCAAACATTTCGGACAATCAAAATAGGAATTACTAACATAATTGGAGGATGTGAATGTAACAAAAAATCTACCGAGCGACAGAAACCCAAATCGGCAGAGAAAAAACCTTTCTATGTTAGACTTGGGTACAATCCGAATAAAAACGTTGAAATGGCTGAAGGTCATATTTTGGTGAAACAAAAGGATTTACCATGAGCACTATGTGATGAATGTAACATGTAATTTTTGAAATATATTTCAGAGTTTAATAAAATTTTTGTATATTGAATTGTGCTTTTGGTGTAATTTATTTAAACAATCTTAAATCATATTAGGCGCTTAAAAGAGAAAAATTTGATTGGCTTGGAAAGATACCAATTTGTTATCAGACATCAGCTGATTTGCTATTATTATTTGTTAAATTATATTAGGTGAGTTTTACAAGTTACATATTTCAACTTTGAAACATTAGTTCTTCGTGCTGTTCTTTCTTACTTCGCTGGTCAACCCAATCGTTCAATCATCATGTCGGACCCTGATTTGGTCAAAAAAGTGCGTAAAAGTACGTAAGAATAGATAATTGTTTTCCACTTGACAGTATAATTGATCAACTAGATTTCTATTAATATATTGTATCTTTATTCGATTTTTAAGCTTGTGAAAAAAATACAGAAAGTCTTTACATGATTGCCAATGAACCAAGTCTTGCCTGTTATAGAATTGCTGAACATGTTTACAAAAACGGTCCACATATACAAGAAAGAGAGGTAAGTTTCGTTCCATTGTTTGGGTCAGTTAAATTGAAACAAAACTCAATCTTACTTCTTTATGTTTATTTCCTCTATCAGGTTGAAATGAAAAAGTTAGAAACTCAATTGAAAGGTGCTTGTTATGACTTGGACTATACTGTGAAAGCCGTCAAATCCATTCACAACAGCAAAGATACTTTTGCGTCTATCAAAGCTTTATTGAAAGATGCTTTTTTCTACAAACAACAAATTGATTATGACAATAATGTAAGATATCGAGTCGCCAATAGAGGAAACAACCAGAAAAGGCCTGCAGTTCAACGTTTTTCTGGATCATTTGATATTCCTTCATTTATATCATCTCATTTACCATCTTCACCATCGACTTCTATGATGTCTTCCCTGGCTCGAGCTGATTCTGTTCCTCAACCGAACTCACAATCATTTAACAGCAAATCACCGTCATCATCATCATCTTCATCTTCTCTGTCAACAAAGCAAGATCTACAGAAAACTGATGCAAATCAACCTGCTAAATAAATGACTACGTTATAGTATTCATTCAAAAAAGCTTGTTCAATCAAGCCAGAAAATTTTCTGTACAAAAATATCGCAAAGCTTACACAATTCAAGCAATCAAATTTTTAATTCATCATTTTAATCAACAATCATATTAACAGATTTCTTTAAAGTTTAATTCGCCTTCTGAGCTTAATATAACCCAAGAAATGCTGGATCACAAATTTGAATCTTATCATATAAGAATGTACAATATGGTTAATCCTGATCAAATTCTCAAGACAATACAAGTTAAGGAAAGACAGCGAAGATGAACTCTAAAATTGTACATCCTAGTGAAAGATATTTCGAGAAGGCGCGAAACAGATGGAAAAATAATCGATTTTTCAAAGCTTGCCAAAGGTCCAACAATATACTTACCACTCCCAGTTAATGTGAAGTTGAAATACCAACTCCCATATAAGTCTCATAATGGTATATATTGCATATAGCTGAATGTTGATCCCTTTCTCATCATCATCATCATCAAAATCCTCTCGATAGAAACTTGTAAGATATACTTAACTCTGTCAGCTGCTTGTTATGTCATGATACTTACCATTGAGTCGACGTAGACTTGCTAGCTTGATATAAAAAATATCGCTAAAAACTGAATGAGAATATCGATTCTATGTTTAGTCAGCCAAATGAATAACCCTGGATGAAGAATCAAAGAGAAAGAGAGAAAGAGAAAATCAAAAAGCTTGTTTCCCCTCCAAACAGTGACTCACATCAAATGTATCACATTCAAGTGAAAAAATGGATCTTAATGGAAACAATTGACTTTCATTTCGCATGTTTTCCAAATGCACTGACCATAGCTTATAATTGGGTATTTTAAACAGACTCTTATTTTTACATCTAATTATTTATACTAATTGTAACCAAATTGCTGTATGCTTATGATTATTAATCTCAATGACTAATGTTTGTTATTTATTTTGTTACTATGATTTAGGTTTAAATTTTACAATTTCCTGTTTTTTATTGGTCTACCGATTATTTGTCAAGCCATCATTCTCAAGATCTGATTAATGAAACGGGTGAATCAAGTATATTGTATATTCAAATTCGGACTATTTTATTATAATCATTCATCGATGAGATGAACTTTGAAATCAACTACTTAATCACCTGTATTCAACTTCTTCCCTTACATGTTCATCATGTTAATTAATTTTGAAATTAATAGTCATTTTCAACTACCAGTTAAGATTGAATGTTACCACTTGGCGTTGCGATTTAAGCTTGGCATTAAATGGATTCGCCAATTAATCAATCAATTGAAAGTTATACCCTTATTGTGACTATCATTTCAATCATTAGATGAGTCACTTGAAATGTGAAAACACTTGAGACAAAAAATGAACCCTGAATCAATTGTCAACTCTTTCTCAGCGGAATAAGCTGTTTATCCAATTCAACCATTATTTTATACAGAAAATGTAAAAACAGCCGACAAGTTCAATTAGAAGTCAGACAACGTTCTGAGTTAAGTTAATTATAACCATAAAGATAAAAGATCAGTAAACTATTAAAGACAATCAACAAGCTGGCAAAAATCATTACGAGTCAAGTTGTACATTTACGCTTACAATCATGCATTGTATTCAATATATGGTGAAGGATAGTCCAAGAAATTTCATTGTTGATTCAAAAATAGCCAAACAATCTTAATTAACTTTCATCTGCAACTCATATTTCAATGTAACTACGAGCCAGTACATATATTTTGTTACTATGTTATCGACAAGGTTAACATTGATTGTTCAAAATGGTAAAGAATTGTTTCTTTACAGCTGATCCATTTGCATCGGAACAATAAAAAGGTATTGAAATCTAATTGCCATGAGGTGAATCCATACAAAATCAGTTACATAGGTAAAAATATATATTAGCCATGAGTCTCAGATAACAAGTATAATCACTAAGCATAAACTTAAGATTTAAAATGGCTATGAATAGAACGAAAATAGAAAGATAATCAAGATTGATCCACAAAATAAAGATACAAACACATAAACAATGATGAAAATAAACTAAAAAATAGAAGACCAAGAAATGACAAATTAACAAACACAAATCATTGCTAACCAACAGATAACTAATAGATTGAACTGATTTCTGTTAACATTTCGAAGCAATTTGAATCAAAATTACAATGTATAATGAAATTTAATTCAACAGTTAATAAAATAGTTACAATTTGGAAATCAAAATCATACCTATGAAAAAGGCAAGGGGTAATCAATAGTAAAGATGGCGTAGCAGACGCCCAATGCTTTAATGCACACAAATTGAAGGCAAAAAAGCAGTTCTGGGCTGGTCCAATTTTCAGTTTAATTTTCTAGTTGTTGTCAGTACTTCACAAGCGAATCTCATCTTTTATTTTGATCAACTGAATACTTCATTTAAATCACTAAATTGTTTTTTTACTGTCATTCTTTTATCATACTGTGTTAGAGCAGAGCAATTAAATTTTATCCAGTTTCTGTCTTATCTTACGTCTTCTATCCATTTAACTTGTTCATTCTCTTCCATCTTTATTTTCTAATTTTCCTTATTCCATTCCTATTTCTGTTTTTCTACCTTCCTTATATCAATTTTCTTCTCCCCTGTTCCATCATGTCTAACCTAATTGACTCTAGTTTACCTGAGGAAGATAGTAACTGGCCTGAACAACAGCCTGGATCAAATCCTACAAATATTTCAACTGGATTTGGTTCTTCTCCATTTGATGATTATGCTGTTAAAGATATGGACCTCACCAATGAACCTTTTGGATCATCAAATGTTCCATCATCAGGACCAACACCATTTGTACCTACAGTTGAAGGAGATCTATTGAACATGAGTTCCGAGGAAATTAAATCAACTCCACAAAGCGTTCCACACAGCGCTCCACAAAGCGCTCCACGATCACCACCACCACCACCACCAGTATTTTCACAACCTGAACCAACAATTAAAACTGAGCCAACTTCAACTATCCAGCCTGAAGTGAAACCAGTCGTCGACATTAAACCCGAGGAACCTAAACAGCCTAAATCTGAAGCCAAAGAAATTAAAAAACAAGATGACAAGAAAGATTCAAAATCAAAGAGTGACGAAGCACCATCATCAAGCTCTCATTACTGCTCTTTTTTGACAAGAAATCCTCATAGTAAGTAATAATATGCTTAATTCACCTCCTTAGATTAAATTTTTAAATGAATTAAATGAAGCAGAATAAATGAAAAACCAATAAAAATAGAAGAAGATTTGAACGTCAGAATGATTGTTCATTAGAAAAAAAAGGAAGGTTTTTGTTTGTGATGCTGCTCCCGCTGGTTGCTTAGTTGGTGTTATTTATTTGTTGATGGTGATGCAGCTCTCAACAGCTCCAGTTATTCACACATCAGCGTCCTGGTAACATCAATTATACGTGTTCACGTTTCATTTCATTGTGAACAATCATCAAGACCAGATCTCTTTGATCTCTCTCCAATCGTTTAAATACTCACCTTTGTTCTACATGGTTGATTATTTATTATAAAAATTTTTATTTTAGTTTTCTCATTTTATTATTACCAAGTTTCTCCATTTTCCTCTTGTTTTTAAATTTTTTATCTGTGTGTTGATTCTTCTATAAAATAATCCAATTAAGATGAGCAGAAATACAACAAAAAATGCCCCATCTCCACCACCAAAATCCTGCGATTCAGGTTAATAAATTGTTTCTTACGTTTTAGTTTTCAAATCTAGTTTTCCTCCTGTCTCAATGTTACCTACCATTATCTTTTTGTTTCTCGTTCCACACAAAAGTCTTCTCAATATTTCCTCTTGCATTCCAGTTGCATCTTGTGTTTAGCTTTTTCCCCTCTTTTTCCCAATTGACTGACCAATTGACTTTGGTCTATTCTGTAAAAAATCTTACAATCATCTGTATTTTATATTTGACTGTATTTGCCCTGTAGAGACTTACTTGTTTAAGAAGATGGAATCAAGGGACTTGGGTTAGGGGAAATCTCTTTCTCTCTCATTCTTTCTCTTTCTTGTTTCTTGTTTGGCTCAAAATAAGGGGTCTGTATTAGTCAGAAAAGTGATGTCGTAGTAGATTCAGTTACCATTAAAAGAAAGCAATTGGTAGAAAGACTACCATTGGCTTATCCTCGTTTCTCTTTGTTTCACCTTGCTGATGACGATAAAGGTGACGATAATTATCTGAAACGTGTTAACGTTGACTAATGTCATGCAATGAATCCAAACATTCCCAACTGAAATTTCCATGAATGTCTGATCTATTGTTTAGTGTGGATCTTTTTTTCAAAAAAAATATATAACATTCCGTTCCTTTAAATAGGAAATTTTTCTTTTGCTTATCGTGAAACGAATTATAACGAATTTCAATTCATACTAAATAAACATTTATTTTCTTTAACCCATTTTAGTCGCCGATCTGGTCTACTGGCGTGATCTGAAAAAAAGTGGAATCGTTTTCGTTGCTGGCCTGTTATTACTTCTCTCATTGGCATGTTGTTCAATCATTTCTGTCATCTCGCATGGCTCTCTGTTGCTCGTTGGATGTACCCTTGCCTATCGAATCTACACCAACGTAATGCAGGCAGTTCAAAAGACTGATGAAGGGCATCCTTTCAAGTAATTTTTCTTTGCAATCATCTTATTACAGCTTATTTTAGCTTCTCTTCTATCCAATTTTTAACCTTCACTCGTGTTCAGATTGAATTCTGAACCGCATGATTGCTCCGAAACTTGTTCTAATGTCATGTCTTAACTTCTTTTTTTTCTCTTTATTTCTCCTTTTTTTCCACGTCTTAATTCATCTGGCTCATCTCTTATCCACGCAACTTTTTTAGAGAATATATGGAAATGGATATCATTCCGTCTGAGGAGAAGTTTATCGAGCTGGTTGGCAAGGCTTACAACCCTCTCAAAGTCACCTTAATCAAGCTTAAAAGTATCTTCCTCATTGAAGATTATGTCGATTCCATCAAGGTACTCATTATTCCTGTTTCACTTCCACCACTTCCTTTTTACTCGTTGTTCCCTAATCTACATTTTGTAAGGAAAAGGATAGATTACTTAATAAGTCTCAACGTGTATTTTTAACCGTCAATCAAGGCCATTCAACATTATGCAATTATTCAATTTATCATTATCATGCTCACACACTCATTGTGTGACTCTTATCGAGTTAGATTAATCAGCAATATTTACTCAACTAACCAATCTATATTTGTTCAACCAGTTCCTTTTCTCAAGTAACACTTCAAAATTTTTGTTAACTACTATTGTTTATACAGAAAGGAACCATAAGATGATTTCATTTTTTTAGAGCAAATTCTAATCATGCTTTTTCTCCTTTTTTTCCTTTAGTACTCCGTCTTCTTCTGGTGTTTAACATATGTCGGAGCTTGGTTCAATGGAATCACCCTGGTCACCTTATTTTATCTTGGTCTCTTCTCAGTCCCCAAGCTTTACGAGATGAACAAGTCCCAAATTGATGTTCATCTTGCTTCTGTTTGCACTCAATTGGAAGGTCTTTGCTCACAGTGCGTATTCTAATTGCTACCATCTATTTGCCACGTTCATGTCCAGAACCATGATGCTCTATCATATACAGTCATCCATTACATAGATGATGAAACCATAAAGAGTTGTTTCTTTGCTTGATTCTTTTACATTCAATCACATCAATGAGTCAGGTTCCTCCCAGGTATTTCATTGAGAGATGTACACTTTTCATTTTAGTCTTTTTAACTGTCTATTTAAACATTTCCCATTTAGTTATACCTTTATCGATTCATTCACCAGTTTATGTTTGTAAATTTGAAGTGAGCGGCCATTGACCTTTGATAGACAATTTTCTGAGCTTACATTCAATTCAATCTTTGTAACTTGGAGACAAAATTACTCTTATTGGTCCGCCCAAAGTAGACTCTCTCCCTTTCTTTGTCTCTCTCTTTTTTAATTATCTCAACACCTAAAGCGTATCTCGCTTTGTTATGATTCCTCTCTAATGCAACATAACAGCTTAGGATTCAGCGTCCATTTTTAGTATCATCACAGGATAGCTTTGTCATAGCACTTTGATTTTTAGTATTTTATCAATCTTTAGCAAAGTTTTTTTTTCTGGATCATTCTAATTGTAAATATTAAGAGATACATTGTCTTCATTCATTCATTTATGATTTACTAATGAGTTTTCTAGGTTTTCGCTTAGTCATATGTACTATCAGAAAACATTCATAGCTTAGACCTTGTAATTGTTTCAAAGGTTATTTATGTTAGTCATTAAATGTGACAGTATCTATTTTCGCCTCGTAGAAAATTTCTGCGAATTTGATTCATGATCCGGAAATTATTTAGTGATTTGTAGCTTATTATGGTTTACATTGTATTTCCACCTTTTCATTTCAATTTACATGTAAACAAATACCTTTCCAATGATCTATGCCTCTTTTTTATGTGAATTGTAAACTGATTGCAATCAAAAACTGATACAACTTTATGATTTCCTACTTTAATAATAGAGCATCATTTTACGTTTTGATTTCATTACGTTTTGAAAACAAATTATAACTAAATTTTTCTCTTTTTTTACAGAGTAAAAACAAAATTACCATTCCTTGCATCCAAAAAGGAGAAGAGCCAGTGAAATTGAAATTCACATGCAAAAAATATTGTATGGAAACGTTTATATAAAAAATACGCTTACCTAACTTAAAAACAGTCATACATACATATATACACTTACATATACTTGCATACTTGAATACAATTCCACTTTAAACGCGTTATAATCGATTAAGAGTTCATTAAGAATAAAATTAACAAAAAATTTTGATAAATTTTAAATAGTCTTTAATAATCTATGTAATTTTCCGGTTATAAACAATTGAAGGATATAAACATAATGTAAAATAATTATCAAAAATACAAGGATGGCAATGATGGCAATAGTGAAGATGGGTAATATTATGATCGAGCTGATGGTATAAACTGTTATGTCCACGATAAAGTCTTCCCAATTGTTCCAAAAAGATATTCCAAGTAACGAAGTGAATTTCCATCGCACCAGAGTTTGGAGAAAGTCATAATAATGGATGAACAATATTGATAAAATAATCAATGAACACAATTTAAAAGGGAAATGTGGCAAATTGAGGGTAAAATTCAGAGACTTGAATAGATGGTTTGATGGCGAGAATATTAATTTACAGTCCATTTTGCTGGTCGTTTGAGCTTTTGTCATCTTAATAAATAATGGCACTTTGGTTAAAAGGATATGTGAATGTTGACTCGACTAGACATGAGATTCAAATAAAATGCAGCAGGTCGAATGTCGTAGGTTAAATTATCAAATCTGCCCCCATTGGCTGATTGGTCAAGGGTTAGTCACTCAGAGATTTAATCTGTCTTCCCATTTAATCTGCTTAAATCGGTTAATCAATAATAGTTTTTATCATTCCGATGATTGCTAATCTACAAGTTAATCCTTTTGTAGTTTTAGGCAAAAACAGTTTTAATTATTTAATCCAATTGAGTAAAATTGCCAACATAGCTTTAGGCCAATCCAAATGGTCAACATTCAAATTTGACAAGACAACTACGATTCAGTGCTTTTGACCAAATGTTGTCTCCATTTTGTTATTCCGTTTCAGAGGCTCAAGAAGCTCATCTGTCTAGTGTTTTGTAAATTCATTGACCGACCATTCAAAGACCTAAAAATCAAATGTTGAAATTGAATGAATTGAAATATTGTGAAGTGTTTCAAGTTTTTACCTTTTTTTGTGAAGACAGTGATTATGATTAAATGTTGAAATAATGTCAATCATATCAATCAGTTGTAGTGTAATTAAATTTACTTGAGTTTATCAACTTTGGAAAAATTTTATTGGTTGTAAAATTTATGAATCAAATACAGCGCTAAAAACTGATTGCTCCACCCATTGAGTCAAGGTTTTGGTAAAGAGCAAATGCAGTTGATTCATTGATTGCATTGAAACTGTCAATGCATTGATCCTTTAATTTCCTTCTATCTGTTTTTGGTTTATATTGCATTAGAATCAATTATTTTAATACTAGAAATTGTACTTTCTTAAGTTTAGTAAATACTGAATGATATTTATCAGTATTTAGTTGACCTGTTTCTGTTTTTACCAACGGAATAACTTGAAAAATAAAAGTAAGCAACTCATTTTGTCAAAAAATTCAATCTTTTACTTCACATATTTTCACTTTTCTTGTTTGGGCCTTGTTTTCCTTCATTTTTCCACCTTTTCTTTTTATTCTTATTGGTTTTTAAGCACTAAATTAAGCTTTTTTCAAGCTTCCAATGCCTTAAAATTCATTCATTATTATAGCTTTTTTCTTGATCTCATTGAAATTTTATTTTTATTTTTGTCAGTGAGTGGAGCATCATACACTGAAGAACATCTTATTGACTCTGGTGACGATAAAGATGACCCATACGATCTGGGCCTAACATTAGAAGAAACTGAGGACGATTTCAATATCGAAGATATAACTGATGACCAAGTTAAAGAAATACTAAATGATGATGAGGAAAACAGATTCTTACTGGAAGATGATGATCCAATAGAGTCTACGAGTTCTCAGATAAATATTATCGACAGACGTGTCAATGACAAACCTAAGTGAGTATATTTTTTGTCCTCAATCACTATTCTTTAATGGTAGAATCTTCTACATCTGTAACTTGTAAACATCATTTGTTTTCGCTAACCGTTGTTGAGTAGATAATATAGCAAATCACTCATTCAACTCATTATCATGTTACTTATAATTTTTCTTATTTTAACAGTAATAAGGGTAAATCAAATGACTCCAAGTCTTTTCGTAACTCTGGAAATTTAATCACCATTGACTGTGATGATGAAGAAGAAGACGAAGACGAAAGTGAGATTGATGACCGAAGACATTCTAAATTCAAAAGTGAAAGAGTTATTAAAAATAACGACAAAAAAGCCGATGATAAAGACATACCAGAAACTCTGGAAGCAGTTGTATTAGACGCCAATGAATCTCACAAGAATAATAGAAACCATCAAAATAGAGGGAATTATGGTCATCATTATAACAACAATCAGAGAGGTTATCGGAATTTTTTAAAGGGCAGAAATTTCGTCCCTAGTTCAAGACCGTTTATTGGGAATAACAGTCTATCTTCCATGGGTCTACTTCCAACTCCACTCCAATCGTTCAATAGAATTCATGTGAACCCAAATTTCAAACCTCTTGCAAATCAAGGCTCGAGATTATCCAATCCAATGAACGATTACAGACAAAGGTGTTTTCTAGGTGGAATGAATGGACGCATGTCCACCCCGCATCGACCTCAAGGTCCTAGACATTGCTTTCCAGATATGGGCCCTTCTGGACCATTTTCAGATAATTCAATGATTTCTGATCCTCTCGAAGCATTAGTTAACTCTCAAAGATTACCTGAACACGAATTAAGAGAACCTAACTCTAGTCATCATTTTTCGCCAAACAACACCAGACCTCCATTATTTAACGAACCTTTTTCTGGTAATTGGTCAAATCATGTTGGTATGTCAAATCAGCCTTGGATGAAACACAACAATAGACCCTCTATGGATAATTTTCAGCGAATTCCTGGCTTATTCAATTCAGAACCAACTCCTAGATCCCTTTTACTAGGTTCTCGTGTTCCTGCTAATAACTCCTTATTCGGATCTCCACAAAGACATCTTATGCAGCCTCGATTTTCTGGTCTACCTCTATTTAATCAACCAAGCATGCCTCAAATGAGCAGCATGGAGTTCCCTGGAAATCGCTCAACGCGAATTGAAATTGTTCCTCATCCAGTTCCTGCTTTGCAACGCCACCAAATACCTCTTCATTTAATTCATAATGCTTTCAGCCCTTCTAGTGGACCATCACAAGGTCAAAATCGTCCTTCCGGATTGAATAACTCTCGACCATCAGTGCATCAAGATAACAAAAAATCAAATCACGGTCCTATTGCATCTACTTCAGGATCAGGAAACTATGAGCAATCGTCTAGAGACAACAATCAGTTTAGATTTCAACAGAATGAACCTAAACCTCATTTTTCACCAATGAGAGTGCAAGAATCCACTTCACCGCACCATTCAATCAACAAAGTCACAACTTCTCCCAGTCAACGAAACCCAAGACCCTCAACATCTAATGTTAACCTTAAAAATATCCGACAAATCAAGACTATCGGTCCAAGCACGTCTACAACGCACACCGATGCCCGAAAAGCTGCGCTTCTCAAAACAAAAGCAGCACGAAGATTTTTGCAAAAAGAAAACATGAATCGAATTGTAACTTCTGTAAAACAAATTGAAGTTGTTGATTTAGACACAACTCCGACCCAAAAGGATGATTCAAATGAACAAAGTAAGCAACCACAGCCTATGGTCGTCGATTTGGAGATCGATGAAGATTACAAGAAGAAGTTGGAAGAACAAAAAAGATTACGTGAGGAAATCATCAAAAAGAAAGAAGAGAGAAGAAAACAAATGGTTGCTGAAAAGATGAAACAAGGAGTATCAACAGGAGCATCAACATCTAATTCAATTCCCTCTGCAAGCACATCCACTCCTCTTTCTTCTGGAACAGGTCAACAACGAAGGGTTAACCCTTTAGCATCAACTCTCATTGAAAGAGTATCTCCGCCTCGTGATGTGCAAATTGTTAGTGAGAAAAACACGAGCCAATCATCACCATTCAAAAGGAAATCTTCTCTATCATCAGATGAATCAATAATTGAAATCGATAAAAGCTCCTCAGATGTCAGAAAAGTGGAAATAAAAGGACTCGCGTTGACAACAACTAAAGCGACTATCACAAAATTGTGTACTTCCATTGGACCCATCGAAGATTGTGTTGTTGATGTCACCAATTCAGAAAAAAAGGCAACTGTAACCTTTAAAACTTCTCAAGATGCTCGAGCATTTCAATCAAGATTCCAGAGACATTTAGTAGATCTCTGTGTAATTCAGGTCTCTCTTTTATGGTAATCATACGAGTCTATTTTTTTAAATCAAATTTCTTTTGTTATTTCTCTAAATACTTTTCCCTTTTGCTACAAATTTACATACCTCTACTATTACTATTACTACCTCTCTCTATATTTCGCTGCTTTTATTTTTTCAAATTTTAGTGGCTCAATCTACTTTTCTCCTTTTACTGAAGGAAAAAAGAAAATTGTGATTCTTTTTCGTTTTTAACCAAGTCTTTCAAGTTACCTGCCTTTCATTTCTCTACTGTGATACTCTCTCATACTAAGCAATTCAGATTATCCAGAAAGATACAACCAATGTCATGCCATGATATTCAGCCGTACAGACAGCTAGGTACAGACTTCAATGGAATAACTCTATTTTCCTGTTTCAAACTCAAGTGCCAATTATCAAGATCTTTTTCTGTTTACATTCTTCTCTCAGTCTAGTCAAAATAGATGATCTGGTCTTCCTTAGTCTTCAAAATCAGTTATTTTTTGATCTAATTCTTGTAGATTCTTTCATTTTCAGTATTTATTGACAACTCTTTTTCAATGATCGAAGTCTGTGCTTGGTTAAAAAACTTATCTCTCATCTAATTATTTCAGGGTGAAAAAGAAATCGATTGTTTAAGCCATTTTCTTCATAGTGTTTGAAAATTTTCATTCAAAGTTCAACTTCAATCTTTTCGTACCTTCTAAACAAGTTTTTAATTCATTTTTATCTAGACAGATCTTAAATTATCTAAATTATTAAAATTTATTGATATACATCTATATTGCAGCTTTATGAGCAAATCATTGCAAAATGAATTTCGTTATTTTATAATTATAATTTACTACATTACTTATAATGTAGTATAGTAAATCTTATCAACAAGTAATGCCAAAACACACTAATCTCAATCCTTAATCCAATACTCATAAACAATACAATGTAGTTTCTCCATGAAAAATTACTCCAGCCTTTTACGTATCATTTTCAACGAAATCCATTTTGCTAATTCTGCAGATATAATTTATTGATAAAATAAATCGATCTCGAATGACAAGATACAGAATATAAATTTTAATCTGGTTTTGTATTCAATCATATTTTTTAATGCGTTTCAAATTCGCAGGTATCAATGAGCTTTTGGAAGTTGCTGTTTACTCATGTACTCATCATTATTTGTTCCTAATCATCTTTATACTTTGATAATTACTAATGTTTGAAATTATACAAACTATCTCTAGCTATTTAAAAAACCAACTTATATACAAAGGATGTTGCTCTTGAAATGTCGTTCTACTTATAACCTCTTGTATTTCAAATTATTGCATTTTCTCCAACTACTATAACCTTAATATTTATACACTCACTCTTAAACGAATACCAAACCATCTGAATCAATTTGATTGAAATGTTAATCAAAGTAACATCACAGTATTTCAATGTATTTGAATATCTCTTTCTACCCTTCCCACTTATTTTTGTTTTGTTTCTTTATTTAAAAAATATTTTCAGTAATTTTTGATTGTAAATTGAGAACCGATATTGTTTGAATGATCTTTTAATCGCAATCCTAATCAATCATTGTAAGCAAAACGACATTTCAACTTCAATAACCAACATGAGTCAATAGTTTTTCGTAATGCAGTCATGTATTTTATTTACCATTAGTAATTATCAACTAAATTATTTTAAAATGTCAATCAATTTCAATGAATTTAACTCTTCCATTGTGCTTATAATCATCCTGCTTGTTATCACCCTTTTCCCATCCACCCTTCATCTTAGATTCATTACCGTTTTGCAAGAAATTTTTATCTGTTTAAACCCAAACTGTGCCAAAAATTTGTTTATTTTGATCCAAACAAAATGAGATTCAAATTGTTCAAGCTAGTCTGATCCGTACAATTTCATTTATCCAGCTTCTGGTGATATTTGATAACAATAATTAATATCAATGGAAATTTTCAGCATGCCTAAATAGCATCATAAATCACAACAAATATAAAACAATATTAAATTCAGAATCTGAAGCGAAATATCATTTCTATTGTTTCTTAGCTCATCAATTCATTTGGATTTTTCAATCTTTTCCAATTCTAAGACAGTGTCATTCAGATTCTGAAAATTTCATTTACGTTTTTACAAAATATTACCAAAAGCTTGAAAGATGCTTAAAATTACAGCTAATTTTAGGTTTCTGACAGCTTTTAATTTACTTTTCCTCTAATCATATTGAACATTATTTCATATTTTTACGCCCGGTCAAAGATATTTATTATTTGTAAATCAAATGATCTCTAACTCTTGTCCAGTCTTCTGGTTAAAAGCAAAATGGTCAATGTTTCCAACTTTCACCTTATATGTTATTCAATGATAAAAATTTCTTATATTTTTTTATTTAACAACCAATCTCAACATATAATTCCTATTCCTTTATCTATCTTCAACCCATTTACTGGTTCAAAACAAAACAGTATACAAAGTAGTACAAACCAAATCAAAACTAATTGTTATTTTCCATTATTACCTTAATTATTATCCATTTTTTCAGACTTCATTTAAGGAAATGTTGAGATGATAACTGTTAACTGTCTTCAATTTGAGCTGATTGGGTCAGCTGATAATAACTCGATAATGTCAAAATCATCATTCATTGTTATTTGCTGATGAAAACAAACAAATAATTAATCGCAAAATGCATTATTTGATTGTAATTGTATGGTCATGATATTTGCCATGTAACTCAAACATGATAACGGATTATAACTTAAATTTCGTTCCTTTCTCTACCCTTTCATTCATTTTCAATTGGAAACCAATATACAATGTATTACCAGCTTCAGGATTAATTTCAGTTAATCCATTGATTATATCTTCATTTCTCTATCTCCCCTTACCTTCCCTTTTTAGCCTGTGTAAACCCTATCCAAATACATTTATCATCATGTAATGAATCGAAATGTTATAAGATTCAATTTTAATTTCATCATAAAAAATTGTAAAACATAACCCATTGTAATTGTATCAAGCAATGTTCAAATTTTCATCAAAACAATCAATGGATAATTTGGAAATGAAATGAAAGGATTAATTAAAATAATATGTAAATAAAAGACTGCCAAGATAATTATTTTCTTGGTAAAACAAAATTTATTTTTCATTGAATTTTTATTTCGTTTGTGATTCATGAAATCTTAAAATTCATCCATTATTATAGCTTTTTTCTTGATATTAACATTTTATCTTTATTTTATCAGTGAGTGGAGCATCATACACTGAAGAACATCTTATTGACTCTGGTGACGATAAAGATGACCCATTCGATCTGAGCCTAACATTAGAAGAAACTGAGGACGATTTCAATGAGGAAAATAGATTCTTACTGGAAGATGGCATTTTTTATGAAATATCTGAAATGAATAGACGACTGTCGACCCGTATCGATAACCTCGTATCGGTTTGACCATGCTTTCCAGATTTGGAACCTCTAGGAGCATTTGCTTATAATCCAATCATTTCTGATCCTCTCGAAGCATTTGTTAACTTTCTAAGATTTTCTGAACACGAATTGAGAGAACCTAACTTTGTCAATTTGATCAATGCAGAAATAAGAAAGCAGATGAAAAAAATTGAATAGTTGAAGTTCAGTCTTGATATTCCATGTTTAATATAAAAGATTTTAACAACAAATAAACAATCTTTTAATTTTAATAATGAGCTGCATCTTATATTTTGAAAGGTGATGAAGCTATATTTATATATAATTTATCAATTTGAAGGCATCTCTAGAACTTTTTGGACATTATTTGGTTCAATATTTCCATGATGTTCCATGTTTGTTTTTTCCAACTTTTTCTTGTTCTCGGCTGCATTTGCTAAACAAAAGGCGATAGACCCAAGGGTAGCTCCAGTGGCAAGTATGATCAGGTGAGAGTGGAGATCAATATAATTAGAAAGGAAGAATAGAGCACCTCCGGAAAGAGATTGGAGACTCGAGAAAATAGCAAACGGAGCTGAACTATTTTCCTTGTAAACAACTGAAATGAATTCATTCATCTGGGTTCCAAATAAGCCATCACAGAGACCCAAAAGAACGGCACATAATAAAGCTAAATATAAACTAAATGGGAATAAAATATTCAAGAGTTAGTTTAATTTGCTTGAAATGGCATGGAAAGAAATTCTTACTTTGATTCAAAAATAGCTGGTTCAGCAGTTTCAAGAAGTGTTGAAGCAGCAGGCAAGTTAACATATATACAAGAAAATGTTCCCAGATAAATTAAATAAGCACTAATGAGAATCGCAATTCCAGGTTTTTTACATTTCGATGATAGCATGGAGATCAAACCGGCCAATATTTCCCCAATACCTGTAAAGATGTGATTAGAGCAATTAACGTCAATGTAAATTTATTAGAAACTTGAGACATTACCAATGAGAAGGCCACATTCGCCAGAGTATTTTTTCCGATCGACACCAAAGGCCCTCGTAAAGGCAATTGACGTACTATAAAGTCCTGAGAAGAAAGTTATTTCTAAACCTAAAGATTAAAGAGGAAAAACAATTAAACAAGTTGAAAGCAAATCTACTATTCAAGTAATTGATAATATTGAAAAGGCTTAAATGCTTACCAATGAAAATTGCTATAACAGATATGAGTAACATTGTTTTGGTGGTAAAATACTTGATTGCAGTACCTGGAAAGTAAGAAAAATTGAGTTAGAATCAACTTTCAGCTGATATTTGTATAGACTTACTAAACCCTTTCAATGGAGATTCAACAATTTTATCGTCTTCTGATTTGCTTGATTCAAATTTCTTGAGGAAAAGAGACAAGATAACGCCAAAAAACCCAAGAATGACTAGAATTGAGTAAGTTAATATTCGAGTAGATGAGTTGATCTTTTCTTTGCCCTCAAAAGTATAAACAATGAGCAAGTTTCCAAAAACAGCACTTGACATGGAAATGGTCCACAAAATTCCAGTATTACGAGTGATTGATTTTTCATCACTCACCATGGCTAGATAATTACCCTGAGCAGTCCAAGTAACTATCGAATAAAAGACAAAAAAATATTATAAGCAAAAATAACATAAAATAACATCGTAACATCAACTCACCAGCGTTGGCAAAACCCAGCAAAAGAGATGCACAAATGTAGCCATATTTGAGTGGATAAAGAAAGGTTGAGAAGGATAAGCTGTAAGACACAAAAGAAGCCGAAATTGACAATAAATCAAAGACTGGATAATAACTTGTACTAATTAAAATTGAAATTACTCACCAAAATGCGATGCCACCAATTGTTAGAGCTTTTCCAGCACCAACAAGCATAATCAAAGACGGGGCAAACCATGCCAGTACAGCTGCTACTACTGATGATATTGCTGATCCAGTATAACCGCTCCATTCGTAACCATTCCATGTCTCTCTGTAGTCGTCATTAACTGAGTTAACAATGATGATCTAGATTCACAAATTATAAAAAAATTGCTGTTATAAAACATGGAACACAATTGTTGTATAAAATAATTTCACCTTTCAAATAGTCACCTGAATTATGCTTCCAGTTTGGATAGGGAGCGCTATGAAAAAAATACAAAACGAAAGCAGAAGAATACTTTTCAAGTTTGAAGTCATTTTGGCAATTTTTATGTGTTTACCCTCTGATTAATTACAATTAAAACTAAAGCTTTAATTATACTCATGAATATACAAAATTGAATATCAATTCAAGTAAAAACGTTTTATCCCTTATATACAATTCATTTGCTTATCCCTTTACCTTAAGCCCATTGATACAGATATACAGAGATTTATTTGTTATTAATCTAGATCGAGTCTCAGTTTCTTTGCTTCTGTTGATTTTTAGATAAAATTAAGCTTCGTAAAGGAGGTAAAACAATGATACTAGTTAATCATTTAAAGGTCGAACCTGAAGCGTGTTTTTGCCAACTTAATCGACTCTTGTTTATGTTCTCATGGCAAGGCTAATTCAGGATTGATGTCAATTTTCATTAATCTGCTTTTGATCGTTGATCTATTATCATCAAAACTTGCATCATTGTTTTGTCGAGTCACTCATAAACACAAGAGCGTTGAGATTCAAATGCGGGTGAATCGCATTTTGATCGCATCCATGATTAAAGTGATTATTTATTTCTTGGATTTACTCGATTGGAGTTTGATTAAGTACTCTTTATTGTGTTATTTGTAATGAGTTGATCAATACTTACAGTTTACGAATAAAAGGAATAAGATTATCGAAAATCTAAGCGAGTGTTGCGATATAATTAATTTATCATTCATTATAAATGATAAATCATCTCCACAGATGTATTTCAATTATTATTGTAATCCGAAGCGAAATGAAAGAAAATAGAAGAAAAAATAATATTTTGAGATGCATCGCCAGAAGCGTACGAAAATTCTGCATTGACCATGATAAAAAGATTTCATATTCATTTCCAATTTTCTTTCAAACAAACCCGAACGAAAATACAGCATTAGTAAAACTCATTGCTAATCAATATTATTTCACCCTTTCGCTACTTTAACCATTTTGTTAGATGGGAAATTTGGCTGTAAGTTCCCCTGAATTACAAATTAATCCAGAAAATCATTTGTAAATTGGCGATTAATTGATATGAGTTAAGGAAGACATCGATGGACAGTTTCAGGTATCGACAGCTTTTAATCACTCGATTGTATATAATAAGTCTTTTATCAGATTAACTTTGAGTAACCAGAAAAAGAAACAATTTTTGGGTGCTTAGTCCATGAAGAAAAAGTTCGAGTATAATTTGTTCAAGCGTTTGTTTCTCGCAATTCCTTGCATGTAGAGATTCAAGTGTTGCTTCAGGTTTGAGTTCGAGTTGAGCGCAATAAAATATACAAACTTCAGATCAGCTCAGTTTCATGGTTTTTTACCATGAAAAATAAGATTCAGAAATTTTCATCCAAACTTTCACCTTAGTAAAACAAGAGGAAAAACGGGTTCTAACGTTAGGCTAACGTTTCAACTAGCCATGCTTGAGTAGTGGATAAAAATCGGATATTTATAAATGCTATGAATAAGATCAAGTTTTATCGCACTTACATGTATCTGTATCTTCGACCTTGCTTAATCCATCCCTCACACCATAGGTTAGATCCACTATAGTCTAGGTTCGACTTTTACTTTTAGAGATATTTTAACACCAAGAATAGATCGAAAGTTGAAACTGTAAGTCGAGCAAAAAGTGATTCTTTGATCATGAAGCTTTTGTGAGCGGTAAAAAACTTGGACTATATTCATAACTTATTAATAATAAGTTGAATGTCAAAAGAAGGGATCAAATTGTAATCTTTATCGAATGAAGATTTACAGGGATGTTGATAAGTAATGGTTATCATGCTCTGTGATTAATAACTCCTTTAGTACAGAAGCAGTGAACTTGAGTTTTATCAACACGACCTTCGCTGTAAATACTCGTATGCATGATTAGAAGCGAGAAAATGAGAAAAAAAACTTTTTTTGTCTCAATTTTTATTATCTAGATGAAAAATTCAAATTAAAGAGTAACTGAAAGATGTAATAATTCTTATTCGATATTCGAAGTCATTAATCGCTATCAAAAAGTCCCTTTAGGTTTATTTGTTCAAAGATTTTATTAGTTCTTACTCGATTTTGTTGGGCCAGTCTACATCTAGGAAGCTATTAAATGTGTTTCAAACGGCAGACTTCGGATATTTTGTAGGTTTGTATAGCTTTCAGGATGAAGGGAAAAGATTCATTTTTCTTAATTAAGTGATAGGGTTTTTATCAGTTTCATATTCACGTATAAATAACATATTTTTGGTTTTAAATTGAATGGCGACATTTTTTATCTAGATTTGCAAAAAGCCGATGAAATTCGTTGTAAATGTTACTGAAATTTTATGTTGATGAATTTTAAGCAGATTTTAGGCAAAATGGTATTTTTGGCTCATTTTTTGGCTAATTAATGATACTTAATTGCAACTGGTAACATGATTTTAGTTTGTCTGTCTAATTGTAACCATTTGTCTGTCTAACGACCAGTTAAAGGTCAAGGTAAATGAACACTCCTTTAATACTTTTCATCATTTCATTGCTCAAAGCCAATTTATCAATCTGTCTTGATAAATATTTTCATTCACCAGCTTCCGTGTTTATAAACTCAACAAGGACTTGAGTCTCATCATGATAATATGATAACAATCTTTGAATAAATATTGAAAAATGCGTCAAAAGCATTTCAATTTGAACAAGGTTGGTCTACAATATTTTAAAAAGTAGATCAAAATGTCTAAATGATTGGAGAAACATTTCAATTTGATTTAACATTCAATTTAATGTGATGATAAAAAGAAATGAATAAATGACTAAATGATAATCATAATTTTATGATATTAATAAAAGTCTAATCAACTCCAATGAAGTCTAATAAAGACTAATAAAGACTAATAGAGTCAATCATTTATTTGTTAATCAATTGGGTCATTGGAGGTGCTTTTTGTTTCCTTAATCTAAACATTTAACAAGTTCAAGTTTTCATGTTTACAGTCGGAATGAAGCTTGAAGCTCTTCTCATCACCATTTCGTTTATCCTCATGATCACTCTGATAATAAGGATGATAAAGATGAACATCTTCTTCTCTCTTCTTCTTCTCTCATCATTGAGATATTGCATTTGCCTGTGAACGAGTTTAGTGACTTGGCTAGTTTAAGCCATTCAAAGTGACCTAAATCACCTCAACTTGTGCCTGTTAAATGCAGTAGCCAGTATAATATGGCAACAATTTGTTACCTGATTCCATATATTGATCAACCTGTAAATAACTTGTTAATAAACAGGTTACCAACTCTAACCTATTCTGGCTCCTCATGACTACTCATTCCTCTTCATCTGCAACATTCATTATTATAAACAATTTAATCTAAATTTATACTAAACTTCCGAATCAAGGTTAATACTTTCATCAAATACAGTTAATAATAGCAAGTAATTGAAGGAAGGAAGGATTGAAGGGAATGAAAAAAGAAACTTTTTTTTTGATCAACAATTTTTTATATAAATTATTAATTAAGAATTAATTGATTGATTTGTTCACAAAACCATTATATACATTAATTTGATAAAGTTATGTGAATTTAAAGTTATCCAAAAATAAAAAGTTAAAGATTCTCTTGTTGGTTGCAAATGTTGCATACTGAAAGTGGATTGTCTCATTGTCTCATTGATTCATTGAATGATTGATTCCTTTATCCATCCATTTGATTGACAGTTGTTGTTGTTGTTGATTCTTTAACTCTTTTATTGATATTCCCAACCAAAATTGAATTCAAGTTCAATTGTTTAATGTTGAACAATTTATCAACTAAACTATTATATTAATGACTGGAATGATTAAAGTTGATAAAGTTGTTAATCTTGATGAAATGGGTGATGAAGATGATGAAGTGGATGGAGTTGGTGAAGATGAGAAGAAGAAGAAGAAGAAGAAGAAGAAAGAAGAAACGATGAAAATGATGAAGATGAATATAAAGATGAATATAAAGATACAAACGAGTGTTTCTCATGAAATGTGAAACTTAAACAACTCATTTGATTATCTGATTAATTGGCACCAATGAATTATGATCTCTCTCACTCTCAATCTTTCATTAGTTTAGACCAATTAACGAAGGTGGGTTTCATTGTAATACAATTGAAGAACTGAAAGGAGAGAGAAAAATTTGTTTCTTTAAAAGCATCTAATAATTGATTAATAATTAAAGTCAAGTCAAGTCCATCTATCGCCTAACGTCCAGGCAATCCATTGAGTGTTGAGCATTTTGAACTTGGATAAGTACGAATCTCATATGGCATTGATAAGTTGTTCAGTTTGCTGTTTGACTTTTCAGTTGATCGATGGTAGAGACAAAGGAAGACTGAAATTAAACAAGAAACAATTAAAATGATGATTAAAACGATAACTGAAGTTGCGAATGAAATGGTCGACATGCAAATCTGATCGATTGGTTCGAGATCAGTCATGTCCAGAAGTGGAACTGATTCATTTGATCCTAAATTAAATGCTAAATCACTTGTTGAAACAACTTTGATTATCCTGTTGAGACCAATTTCAGTTGCAGCATCCATTGAATATTCAGATTTAATCATATCTTCAAGTCTTCGAGAAACATCACGTTCTTCACGAGGTTTACCGATACCATGATAAGAAGAAGCTGAAGCAACATAACTTTCTTGTTGTTGTCCAAGTCGACCTTCGATGGGTCCATTGGATGGTGAAGAAGGTCCTGAAGAGGAAGAAGAAGAGCCTGGAAGGGCTTCAACTGAACCAGGACCACCGACAGTCGAAGCTGAACATTGTTCAGGACATTGGTGTCTGCATATTTGGATTGTACATTGGAAGTGAACTTCCATTGAATCAGGGAATTTAAAGGCTTGGAAATGAGCATAACTAAGAACTGTTGCTGAAGAACCAAAGTTCTTGATCTTGGTGAATTTGGACATTAGTTTGGGTCGAACAATGCATCCTTGTGAGTCAACCAGTTCGATTGGAGCTCGTTTACCGTCATGAGCAATGCAGTTACGAACAAGCATATCGAATTTGTTCTCTTCATCTTTAATGGCCAAAACCATTGTCATTGTTTGACCAATCTTGACGATTCCTGCCACTTCAGAGGCCCATGGACCTTTACCCACTTGGATTTGCATCCAACAACCAACATTGTCACCAGCAAAATCAGCTCGAACCACATCCAACATGTCCACTGGAAATGGACGGAATGTCACTGACTTTTCGTATTGATCATGCCAAGTGCATCGAAGTTTCCGTGCTTGATCCCAAACTTCTTGGACTTGTTGATCATATTGAATGACGATTGTGTTCTCGAAGAAGGTTCCACTTCCTGATGAAGCTCCATAACCATAAAGACCATTTTGTGTGTTTCCAGTTGTTCCACAAGTAGTTATTCCAATGTCGAAATAGACTGAATTTCTTCCTGAACCAGCAGGTAAATGAACACAATTTCCATGAGAATAATGACCTTTGGAGAAGATTATTCCATTGAATGGTTTATCGAATTCGATGGCGACTTTCATTAGATTCTTTTCGCACTTTACATCCAAATGAGCGATCTTTGGCATATCAGGTGCAGGCAGAGGCCAGTTTTCATTTTGTTGTCCACCATTAGATGAACCATGATGTGGAGCTGGAGCAACAGCCACTTGACCAACTGGACCATTTTGTGGTCCACTTTGACCATCATAACCTGAACCTGAAACAATAAGAACATGAAACATGAGAATGAATAAAGAACACGAAGAACCAGAAAAATGATTAAGGTTAATTCAAGTAAATACGAACCTTGATAAGGATGACCAGCTTCTGGTCCATATTCAATTGAATTTTCCACTGGATGACCTGGCCCTGGAGGTGGTGGAGGTGGTGGTGGATGTGCTGATGGATGACCTGATCCATGTGCAGGTGGAATACCATGAGGAGAGTAAATGGATCCATGATGGTTACCATGTCCTTTGGGTGGAGGCAAGTTGGATAACATGTAACCTGGTCTATTGATCATTGGGTGATGATGAGGAGGAAGAGGTGGGCCTGGTGGACCTAATTCACTGTGACTTGGTGCTGAGGGTGGAGGTGGTGGTGGTGGAGGAAGAGGGCCCAGACTATGGTGGTAATTGTGATTGGGTGCTGGTGCCGTTTCGAATTGACCCTGATCAAGGAATAATTAATTTACTCATTAATTTCAATAATCATCATTTCATGGTTAAAAGGCTTGGAAAGGTTTGAAAAGGTTTAACAGTTTTCAAGTGAATAATGTTCATCTTCACATCTTAATACAGGTTCAACTTTTTGCTCAACTTTTTTCACTAAACTCTTCAACACCTAAACGAACTCAACTTTTTTTACTCTTTTTTTTGTTCTTAAATTATAATCTGAGATATTACATGATGTTATGAAAATGAAATGATCAATCAGATTATTTACTGTTTTTTAGACCAATCAAGTTATCCAATTATAGTGAATATAATTTTACAAAAATATCGTGATTCATGTTTTTCATGACTTACTGAATTATATTACTGAATAAATGTTGCACAAACTGAATCAATAAACAGTAAACACAACTTAATAGTGGACTTGTTAATAGATGAATAAACTTTCAAATTTAGTCTAAAGTCTTGAGACTTGAAAGGTCAATGTTACTGATCACTTGTTCAGTTGATCACTTGTTCAGTTGATCAGTTGGTCAAGAAAAAAGTTGTAAATGAAATGATTAAAAGCTCCTAATCTGTTAATAAAATGTTGAATAAAAAAGAAGAGAAAAAAATGTAAAACAAATTAACTATTCTAAGGTCAGTTAAATGCCTAAGGGCGGTTAAAGATTCCGGTAATATGTTCAATGCATGAACTTCAATCAGGCTAATGAATACTGACTTGGAATATTTTCTTTCTTTTCTTTTTTCTTTTTTCGTTTCTTCTTCTTCTTCTCTTCCTATTTACCTTTCCTTGTCGCTCTCCATTTTCATTGCCTAACATTGTAAGATTGTTGATCCTTTTTTAGGCCAAAATCAAAACTCAAATTAGGCCAACTTTTTGTTTAAATTACTTACTATTTTTACTTGCATTATTTACTCATTTATTCATTATCACTCTCAACACTCTTTATTAATATAATCAACTTACCTGATGAATTGGTGGATAGTTCTTGTGATCAATAACATCTTGACTTTCGGCTTTAATCATATCATCGTCATCACTCAATTCAGATGAATTTGGGTTTTTATCACCATTTATTGAAGAATCGCCTTTCTCATGAATCTCATCAGCTATACTTGATGATGACTATAATAAAGCAATTTAACAAAATAATTAATTGACTTTTCAAAGCAAATATTTCTACAATTTCAAGTCAAGTCTCATTCATGGGAAGAAATGATGAAGTGAAGGAAAATGAACAACAATTTAAGTGAAAAATGTTCAATAATTTCATGTTTCAATTTTCCAAATGATTAAACATCAAATTGACTTTTCTAGTTGTTTCATCTTCAACATTTTTCGCATTTAAAATGCATTCAATTTGATTGTAACTATTAAAATGAACTACAAATTTCATGATTAATTTGATGCAAAAAAAGGTCAAGAAAATGTTTTCTTTTTCATTGTTGGGATAATTATGTTCTTCAGGTGATGAGACAATGATGTTGCTATTAAAAGCATAAACTGAATGAGTTTGAGCCGTGATGAAACATTAAAGGTTATTATGGATTAAAAGGTGCCCAGTGATGGTTCATGATAATACATTAATCAACTGTTGAATGTGTATTTTAAGGTCACTTTAAGTCTCACAATTAATGCTAAATGGCCAGACAATAAGACAATGTAATTGTATCTAAATGTTGATCAATAAACAAAATACATTTTAAACATTTTCTTGAGCTTCTAATAACATTATTCAAACGATCTTGAGCTTTAAATATAATCCTTAGACTCATTCAAACTTAAACTGATTCAAAAGATTCATGAATTGACTCAATGATTGTAAATAAATATAATAAGTTGAACTTACCAAAAGTAGGAACGAAATAACAAGTAAAATAATCCGATTCATTTTGAGTTATAAATGTCACACAATTTGATTGTAATAAACGATGTTAAACAAATGTAAAGTAATTGAATTGTCCGGCGACTTTTGCCCGGACAATTGATGATAAGTTGATTCAAGTTGAGTTGAGTTGACAATATTTAAAGTTAACTTTTATTTATCCTTTTGCTTTGAATTGAATTGAATGGGAATGAAGAAGCACATGAATGGACAAATATTAATGTAACTCACACTTTGAATGTCGACTATTAACTGGCCCTTTGAATCAATAAAATTATCCTTCAAGATCCTGGATGATGAGAGAGCAGATGAAGGAGAGGAAGATGATGAAGATGATGAAGAAGATGAAGACTAACGGACAGGCCGGATAACCGGGACTTGCGCCGTGATTTGTTGTGTGCTGTTGTTAGTAAATGAATGAAACTGGATTGAAAGTTGATTATTTAACTAATAATAATAATACATTGAGGTGTACCTGGTACTTGACATCATCTCTTAAGGCTATCCTCATCTATCCTCATCTTTATCTGCATCATTTTCATCATCATTTCATCATCTTCTTCTTCTCTTCATCTGATAATAAACCTGATTTGTTCGAGTTTAGGGCCGTTTAAGGCTACTTTTGTGACCGGTTCTGCCCTTTTCTTTCTTCTTCATTCAACATCATCTTCTTATGTTTCCCCCAATAAATACCGTTACTTCTTTTCTTTCTTTTCTCCACTCTTTTTCTTCTTCTTCTCTCTCAACAAATAACTAGGTTTCCGGGCATCAAGCTTAACTTGTAATCGTCAAACTTGATTAAGTGAATCAAAAGAAAGATGTGGGTTTGGGTTAGAAGACAGAAGAGAGAGATAGAGAAGATGAGAAAAGTAAGAGAAGAAGAAGATGCGATTTATCGATGTTCCAATGAGTTAACTATAATAATAAAGCGGAATGATTTAAGCAAAAGTTATGTCGGTTGCTCCTTTAAATGCAGTTAATATTAATGTTAATGTTGATCCTTTACTTGATACTAATGTTCATATTCAAGTTGATACTAGCTTCATGAAAATAATGATGATAATGATAATACTCATGTTCAACCTGATGCTCTGCTCTTCTCATCTCTTCTCATCTCTCCTCAACTCTTGCCATTGCTACCCTTAAGGCCACCCTTGACCTCCAATGACTTCCGTAACCTCCATCATTATCACATTTTTCATTCCAATCAAATAACTTTGCACATTCATTCATTTAATTGACAACAATTCATAATTAAAATTAAATTTTCCTTTGCCAAATAACTCGTTTTGTTTTCATTAACTTGTTCATTATTATTGCATTCCATGTTTGCTTCTTGTTCATCTTGTTAGGTCAACTTTTAGGTCAGTTGGTTAGTTATATCATAAAACTGTTTACTTAAATTACATTGTACTTCATTCATATTACACACAAAATTTCACCATATTATGATATTCAATGTTAAACCTCAACTTGTCTCTTCAACTCCAGACAAACTCAACACAATAAGTCAATATAACAATTGAAAAACAATGATAATAACAAAGTAAATCATTGTTTATTTCAATTCAATTGCAATGGTGGATTAATCATGGATCAATCAATTCCATTGACCTGGATAAGAGAAAGTTTAGATAAAGAAGAGATGAAATTCATGGTTCAGCTTCAATGGATTAATAGATGTAATTCACAATAATTCACTTAATAGTATCATGAGAACAGAAAAGTCAAACATTTTTTCATGAAAAAAGTCTAATAATATTTGAAATACCTTAACCAATATAAGTCAAGTTAAGTTGGTTAAATTGATTGAAACATCAATTCATTGATTACATGCTTTAATCAAATGAAACATCACTCAATCAATGATCAACATCACATAATAATTGAACTTCATCGAGTTATCATTGATTCATCAACTAAATAAACTAAATTAAACATATCATTATCTTGCTTATTATTCAATTTATAATACAAATTCAGGCGAGGTAATTCATTTCTTATACGGAAACAAAGAATAACATGATTTAACTGAAGTTCAAGTTCAATTACGGACAATTAAACATTCAATTATAAAATAATTTTCGTTGCTTTTTGTTAATATTTATCAAATATTTACTTGATATTTCAATTACTATTACTGAATATGTTACTATTATTGCAACAGTTTATTTTTGACCGAAATAACAATGAAAACATAATCAAACAGTTAACATCAAGTTTATTGTTATGATCGAGAAAATACATTTCGTACAATTGTATCATCATTTTCAAGTAATAAAAGTTTCAATATTATTATGTGTTAATTTCACCAACTTAAACTTGAACCAGATATTGCAGTATTTTAGTGCTATGAATCCATTGAATAATGAACAAAGTTGAAAGACTGGATTGAACAATATGTTTAGTGGCGATGTTCATTGAGATAATTAATACTAAGAACAGGAATCTTGTTAATCCTGATTATATCCAATGTCATCAACACGGAAATGTAAGGTTACTGTAACAGAAACTAGTTGACAGTTTAGGACAAGTAAAGGAAGGATATTCAATAATGAATAACACTTTGGATTGTATTTACTTGAACAGGTTTTACTTCAACAAATAAATTAAAACAAATCGAGATGAAGAACTGTCCTTTTTCATATACAAACATACTAGAAGTCAGAAAATAAATAGAACTAATACTAAATGCTACTAACTGTCTTCTAGCTTTTTATGTGTTATTTTACTGACGACAACGAAGAAGTTATGTTTTGTTGCACCTAACAAGCGTCGTGAGTTCGCTTAATAATATAACTTTATTTCAAATGTTTACTCGATTTGCCATAACCATAACGAAATGTTCTGTGTTTGCGAATTTCAGAGTTGTCTGCATGGTTATATTTCAGCGCTTCAGAGTAATATGGGCACAGAATCCTTTATTTTTGGTCAAAAATATCCAATAATGCCTTAAAATTTCACCAACAATGGAAGTATTCAACCATACAAACCAAAAATATCGAGCCATCTGGCCATAGAAAAAGTCACCGAGACCGAGAAAGCCATTCATCGGGCAGATTAAAGACACTCAACAATGAACAACTGTAAATAAAACGAAACACTACTAAATGCTACAAACTGTCTTCTAGCTTTTTATGTGTACTAAACAAACTACAACAAGAAGTTATGTTTTGCCAATTGCAATTTAGATTTGTAGCATTGTAGCATTTTGATTCTTCAAAGTCTCTGTATTCCTTCAATATCATCTGTTATTATTATGTGCTGATTTACTGATTTACTAACGAGGTAGTGGTGCAAAGACGTTAAATGATTTAACTTTACTGCAATTGTTTTCGAAATGTTCTTGTTTTGCCATGGTCTTGGTTTTTTTTTGTAGTGCACAAGTTTTCCAGGACAGAGTTTTAGTCCTTTAGAGTGATAATAGCACAAAATTGGTGATTTTTGGTCAAATTTGGAAGATGTAACGAAACATAGTTCGTTTTCGTTGCTGTTTTGACACTTGGGTACTTTTTCCAATGGAAGCAAGAGATTTACTATGAAAATTTACAAAATCTAATTTATATAAACCTGACAATAGCAATAATGATTTAATTCATTGTTATACTGATTGATCCAATCCTTCAGAGAACTTGTTAGATCTTCAATTGTGTGTTTTCACTTGTTTTCACCCGAATAACTATTTCTAACCAAATTAAAACCGATTCTCTTTCAAAATAGTCATCAACAATTAATGTTGAGCAATTATGTGAAACAAATTAGTCTATTTAGCCATTAAACATGATAATTATATGTGAATTAAGCGCAACAAGTTTACTCTCATTCATCACAATTGTAACTCTTTTATGGATAACATTAATATCTGTACTCTAAATCTGACAATCACAACAGTCATCACCATTATTCTCATCCTCACCAACATCATCATCATAACCGTCATCACCACCATCAACAGCAGCAACTTCATCCTCAATCCCAGCATCATAATCATAATCATTATCATCACAATCATGATTCACTTTCGATCTCAATATGTACAAAACAAACAGACAAATTCATAAAAGACAATAAAAACATCGTGACAATAAACACATCAACTCAAGTCAACCTTATTCATATTATCGTTATGTTTATTATTACTTCTTGTAACGAAAGTATTAATAACAACTAAAATAGACTTGCATCAAAGATTAAGGTTAATAATTTTATTAGAAAGTTAATACTTTCTTAATAAATATTCATTTTGAACCATAAAAATGATTTATTTTCCCAAGAAACTCACCAACTTTCATTTCAATTACAATTAAAATCCTATTATATTATATTTCAATATCAAACTGCTTCAATACTTGAAAGTTAAAAATAATGCTAAACTATTAAAATGCATAAAATACAAGTTCAATCAATTTGTTAAATTTAGAAATGAAATGTATTATTGAATTGAGTTTAACTAATTTCATATTTCAACTTCGAAACATTATTTCTTCTTACTTCGCTGGTCAACCCAATATCGGGTCGTCATGTCGGACCCTGATATGGTCAAAAAAGTACGTAAGAATAGATAATTGTTTTCACTTGACAGCATAAGTGATCAACTAGACTTCAACGAACAAAAACGGTCCACAAAAACCCAAGAAAGAGAGCTAAAGTTTAAGTTTCGTTCCATTGTTTCGGTCAGTTAGATTGAAACAAAAATCAATCTTACTTCTTTGTGTTTATTTCCTCTAATAGGTTGAAATGAAAAAGTTAGAAACTCAATTGAAAGGAGCTTGTTATGACTTGGACTATACTGTGAAAGCCGTCAAATCCATTCACAACAGCAAAGATACTTTTGCGTCTATCAAAGCTTTATTGAAAGATGCTTTTTTCTACAAACAACAAATTGATTATGACAATAATGTAAGATATCGAGTTGCCAATAGAGGAAACAACCAGAAAAGGCCTGCAGTTCAACGTTTTTCTGGATCATTTGATATTCCTTCATTTATATCATCTCATTTACCATCTTCACCATCGACTTCTATGATGTCTTCCCTGGCTCGAGCTGATTCCATTCCTCAACCAAACTCACAATCATTTAACAGCAAATCACCGTAGTCGTCATCATCTTCATCTTCTCTGTCAACAAAACAAGATCTACAGAAAACTGATGCAAATAAACCTGCTAAATAACTTTATAGTTTTCATTCAAAAAAGCTTGGATTGTTCAATCAAGCCAGAAAGTTTTCTGTACAAAAATATCGCAAAGCTTACACAATTCAAGCAATCAAATTTTTAATTCACCATTTTAGTCAACAATCATATCAACAGATTTCTTTAAAGTTTAATTCGCCTTCTGAGCTTTATGAAACCCAAGAAAACTGGATCACAAATATGATTCTTATATTATAATATGTTTAATCCTGATCTTTACAAGACAATACAAGTTAAGAAAAGACAACGAAGATGATTTTCCCAAAAAACTCACCAACTTTCATTTCAATTACAATTAAAATCATATTATATTATATTACAATATCAAACTGCTTCAATAATTAAAAGTTAAAAATAATGCTAAACTATTAAAATTCATAAAATACAAGTTCAATCAATTTGTTAAATTTAGAAATGAAATGAACTCCTAAAATCAAGTTTAAATTGAATTAATTACTTTATTTCAACCTCTTTTTGTCCATAAAATACGATCAACTATCCACGTGCAATTCAATTGTCAATTATTGTATTGTAATACAACAATAATTATCATCATCATCTCCATCTTCATCTTCATCTTAATCATTGTCATCATATTCATATTCAATAATATAATAAGCATAATAACGTTAATAATCGTAATAACCTTTTCACTATTACATGATCAATCACATTGCATTATTTCAATGATAAAAAACTCGAATCTAAATTGTCTTAAGTGACCAAATCATTTGTTATTTGGCCCATTTTCGGACTTACTCAATGCCTTAGTTAACCCCGTCTAATTGAGGTCACTTTCCGTTGAATCACAATTCACTTTTTGTGTTCCCACAAAAGCAAAAAGTCAAAATGAAATTCAACTGTTCTAGTATTTGATGTGTTCACATCATTTCATTTAATCATCAACCTGATACAATTAACACTGTTAATACATAAAATACACTCAAACATTTACCTTCCATTCACCTTTACATGGTTTACTTTCCCAACCAGAATCGGTCAACATTCAAAATCAAACCTTCAATTTATTCAGCAACATCTTTACGACAAAACCAATTAACCAATAAATTAAGATTCACAAACAAATTAACCAAAAGTAAACCAGACAAACAAATGAATAGCAAATTAATTTATTCAATAATCATTTAAAAATAGTTTTATTACCCATTAACAAATGCTAATGAACATCAATTGATACGTTAAACTGTCGACTAAACCAGTCGCAATCAAACCAAAGACAGCAATCAAAATTTAAATGCACAATGTCACAATTAAGTGAACAATTAACATATTTATTTAAATCCGTCTTCAAATCCATTGAACATTGCAAATGCAAATACAATGTAAACACTTTAATCCACGAAAACATTGTAAAAAGTTTGACAGTTGATTAATAATCAATCGCTGCCAATTGTACTTTCTAACAACATTTAAATTGCCAATTCAATTAGTTAATTATAGCTTGGACCTTCAATACAAAAGGTAAGTTGTCTAAGATTAACTCAGCTTGAGTTATAATTATGATACAACATTGGTTACCTTTACGTTGGGCAAACGGTTTGATTAATGAACATCAGTTTTAACCCGTTCAATGTTTAACAATAAATCAAAGGGAAACCTTTTCATTTGTAGAAATAATTTTGTTACCAAAAAATTGCTCTTCTCTTTGCTTCTTCAAGCTGCTTCAACAATTTAAATTGTCCATTAATGATTACATATTTACATTTCCGCATGGAAAGGTTAACAATTTAATAAATTATCTGAATATTTTGTTCCCTCAAACAGCTAATTAATTGTGAATAATTTGCTCCGTTTTTTGGCTCAATAATAACCATTTTAACCATACAATTAACCCAACCATTTTAATTTACAATTTTGGATCAACTCTAATTGCTCTTCTTGTACCATCTGTTTACATGCCAATTAACGGAATCTCGTCAAATTAATGATCAATTGGCAGTCAATTGATTAAAGGAAATCGCCATTTTTCGTTCATTTCTATTCGTTTCAAAGTATTCAATTTTTACTGACAAATCCTTCATTTTAAAGCATCTTGACGTTGATCATGTTTAACTAATAGGTTTGTTTCAACAGGTTAAGGCTTGATGTTGATCATTGGATTTGCATGAGAAAAGTAGTTTTGCCTTCTCAGGGAATCATGAATAATTCAGGAATTTACTTTACTTTATTTATATCATTTTGAAATTGAGATGACAAAATATTGGGCGATATTTTTAGCTATTAATGCAATGATTAGTTTAATTGTTTGCAAGTCGATGAATATTAATGATTTCATTTGTAATTGAATCTGTTTGCTTTGTTTTAGGATGATGAGAGTCTTGGTTGGCCTGAAAGGTGAATGGAAGGTAAATGTTTGAGTGTATTTCATGTATTAACAGTGTTAATTGTATCAAGTTGATGATTAAATGAAATGATGTGAACACATCAAATACTAGAACAGTTGAATTTCATTTTGACTTTTTGCTTTTGTGGGAACACAAAAAGTGAATTGTGATTCAACGGAAAGTGACCTCAATTAGACGGGGTTAACTAAGGCATTGAGTAAGTCCGAAAATGGGCCAAATAACAAATGATTTGGTCACTTAAGACAATTTAGATTCGAGTTTTTATCATTGAAATAATGCAATGTGATTGATCATGTAATAGTGAAAAGGTTATTACGATTATTAACGTTATTATGCTTATTATATTATTGAATATGAATATGATGACAATGATTAAGATGAAGATGGAGATGGAGATGATGATGATGATGATAATTATTGTTGTATTACAATACAATAATTGACAATTGAATTGCACGTGGATAGTTGATCGTATTTTATGGACAAAAAGAGGTTGAAATAAAGTAATTAATTCAATTTAAACTTGATTTTAGGAGTTCATTTAATTTCTAAATTTAACAAATTGATTGAACTTGTATTTTATGCATTTTAATAGTTTAGCATTATTTTTAACTTTCAAGTATTGAAGCAGTTTGATATTGAAATATAATATAATTTGATTTTAATTGTAATTGTGATGAAAGTTGGTAAGTTTTTTGGGAAAATAAATCATTTTTATGGTTCAAAATGAATATTTATTAAGAAAGAATTAACTTTCTAATAAAATTATTAACCTTAATCTTTGATGCAAGTCTATTTTAGTTGTTATTAATACTTTCGTTGCAAGAAGTAATAATAAACATTATTATCATATGAATAAGGTTGACTTGATGTTGACTTGAGTTGATGTGTTTATTGTCACGATGTTTTTATTGTCTTTTATGAATTTGTCTGTTTGTTTTGTACATATTGAGATCGAAAGTGAATCATGATTGTGATGATAATGATTATGATTATGATGCTGGGATTGAGGATGAAGTTGCTGCTGTTGATGACGGTTATGATGATGATGGTGGTGAGGATGAGAATAATGGTGATGACTGTTGTGATGGTCAGATTTAGAGTACAGATATTAATGTTATCCATAAAAGAGTTACATTTGTGATGAATGAGAGTAAACTTGTTGTGCTTAATTCACATATAATTATCATGTTTAATGGCTAAATAGACTAATTTGTTTCACATAATTGCTCAACATTAATTGTTGATGACTATTTTGAAAGAGACTCGGTTTCTATTTGGTTAGAAATGGTTATTCGGGTGAAAACAAGTGAAAACACACAATTGAAGATCTAACAAGTTCTCTGAAGGATTGGATCAATCAGTATAACAATGAAGTTTTGCTTTTTTTCTGCAACAGTATCGAGGGACTGACGTTTTCTGAGCTAAATCATTATTGCTATTGTCAGGTTTATATAAATTAGATTTTGTAAATTTTCATAGTAAATCTCTTGCTTCCATTGGAAAAAGTACCCAAGTGTCAAAACAGCAACGAAAACGAACTATGTTTCGTTACATCTTCAAAATTTGACCAAAAATCACCAATTTTGTGCTATTATCACTCTAAAGGACTAAAACTCTGTCCTGGAAAACTTGTGCACTACAAAAAAACCTGGTTATGGCAAAACAAGAACATTTCGAAAACAATTGCAGTAAAGTTAAATCATTTAACGTCTTTGCACCACTAACTCGTTAGTAAATCAGTAAATCAGCACATAATAACAGATGATATTAGAGAAATTGCAGGAATACAGAGACTTTGAAGATTCGAATGCTACAATGCTACAAATCTAAATTGCAATTGGCAAAACATAACTTCTTGTTGTAGTTTGTTTAGTACACATAAAAAGCTAGAAGACATTTAGTAGCAATTAGTAGTTCTGTTTATTTTCTGACTTCTAGTATGTTTGCATATGAAAAAGGACAGTTTTACATTTTGATTTGTTTTAATTTATTTGTTGAAGTAAAACCTGTTCAAGTAAATACAATCCAAAGTGTTATTCATTATTGAATATCCTTCCTTTACTTGTCCTAAACTGTCAACTAGTTTCTGTTACAGTAACCTTACATTTCCGTGTTGATGACATTGGATATAATCAGGATTAACAAGATTCCTGTTCTTAGTATTAATTATTTATCTCAATGAACATCGCCACTAAACATATTGTTCAATCCAGTCTTTCAACTTTGTTCATTATTCAATGGATTCAAAGCACTAAAATACTGCAATATCTGGTTCAAGTTTAAGTTGGTGAAATTAACACATAACAATATTGAAACTTTTGTACAAAAGAAACTTTTATTACTTGAAAATGATGATATTTTCTCGATCCTAACAATAAACTTGATGTTAACTGTTTGATTATGTTTTCATTGTTATTACAGTTCAACAATAAACTATTGCAATAATAGTAACATATTCAGTAATAGTAATTGAAATATCAAGTAAATATTTTGAAATATTAACAAAAACGAACGAAAATTATCTGATAATTGAAT